AACTTCCTGCCACACCATGTGAGGGCTCTTAACCACTCATGTTTTGCCAACTCAGTTAAGCGAGAGTACCTACATGCCATCGGAAAGTGAGCACGTGTTTTTTATGAATATAAGATGTGTATGCCTTTTGTTGAATGAATGAGTGTTTCCGTACCCAAGAACGTTTTAAGACATGATACAGCACAGTCATAGCCAAGCGTGTAGTTGATCGACTTATGGAATGCATGATACGTTGGAATGTGCTGCAACGTGAATGCATGCATACATACAATCATAATGCGTCGGTTTGCCGACCGGGCAGCGCGCGGCAGGTTGTGTAAAGTAGGGCTCAAGTAACGTTCAAAATGGCACCGATGTGATGGCTGTCCAGCCCGATGGGATGCCGTTTGACTGACATTTTAGCGCCTTTGATTCAAACGCTAGACATGCCTGTTTAGTCATGACTAAACATAACCGATGACTCGCAAAGAAGTGATATGCATTTTCTCAAATGGTATGCGAATGGCCGAATCACATGGGCAAGACATCCTCTATGTATCCGGCACCCCACACCACTTTCGGGAATAGGTAGTGAACTTTCTGCTCCAGACCTCGGTACATTTTAATATCCGCTCTTAGGTCAATTCCACGCAATAACAGTTAGATGCTCAGTTAAGTCAGTTAAGTTATTGTCAGTTAAGATGCTCACTTATGTGCATTTTCTAATGATTTAGGCCACTCTCCTTGATTGCTGAACTCATATATAAGAATAATTTCAGGCGATTGCCCTCTGTATATTTAATGACAGATGACGTCAAATAAGCTACCTGGGGGATGTGGTTGGTCTAAACATGTCGGCTAAAACGAGAATGAACTGAAGTATTTTCGACAGTGCATCGTTTTATGGTCTTCTTGTGGTCTCCATACTTCCTTCGTCTAACAATGTCACCTCTTGACCTTCCAAGAGCATGAGGTCAACATAGCTCACTGATCCAACTTGGTCTCAAGCTCTGGCTCCCAGTAATATCCTTTCTAGCAGCGTATTTTGTCGATTTTACCGCTTTCTTTTCAATAACATCGTGTCATCCCTTGTGAGTGACTTTCACCCCAAATATCTTTATTGTTACTAGCCTTACTCAGTCTAGAGGTCTGCATTTTTTAATCATTGGACAGCGGTAACGATTTTTGAAGGCTTCATTTTGTCTTTTACCCCATACTCTTATTTGCACACCTCTAACTGGTAATGATAAACCTAATCAGCCGTATAAGGATAGGATTACCAAGCAGCGGCAGACACTGTCTCGGAAGCGCAAGGATTCTGCTGAATGAGACGTCAAGTGCTTTAACTCAGAAATGAAAACGAACGCTTGCGTCAAGGGGGAGAATGTGCGATTTCTTGAAACTAATTTGATGTGAAGTGAGACAAGACTTTTGTCAGGGTGACGGGGCCGAGAACACGCATCAGAGAGTAGTGCTAGTGTCAGTTAAGATGCTCACTTATGTGCATTTTCTAATGATTTAGGCCACTCTCCTTGATTGCTGAACTCATATATAAGAAAACACTAACTGAGAGCCAACGATTACAGGAGATTGTGTTTGGTTAACACGCGTTCGGGTGGGGGTCAGTTGGACATCCTCCGAAGGTTTTTCCAGAATGGTTTCCGAACGGCGCGGTGTAGCCCCGCCAAATTTTGCATAGCTGTAGACCATTGAATAGCGGATCGTCCGGCACCAAAAAATGTTTATATAGGTTGAAAGTCGCTGACCAGGGGTGTCAATTTTTGTAAATTACTGTGAGGGGCCGAACCAAGGGCCTGACATCCCACCCCTTCCCCCCCCCCCACACCACCCATATTTTTTCACCGGACTTGGCCCATTTTATTTTGATCAAAGCAATATATGTTTTTAATTTGTGTACAGTTTACAAAAGTATTTAACTTAAGCAGTAGAGAATGCATGCAGGATTGGACCCAGGGAACAGGCACTGGACGCACGCGTCTATTCTGATCGGCACGTGAAGACACCCTTTTAGAAGCCACCTTAGGGCGCCGATGGCGCTCTTCTTTGGCGGTCACGGAAGGATGCACGCATTTTGATTGTGGGGCACGGGGACGGGGTTAGCCATGAAGGACTCAAGTCGTTCCCATATTCCAGAGCTTTTCACTTTAACCTCACAAAACATTGCGCGTCTTATGACGATAGGTATGTGAAGTTCATTGCATCGTTTGTTTGCTCAGCTGTTACGGTTTGTATCTTTTGCTGAGAGTAACCATGACTTTTTGTTATGAAGTGGTACGAGACACCACTACGCAGAAAGATCAAAGCAGATAGTCCTTGTTATGTTTGTGTTATGATCATCCGGTCATCAGCCCATGGATTCAGCGAAATCGATTTCGGGGGAATTGTTCAATCTGATGTAACGACGAAGTGACAGAGTGACGAAGAGATATATCTGACATCTCTGAGATACTTTCTTAGGCAGCACAATTGAATGAACAAATTCCATTGATCTACGGTCAGGTATGGAGGTCGGACCAAGGTCAAAACTAACCCTCTTTATTACTATGGGACCTGCCATATCGGGTAGTTTCTTGTGCTTATTTCGAATATATTGATAACAGGAACCGCAATATACATCTTTCATGTACTTCTTAAAGGCCAGAATAGGTCACTGACCAAAAAATGAACCAGGTCGACATTTCGGTTTTAGAAACATACTGCGTAGCGTAATCTTTGTCGCTTTTTCAAGCATAAAACTCGAAACAGTCTTCAACGATTTTGGGCTCATGACCTTCGAAAGGTCATACAAGGTCACTAACCTTAAATGAGCACGTGACCTTTTGCTTAGAACGGGCATCTAGGTTCCGAGGCACTTTGGAAACTATACCGGAGTTTGACCTTGTTTGACCTTATTTAGCCCAAGGGTCATGGCTTAGGAATTAGAAGCTTGATCTAAGTAAGTTTACGTACAGGCCAACACCTCCTGTGAATTTGGTGTGTGTGTCTGTGCTTTCTTAGTTCCTAAGATCTCAGGGGGTCAAATTGACCCCCACCCGAGCGGTTATTGTACCGGCCACCCGGGCGCGTGTTAACCGGGCTCATCAGGCCAAATGATGCGCTGTCTATCTTTCGATAAGTCAAATTAAAAGCTGCGCAAATCGAAGCGAAATTAAGCCAAACATGAAGCAGGCACAGCCCGAATCGTATTACGGTGTGATTCGCCTAGTCAAAATATGTGTATTTGATGATGGGCAAAGTTGACGCACTTGGATTGACTTGCATATTTTACGGGAGAATGAACTTTGTCCATGGTCTGACCCTACGAGAATAAACAGATTTTAAGAAATTGAAGGCCACCACATGTGATATGACAGGCCAGGAATCATCACCGACGCTCATGTAGGATGGAAACATCCTGTGCTTGTGAAATGGACGATATCATTGACATTTTGAACTCGATGCAGTGCCATCCTCACAGCCCGATCATATTGCCGCAGCGAAGAAACACGGTGCAAGGTTATATGGAAAAGCCGGGTGGGCCCGGGGCACCACACGTACGTTCATAGGGCAAAGGCCCGTATCACAGGTGCTCGCAATCAAATTTACGTGCGCAAATGTTTGCCAACACTAATGTTTGTATGCAGATGTTCCTATCGAGTGCGTTTGTTCAGATGTTCGCGCGTGTAAATGTTCTTACCACAATCATGGGTAAAGGCTAATGGTCTTACCGCCATCAACACGCTCATGGCCGTAAACGCCAATGTTTGTAAACGCTAATGTTTGTGAACGGTAATGTTCGCAAACGCTCATGTCCGTAAACGCTGATATTTGTAAACGGTAATGATCATGCCGTTGCTGTTCGCCACGCTTATGTTTGCGCAGCAGGTGTTTGAAAGTACATGTAGATGGTTGTATCGCGCGTGTTCGCTATTACCGCCCACCTCAGCACTTGCGGCTGCGAATCAGTGCGTGTTATTGTGAGAAGTGCGAGCGTGGATACGTGGAGGCATTGTACAAATCTGGGATTATTACATTCTACCACTGGATGGGCATATGGAGGACAGCATTTCGTAAAATTTCGAAGGACTGCAGAATCGTCCTGAAAGGATGAAACTTCTTACCCGTGCTCGACATGCCCTGCTGAGAAACCCACCCGGAAAGTTTTGGAACGCGAGAATATTTGCTGATTGTCAAAAGGCTCGAAATCTACCAGTGGCACACCTGTCGCAACAAGCTTCTAGTCAATTCTGAAACCTGCTGTGTGTAGATGGGAACAAAAGTGCGAAAATCCTAAACAGCTGTCGAAGTAAAGGAAGTGTGAGATGAGTCGTCAATTCAAAAACTTCTCAAAGTACCAGAGAACCCTAAACGGACCGTGTCGGTGTCGGCCAATGGCAGTGGCTATAAGATCAAAGTGCACTTAATGCCAACTCCGATGCGTCTGATGAAAAACAGTGATGATCTCGACACCGGAGTTTTATGTGCTCGTGTGATGTAACGCAGTCTCGCGACCAGTGACCTAGTGGATCATCTCAGAGCACCGCCCAGTGCATGCTACGAGTGCCGTGACAGCACGCGCCGTTGCTGCGCGCGCGCGCGCTACGAGGGCCGTTACAGCGCGCGCTACGAGGGCCGTTACAGCGCGCGCTACGAGGGCCGTTACAGCGCGCGCTACGAGGGCCGTTACAGCGCGCGCTACGAGGGCCGTTACAGCGCGCGCTACGAGTGCCGTTGTAGCGGGCGCTACGAGTGCCGTTGTAGCGCGCGCTACGAGGGCCGTTGTAGCGCGCGCTACGAGGGCCGTTGTAGCGCGCGCTACGAGGGCCGTTGCAAGGCACGAGGCACCGCTGGAGGCCCGTCCGATGACCACCCGCTTCCAGACGGGTCGACCGCTCGTCCAAGTATTACGAATGACGGAGAGTCGTTTTACTTGTTGATAAGCAGTCGGTGGCAAAACGGCATGTTCGGAAGGAGCGACTGTGCGGGCCGGGCGCGCTCAGTCGTGGATAAAAACACGTCTAGATAATCTACATATGTATTTACAGACAGCACAGGAAGCAGAGTATTGAAAAACGCAGTGGAAAAATCAGTGTATATGCATAGCAATCTCAATGCCGAGAAGCAGCCCGGACTGAATATCAAGATCAACATCCTTGCCACCCTTCGATTTGATTCTGCAGGCAATTTAACGCTCGCCGCGAGGTGCAATACTGAAGCAGGCCACCACCGAGGCACGCCTGCGCCTGCCCGCACTCCTTAAGTAAACAAGTCGCGAGTGATCTCCGAATTTATCCTATCAACAACACAGCGCCTCATTAACTTGGCCGGTTGCTGCTGCTTATTTCTTCTGGTTACATACACTGTGGAGGTTGTCATGTGTGCAGCGCCTTATCTGACTGCTATCTCGATACAATCGATCGTACTATCCTATCGCGAGCAACCCCCTTGATGTCATGCTGCCTCCTCTGGATCCGGGGGCCAGGACAGGCTCATACAGGTGCGTTCCGCCCTGCCCTGGGGGCCCGAGGGCCTCGGGGCCCCCGTGGAGCCTGCTCTGCCCTCGAACTCTAGTATGTTTGGGCGAAGCCCTTCACTGACCGCAGGCACACCTTAAAGCAGACTGAGGAAAAGATCACCCACAAGCAGAACCACTGGTGCCCGAGTGGATTTCAGCAGACCGCCAGCGAGCCTGGCGTACCGTCGCGCCGGCACTGCCAGACCCGGACAGGCCAGCGGCACCCAGGCGGTCCGCCGGCCGACGACGCAGGCGCGGTCATACGCTCTCATTTGGCACCCTGTAGCTTCGCTCCTCTGACATTCGCCGGCGCACTCCATTCACGCTATAGACCTGGCCGATCGACGCCGCTCAGTCGCTCACTCCCCGACGTGCCGTCACGCGGCGCTGCCACCCCGCGCCCCCCGCCCTGTCCCGCGGGGTGCCCCCTCCCCCGCGCGGCCGGGGCGGCGGCTCAGGCCGACGGGTCCAGGTGCGGCTGCATGGCGTCCGGGTCCCAGGCGCGGATGTTGTCCAGTGTCTCGTTCAGCTGGTCGGCCCACAGCTGACGCTCGTCCTTGGTGTCCAGCGACAGCAGGTGCCTGCCGGGCGGGAGGCCGGCATCAGCGGCGCTCGGCGACGGCAGCGCGCCGCCAGCGAGGCAGCCGGCGATGTACGGGAGTCACGGGACGGCAGTGAGCCACGGCCAACTCACGAGACCTCATGCGTCACGCTCGGACCACACGGCAGTGTTGGGTGACTTACAGACGCATGGAGACTGTGGCAGCCGGAAAAGGAACACAGGGTGTCAAGGAGCGGAAGGCGCCCGTGGCAACGGTCACATCGCGACCGCCTGCACACCAAACGACCTCTGGGAACAGCTCGACATTCAGCTCGCAAGTTATCACTAGTCGCTCCCTGTCCTGGGCCCGACGACCATCACGACAATCGAGATTCAGGGCGTCGACAGCTAATGGCACTATGCTGCTACCTTTCACCAGCCCCAGTGCCCCAACTCCAAGACTGAGGAGGATATCCGAGGGATCCTTTCCGTCTAGTGTCACTGCAACGCTTAAGTACAAGACAACTAACTCAGCCCCCCCCCCCCCCCCTCGTAATCCCGTGTTCGGCAGCCGCGGCCCGGCAGTGCCCGACGCTGGCCCATGTGCGGCCGTCGCCGTCGGCGTCGTACCTGATGCGCGTCATGTTGCCGCGCCGCTGCATCACCAGCGAGTCCTCGTCCTCGGGCCGCGCCTGGCGCACCGTCACCAGCAACAGCGTGTTCTGGCGCGCGCAGATGTCGCGCGGCACGGCGCCCACGCGCTCGGTGACGCAGCAGCGCAGGTCGACCTCGGCCGACGCCGGCTGGCGCTGCTCATCCTCGGGGTACTTCCAGAACGAGAGCCGGCTGCCGGAGAGCGCGCACCAGCGCCGATGCCAGGCGCCGAAGCCGCTGACGTCGTCGAACACGGTGACGAAGCCGCGCTCCTCGACCGCGCAGTCGGCGTGGCACGTGACCTTCATCAGGACGCCGCCGTCCAGCGGGCTCTGCGACGGTACCTGCGGCGGCGGGTCACGTGACCGAGCAGCTCGGCGACGGGCAGGCGGGCCGACGAAGGTCGCCAGGCGAGGGCCGCAGTCCAGGCCCCTGGTCTCAACGAGGCCATGTTCGAAACAGAAAAACTCGACAGCTTTTAACCTGAGCTCAGGCTACATTTAGGCCAAGTTTAGCAAAGCGTGTGCTGAGATCAAAGCGTCTTGGAGACAGTGATGTTCTGAATGACGGTGCTCCACTGGTTCGGTGTTATTTGCATGATGCCGCGGGTTCTTCGGCGGCAGAAACCATACCACACGCGATGGACCTCGCCGAAAAAGAACATGGCTGGCATCAGCAGAAATACAGCTAGCTTGACAAACGATAGAAGGAAACAGTAGCAATAGCCATGTCATGTCCATCTTGGGGGGGCGCACACGGCAACCCCTCCCCCCTGAAAATCACCCCTTCCAAAACCGTACCTTCTCGAGGGCCCAGGTGTTGTTGGCCAAGTTGCGGGACGTGAGGTGGATGAAGCCCATCAGCTGGAAGCTGGTGGCGCGCACGGCGCCGGGGCCGGCCGGCGACTGCACTGCCGGCGAGGTCAGCACCGACTGCTGCTTCAGCAGCTTCTTCGGCGTCTTGGTGCGATCCTGCCGGCCACGCCGCGGTCAGAGTCGGCCGGGTCAGGGCACCGGGTCATGCTCGGGTCAGAGTCGGCCCAGTCAGGTACGAGGTCATGCTCGAGTCAGGGGCCTGACGGGGTCAGTGCACCGGGCCATGCAGAGGTCAGAAGAGTGAAGGGGTCTGGCAGCAGGCGAGACCAGCCTCCTCATGCCAGTCGACGGCAGGCTGCAGACAGGAGGTCGCCCTGAGGCCCAGACCGGCCAGGGGACCGGAGGGTGCGCATGTGACCAGTGTCGGGGTGGCCGGGCCGGGGGACACGGCCGCACCGCCGACCCCAGCAGCGGTGCGAGCGCGGAGTCCGGTCGGCGGAGGTCAGACGGCCGTCGCCGCAAGGAGGCTGAGACGGGTCACACGCCCAGAGCCGAGCGAAGATGAAGGCGGCCTGCGCCGAGGCCGGGTGAAGTGGGCGCCGCAGCAGGCCGCCACCAGACAGCGCCCGGAACGATCCGACGCACGAGGACGATAGATGGTGCGGGCGATGTCATGTCTCACACAGAGCGTCGGAAGTGAGCTGTGATAACAGAATTTTCGACCGCGCGCGGGCGTAGGCGCAGAAGACTCAAGGCATTAGTCGGCACAAACCGCAGGCGGGCAACAAAATGGTCCGAGGACAGTGCCAGATCACGCACACGAAGCGCTATGTACGTCAATCACGCACTGTGATAGAGCAAGCGTCACGCATTAAGCAATCACGCACGGGAGAGTTGCGCTGATCGCGGTCTTTACACGTGGAGGAGAAATACACGCTGGTCAGGGAGCCGACCCATGTCCCGCGCCACATGTGGGGCATGCACCGGTCACTGTTGCTAAACAAAAGCCGTGCAATCATACATTTCTGAAACTACTCCACCCAGATTGTTCCATCGAGAAACCCTTCACGTGCAGAAAGCTCACCACACGCTGGCAGCTACGCGGTATCATGCATCACGGATCTACAGGACTCGGGCACGGACCGCGGACGTTACGTCCGCTACAGACCCTGCTCACTCTTGTCCGAGTCGAGCACCGCTGGGCGCCCAGCAGAGGGCGCTCCACACTCCTGCTCCGGCTGCAGAACACCAGTCGGACGCGGAGACACCCAGCAATCTGCGATCCCTCCGCGCCGCCAGGGCCGCCAGCAGGGGGTCCTACGCCCCCGCTGCCGCCGCGGGGAGGGCGTGACGACACCGCCCCCTCTACCCGTCGCTGCCGCCGGGACGACCTCTGCACGCCATGCCCCTCCCCTCCCGCGCACCAACCTCGTCGTACGGCGTCGTCACCGAGCAGGTGAGACAGAAACAGGCGCACACCATCGCCGTCTGTCGGCCGACGCGCCAGGCGCGGCTTCGCGGCGCCGCCAACAGACGGCGCCAGCGGCGGCCCCACCCGGTACGTGCCTTCCGGATGTGGTACTTGGCGTCGTGGGGCAGCAGCTCGCGCGGCGTCTGCAGGCCGTACACCTCCAGCGCCACGCCGAAGTCGGCCTCCAGGTCGCGGAAGCTCACCAGGTTGGGGAAGTTGATGGCGTTGCCTGCAGCGATCGAAGCTCAGCCGATGGGAAACGGACTTGGACGGGCGCAAGACATGGGAGGTTGTCTTATGGTGATAAAACGGTTGTCTTATGGTGGTCCGGCAACCAAACAGTAATAAGGCAACGAGATCGTCACCATTGACAGCAATATACGCCAGGTGTTAGACAGAGGCAAGGAAGAGCTGGACACACACAGAACACAGTTTGGAACACGGCACACATCGCCACCCAACTTTGGTCATTGGTCCTTCAGGTCGGAGACCATATTCAGACGGCCTCGCATAACCAACCACATTCGCGCAATGCTCGCCTGCGGTCCGGCCCGTCACCCGCCCGGCGCTCACCTTTGATGGAGTCCTCGGACGAGAGCATCTGCGTGGCGATCACCTGGCCGCGGTACCGCAGCAGCGCCACGAAATAGTACACGTAGTTGGCTGCGAAGACCGACACGGCCACGTCATCGACGACGTCATCAGCGTCGGAGCACAGCCGAGCGTGATCGGATCCGCTCGAGCCGGAATCTCCCCGAACGTGGTACACACGGGCGAAACCGACGACGGAGTGTCGGAGGTCCGCAGCTGGCGGGGTCGCATACGGCGCACAACCCACGCCAGCTCACGGCACGGCACCGACGGGCGTTCAGAGGCACGCTCGGCGGGCAAGGCTAGCCGGAGGTGCATGGCCAAACACAGCCTGGAATAACTTGGGCCCGATGACAACAAAGTCGTGCTCACACAGGCAGAGACAGTTGGCGACGACGGGCCTCAGGGCGCGCCGACTGCCTCGTCACATGGCGCCCATACGGAGAGGTAGGTCCGTCAGCCTGGCGGCTGCTTAACGGGCCTCAGGGCGCGCCGACTGCCTCGTCACATGGCGCCCATACGGAGAGGTAGGTCCGTCAGCCTGGCGGCTGCTTAACGGGCCTCAGGGCGCGCCGACTGCCCTCGTCACATGGCGCCCATACGGAGAGGTAGGTCCGTCGGCCTGGCGGCTGCTTAACGGGCCTCAGGGCGCGCCGACTGCCTCGTCACATGGCGCCTATACGGAGAGGTAGGTCCGTCAGCCTGGCGGCTGCTTAACGGGCCTCAGGGCGCGCCGACTGCCCTCGTCACATGGCGCCCATACGGAGAGGTAGGTCCGTCAGCCTGGCGGCTGCTTGACGGGCCTTAGGGCGCGCCGACTGCCCTCGTCACATGGCCCCCATACGGAGAGGTAGGTCCGCCAGTCTGGCGGCTGCTTCTGACGTAACCGTCCCCCGTCACGGCCACAGCACTGTCACAATGTCCCGGCGCAACGCCGCTGATGCCTGCGCGCCCCTCACGTCTGTCCCTCGTCTCCCAACAAGGCGCGCGCTCGCGCCATACCTGAACAGACCCTGACCGACCCGATGGCGCCGAACCCAGCCATCCAGCCAGTGGCGTCTCCCCTACGAAAGAAGCCCGGCCGTCCCCACCCCGACTGACCTGAGCCGGCGGCCACCTCGCGCACGAATGACGTCTTGAGCGGCAGCGTGACGGATGTGACGCTGAGCGAGCCGCGTGACGCCGGCCGCACGATACCCTGCTGCCGCATGGCGCCCTCCGTCTTGAGCCGCTGCACCTCCGACAGCGCCGCCTGGCGACGGTGCGCTGCGGCCAGCCGAGCGGCGTCAGACGGGCCGGCAGACACCGCGCTCCGATCCGACACGGGGGCGCGGCGGCAGCAGATGGACAGGCAGACAACGCGCTCCGATCCGACACGGGGGCGCGGCGGCAGCAGATGGACAGGCAGACACCGCGCTCCGATCCGACACGGGGGCGCGGCGGCAGCAGATGGACAGACAGACACCGCGCTCCGATCCGACACGGGGGCGCGGCGGCAGCAGATGGACAGGCAGACACCGCGCTCCGATCCGACACGGGGGCGCGGCGGCAGCAGATGGACAGGCAGACACCGCGCTCCGATCCGACACGGGGGCGCGGCGGCAGCAGATGGACAGGCAGACACCGCGCACCGATCCGACACGAGGGCACGGTGGCAGCAGACGGGTCGGAGGACAGGACGGCAACGCAGCTTACGGATGAGACGTGAGCAGGATGTAGCGTGCCGTTAAAACTTTCCGAGATTTGATTTATCACAGAAGTGTATGATGACCAAGCGAACATGATGGATATTCTGATATTGGCAGATGGAACAATCGGGTCCAAAGTAATTCGTGCGATGGGAAATACTTCTTTCTGCGCCCTGCATCAGTCAGTTGCAATTTTCGCAGCATCCCACTCCGGTTCGGCACAACCAACTGCGTCTGCTATATCGGCCGGGACACCACGCACGAAGCATACACCGCGACAGAAACACACAGCGCAGCCGTCCACCACACTGAGACCTGAGGCCGGACAGCAGCTCAGAGCCGCCCGGCGCGGCCGGACGGACACTCACTGGCTACGAGCAGCAGCCGCTCCGCCTCCACCATCTCCGAGGAGCCGGTGAACTCGATGGTGGCGTTGCAGAGGTTGAGGGCGCGGCTGGCCTGCGACATGACTGTCTGCTGCTGCGCCGCCTGAGGCCAACAGCGGACGGCGGTCAGACGGCGGTCAGACAGCAGTCAGACGGAGGTCAGACGGCGGTCAGGGACGGTCAGCCGGAGGTCAGACGGTGGTCAGACGGCGGTCAGACGGCGGTCAGAGACGGTCAGACGGAGGTCAGGCAGCAGTCAGAGGCGGTCAGACAGCGGCCAAACGGGGGTCAGACGGCGGTCACACGGCGGTCAGAGCACAGCGCGGCGGTGATGGGCGGCGGCGCCGGGTGTGGAGACGAACGAGGGCAGACGGGCGCGCGGGCCACAGACGTGGCACAATTGACGGGTGATGAGCAAACGGCGGCCGGGGGGCACCATGTGGCCGCTGCTCTGAACGCGGGGCAGTAGCGCGGTGCGTGGACACAGCACCCTGAACAGGCCTTCTACACCGGCCGCGAAGCGTGGACACAGCACCCCGAACAGGCCTTCTACACCGGCCGCGAAGCATGATAGCGAGCAGCAGTCCAAGGCGAAATCATTCAGGCAATTAAGCGAGCGGTATCAAACAACTTTATATCAGACACCACATTCATCAAAAGTAATCCAGTTACATTATTAAGTACCGATATGCGTGCTTCATAGTCCCCATTACGACCAGCCGAACAGCCTCAGCTTTGGCCCCCATCATCCGCACAGCTCGTCCTCAGCCTTGCCGGCTCGGGCGGTGCCCGGGCGCCCACCTCCTTCTGCAGCTGCTTGACGCGCTCCTGGACGCCGGCGGCGAGCGTCGATTGCCCGCCGGTTGCAGCCTCGGGCAGCGGCGGCCGAGCCACCTCCCGGTTCCGCACCACCGGCCGCACCGGCGTCACCTGCACCTCCTGCAGCGGCACCGGAGGCCCGTCAGCGGCCAGAGGGCCACCAGTCCAGCCCGGGTCCAGGCGGAGCCATAAACGGGAGGCGTCCGCGGCCCAAACACACCACAACGGGCGGCCCTCAGGCTTAACTGCCTCACCCACCGCACAGTGCGCACGCAACCCCTCCTCCCTCCCCTCACACACACACACTGCACAGCCGCCAGTCATGAGCGCCGTCGAGGCCCGACGTACACGCATTAGTACACGCAGTCGGCGCTTGAAGTCGGCTGGCTGCCAGCCGCGGTCCGGTCGGCTCGGACAGCTCCGCGCCGGCGGGACGGGCCGCGGTCCCGTCTCGGCCGCTCACCTGTGGCTTCTGTCGGCGGTAGAAGCTGACCGAGTGCATGAGCGGCAGCTCCGCGTCACCGTCCAGCACCACAGACGGCAGGCTCAGGTCCCGCTCCGGCGACTTAACCGACGCCATCGGCGTCCGGAACGCGCCCGAGTCTTGCCGCTGCCGACCGAGACGGCCACGTCACGCACACACACACACCGGCGGTGACGTCACGCTCGGGGATGGCGGGGCGTCGGCGCGCGGGGTAACCGCTGTCCTTCCACGGGACGAGACGCCAGCCCTCCACAGACTGGCGCCGCGCATCCCCTTCCGGCGCGGAGCCTCACACTGACACCAAACACGACATGACGCTCTCCGAGACGGCGGTGTCGTGCCTCTGTAGACTGCCGCGACCAGCTGTGTTCTCCGGCTGACTGTGGCATGCGCTCGCCACGCTCACCGGCCACGGAGCGGGCCAGAGAGCAGGGAAGTGACCGCCATGTCCGGGCTGGGGATTCAGAAGCAGCACACAGCCAGCTCGCAGGCATAGGTGAAAGGACCAGGAGAAAGGTTTGCCAAGGCTCAGCAGAACGTGGATAGGAATACGTAGCGCGTGGAGAGGCCAGCTACGGACGAGCGTGACAACACAGCTGACGGGGCGGGGGGGGGGGGGGGGCAGAGGACGAACCTTTGAGCCTGGACCAGAGAGGAGGCGGGGATGCTGTGGAGATCGGGCATGGGGAGCGCCATCGCCGCCGCCTCGTCGCAGGCACACCGCCTCCAGCTGCGCCACCAGGTCGGAGACGGAGCTGCCGCCTTCGCCGGCACCCCTCTCCCAGAGCTGTGAGGTGTCCTCGCATGGCTCCTCTGATGCGCTCATTGTCTGCCCCGAAGCGTCCCCATTCTGCTCTGAGGAGCCTTCCATCGGCTCTGAGCTGTCCTCTGCTTTCTCCAAGGTGCTCTGCGACCAATCTGAATCCTCAGTTTGCTCAGGGGTGCCCTCTGTCGGCCCTGGACCTCCCTCTTCCTTCTCCAAGGTGCCCCGCGTCCACGATGAGCTCTCGGTTTGCTCCGAGGTACTCTCTGTTCGTTCTGAAGCGCTCTCCGACGGCTCGGGCTCGCCTCCAGCCCGCTCTGCCCCGAACAGATAGTGCCTGAGGCGGGAGTGGTGACTGACACCCGAGACGTCCGCCAGCGCGTCCTCCTCGGCCGCCTCCTGCCAGCAGCGCGGGGACCGCGCCAGCCACCCACCCCCTAGCGATCCGTGATCAGAGGTCAGCTCGGAGGTCAGGTCCGATGTCAGATCAGAGGTCAGGTCGGACGTCTGCTCCGCACCGAGCAGCGACAGGTCCAGGGTAGGCGTGCGGCCCCCAGCCGAATGACGGCGGTCGGCCAGGGCCGAGTCGGAGCCAGCGCCGGCGCCGGGCTGGCGTGGGGTTGACGTGTGTAGGGCGCGCGGCCGGGAGCCGGCAGCGGCGCGGCACGCGGCCGTCGGCCGGGTCGGCAGACAGGGTACCGAGAGACGGTGCCACGGCGCCGTCACCGCCGCCCGCTGGAAACGGCGGACCAGCTGCGCCACGCCCGGAGAGGCGGGCACGCACGGCTGGGAGGAGCAGCGGCGCAGCGGCTGCAAGGAGCAGGGGCAGGACAGGTCGGTTAGCTGACGACAGGGAAAGTCAGCGGAGGGTGAGAGGTCAGGAGTGGGCAGGTCGGGTCGGGTCAGGTGTGGTTATGCCAGGTCAGGTCAGGAGCGGGCAGGTGGTCAGGTCAGGAGTGGGCAGGTGGTCAGGTCAGGAGCGGGCAGGTGGTCAGGTCAGGAGCAGGCAGGTGGTCAGGTCAGGAGTGGGCAGATGGTCAGGTCAGGAGTGGGCAGTTGGTCAGGTCAGGAGTGGGCAGGTGGTCAGGTCAGGCGCGGCAGGTCATGCCAGGCGCGGCAGGTCAGGTCAGGCTTAGGCAGGTCAGGGCAGGTCAGGTTATGCCAGGTCAGGTCAGGAGCAGGCAGGTGGTCAGGTCAGGAGCGGGCAGGTGGTCAGGTCAGGAGCGGGCAGGTGGTCAGGTCAGGAGCGGGCAGGTGGTCAGGTCAGGAGCGGGCAGGTGGTCAGGTCAGGAGCGGGCAGGTGGTCAGGTCAGGAGCGGGCAGGCGGTCAGGTCAGGAGTGGGCAGGTGGTCAGGGGTCAGCAGGAGTGGGCAGGTGGTCAGGTCAGGCACGGCAGGTCAGGTCAGGCACGGCAGGTCAGGTCAGGCGCGGCAGGTCAGGTCAGGCGTAGGCAGGTCAGGTCAGGTCAGAGGCGGACATGTCAGCTAAGGCGTGCGCGCGTCAGAGGTTGAGGCGGGGCGGGCTAGCGCTCTTTCGCACGGTGTTAGTTAACACATAAACATATACCCCAAAGATGTTCACATATACACATGACCTGGTCAAATTCATTCTGAATGCCCTCAGAACGACTGCGACTCGGCCGTAAAGCCACCGCACACGACCCTTCCGTGCCCGACGCGCCGCCCGCGTGCCCCGCGTACATACCACAGTCTTGGTCCGCTTCGGCGGCGTCGGCTCGTCCTCGTCGTCTATGATGTCGAGCACGTCATCGATGGCGGCACAGGCGGCCATGCCAGAGAGGTCGCTGCTTGCATCCTGGCGGCGGCGGGGCGGGAGGCAGCGCGTAAGACACCGATCAGAGCCGCAAGGTCACTGAGTCACAGGACTTGGAGTCGCGCCCAGCTGTCTGCCGGGTCGCTCAGGACACACGGCAGTCGCTGCGGCGTCCGCCCAGTCATGGCAGCCGGCGGACGGCAAAGGCCTCTAGCCCGCAGTTTAGCAGCGCGGGCTGACGCAGCGGGATGGTGCTCGTATGGACGTCGAAGACGCCGTCAGATGCCGTGTCACATACGGAACGTCCCTGCACAGACACGTCTCCGGGCCGACTGTTTTACAGCCAACTCTGCCTGCCAGCCGAGGCCCGGCTGTGCCGTCGAGTCACAAGGCTGGCCGGCGAGCGGACGCCACCTCGCCTCGAAGAACAGCGGACCCCTCTCCACCGCTCCATCCCGTCCCGTCCCCTCCTGCCGTCCGCTCCACCTACCCTCGCACCCTATCCCCAGCCGCCCCCCACCGCTCCATCCCGTCCCCTTCCGCCGCTTGTTCCACCTACCCTCAGCCCCTCCCACCGCTGCACGACTCACGCTCTCGTCAATGGTGGGCAGGCTGGCCGGTGGTGGCGGCGGCTGGTTGGCGCGTGCCATCGCCAGGATCTCGGCGCCCAGACTCTCGGCGTCGCTCTGGCCGCTGGTGTATGACACGGTAGATTCGTCGCCGGCGCGCCACACGGTGCTGGCCGGCGACGCGGCGCCGCTGCGGACCAGCGAGCACGCCGTCGTCAGCCGGATGACGCGCGCGCGCCGCGGCGCCGCCGCAGAGAGCGAGCGCAGCGCGCGGCCCACCACGCGACCGTGGAGCTGCAGCGCCGTCACCACGGCGTCGGCGGCCGGCGGCGCGGCCGCGTGATCGGAGCCGACCGCCGAGTACATGGTCGGGTCAGGGTCGCTCAGGTCGGCGGAGCTCGCGTCGGTCGCGCTCGAGTCGCATGCGGCGTCGGTGTAGTGTGATCTGTCCCTGCGGTAGGATCTGCTGGCGTGGTAGGACGCGTCGGTGTGCTGCGATCTGTCGCTGCGGTGGAATCTGCTGACGTGGTGGGACGCGTCGGTGTAGTGTGATCTGTCGCTGCGGTGGGATCTGCTGGAGTGGAAGGACGCGTCGGTGTACTGCGATCTGTCACTGCGGTGGGACCTGCTGGCGCGGTAGGATGTGTCGGCGTGGTAGGACGCGTCGGTGTAGTGGGAGCCACCAGTGTGCTGAGATTGGTCTATGTAGTCGGATTCATCCGTGTGGCGGGACCGACCCGCATATGACCTGTCAGCGTGGTTAGACCGGCGGCGGGCGCCGCACGCACCGGCGTCGCCCCGGGCCGGCGGCGGCAGCGGGTCGCGCGTCGCCTGGGGGCTGCGGAAGCTCTCCTCGCTCGAGCTCGACTGACAGAAGGTGACCTGCTTGCGCGGCGGCGGCGGCGGTTCGGCCTCGCCCGAGCGGCTCGTGTCGGCCGGCGTCACCAGCCGCGTCGACGCCGCCGCCGGCTCGCTGTCGGAGGGCGTGCGCGACGGCAGCTCCAGCGGCGGGAACGAGCGCGCCAGCCGATCGCCCAGCACGCGCTGGCAGCTCTCGTACAGCGAGCCGAGCTCCTCGTCCGAGCTCGGCGCGCCGGCCGAGTCGAACGGGGAGCGTCCAGCAGGCCGGCCCGCGGACGGCGTCGGCGGCCGGGACAGCGCTAGCGACTGCGCGCGCGCGTCGAAACGGGTTCGGCGCGATGTCGGAGGCTGTACGCGGGCCTCGGTCGAGTCATGAGACATCGTCATTGGCTGCGCGCGAGCGTCGGCCCAGAGCTGGGACGATGTCAGAGACTGTTCGTTGGCCTGTGCCCACTCTTGAGACGACAGCGACGCATCATAAGCCAGCTCTGGCGCGTGGCGACGGCTAGAACGACAAGGACACAGAAAGAAGGCGTTAGCGAAGCTCTGACGCGAAAGCACCCCAGGTGTGTTAGCGACCAAGCACGAACAGCAAGATCAAGCTGCGAACAGATAGCCGCGGACAGAAAGGTGCGAGCATCAAGCAGCGAGAGAGCGGAGCTGGACGCGGTGGCGTGAGACCAACAGAGCTGGACATAACGCTGAGAGGAGCAGGGAGTCAAACACACAGCGTGCTGTCAGAAAGCCTCAGAAGTAACAGCGCAGCGACCGCAGGCCGCAGTCTTGACCGCACCGAGCGTAGCCGAGACCCGATCCACCTTGTCATCCGCAGGGCGGCGGACACCACATCTTGGGCCCGAGACATCACCATCACCATCCCCATCACCATGCAAGAGCCGACCAGCACCGCCAGTCACGCGCCGCGTTGCCCGACGCCGCCCGTCGTGTGGACGGGCGGCAGGACCAGCGGCTAGAGACGCATGTCACGTGCAGGAGCGACGGTATGACATCACGTGCGCGAGCGCCAGCGCGTGGCGTCACGCCATGCTCGAGTCCGGCCGGATGCAGGCGCCAGACGACGCATCATGCGGAAGCCAGCCGCCGCCGACAGGCGGGCTGCGGCCGCCAGCGTGCATGCGCCGCGTGCGGACGGACGCGGGCAGCAGCGGCGGCGGCGGCGGCCGGACGCCGTACCTGCGGCCGTCGTCCGTCTCCGACTCGTGCGAGCTGCTGGCCGTCTCCAGGTCGGAGAGGCTCGGGTACAGGCAACCGGGCTTGACGCGCACCTGGTACGGCCGCCGGCCGGCCGCCCTGTTGGCAGCGCAGCTGCTCAGACTGGCGGCCGACGCGCGAATTACGCCGCGCTCTGGCCGGCCCGCTATGGCGTCGACGGTAGCTCCTGTCCAGCTACTGGACTGTTACGAAGCGAGGCAGCCGCGAGCAGCTACGGTTCTCAGGAAGAGCAGCGCTGGACAGGTCGGGTGGAGCGGATGGACGCTGCTCTGGCACGCAGGATCCGACGGCGGGTTGAGGATCCAACGGCGGGCGGAGGATCCATCGGTGGGTGGGGGATCCAACGGCGGGCGGAGGATCCATAGGTGTGCGGAGGATCCAACGGCGGGCGGAGGATCCATCAGTAGGTTAAGGATCCGACGGCGGGTGGCAGATCCAATGGCGGGGTCCGACGGCGGGTTTAAGATCCAACGACGGGCAGGGATCCAACGGCGCGCGGAGGATCCAACGGCAGGTGAAGGCGTCTTCGGGGAACTGGTAATTTGTGGCGCCAGGGCTGATACGGAACACATTGAGGTAGATGGCAATATCCTAAGGAGCGGAGCCAGTTCCGAGACATGAGGGGGTTCCATCTTGAGACAAGAGATTCCGGTCAATAACCAGGAGAGGTTCCAGTCTTGAGCCAGGGCCGGCTCCGTTTTGGAGCAAGGGAAGGGTCCGGTCTTGAACCAGGAGCGATTACTTTTGAGTAAGAAAAGTCTGTGAACTTGTGTTAAAAATATCTGGTTTAAAGATCCCAGGGAGGTTGTTGTTGATTGGAGTTTTAGGGCGCGCCGACTACTGTGGTCATTTTGCGCCCATCCAGGGAGGTTCGAATCGCATGACAGGAGAAGTTTTTTTCGGTTTAGGAAACAGTCTAGCCTTAAGTCAGCAGAGGTGAATCCTTGGCAGGGACAGGCCGGCCTTGAGCCGGGACAGGCCAGCCTTGAGTCGGGACAGGCCAGCCTTGAGCCGGGACAGGCCAGCCTTGAGTCGGGACAGGCCAGCCTTGAGCCGGGACAGGTTAGCGTCGAGTCAGTGAGGTTCCTATTTCGAGTCAGATGTTCCGCTCTCGAGACAGGACCAGACGTCTCCACTCTCGAGCCCGGAGAGGACCAGGAGCTCCGTCGGGAGCCGCTCCATCTCGAGCCAGAGACGCGCCCGGGTGGCACAGCACCCCTGCGGTAACGCTCCAGCGGGCCAGGCAGGGATTGTTTGGATCACCGAGTACTGGGGAGGACGCGGTTCAGGAGGCTGCCGGGGATGACCGGACCACCACGGACTTCTAGGTCAGAGCAGAGGACCAAGCCACTGTGGTCGGCTGCCAACGATCGGCACCAGGGCATAGCATTCTACAGCTGCCTTTTCAGGCGACACACTATGTAACTACCACCAAGTTTGCTATGTACATCATATTGTTTTTGGAAGCTAAACACTGGCACACGTTTGATGCTTACCTGGTATGGAGCATGTAGAATGTAAGAACAGCGTGAGGAGATCAACGTGAAGGGACATATTGTCCAATAAGGATCATGCTTGCAGATAAGAGCACTGCATGGTGGGTTTGATGTTTTATGTATCCTATGTCCAAACACTCCACACAGTTTTACCCATTACACCATGAGGGAAGTCGTGGCAAAACAGGCACTTCATGGTCATGGTCATGGAGGTCATGCACGTCAAGGACTGACATACTAGCTACTTTCCTCCCGCTGAGCCACGCCGAAAACCTTGCCCCCATCGGCAGCCTCCCGCAGGCGCCTCTGTCCCTCGCATGCGGCTCCAGCGCTAGGCCCCACCCTCTCCAGCTATGTGACTACAGCTCACCTGGCGCCGCTGTGGGAGTCTGCGGCCGGCTGTGATTGGCGGAGCGGGCTGCTGACGGCCCCTGGTTGGCGGAGCGGCGACTGGGGGCGGGGCTTGTGCGACGGAGAGCCGCCCGGCGGCGGCGGCGGCGGTGGCGGCGCTGGAGGGATGCCGGCCATCTGTGGCGGCGGCGGCGGCGGCGGAGGGGCCATCTCCTCCAGCTGAGGACGGCCGAGGGGCGTCAAAGTGAAGCGGGGGTCGACTGGTGCGGCTTACAATGCTGCGCAAATACCTACTGAACCTCCCACAGGAAAACGAACGTGTTGCGGACAGACTCGCCAGCGGACGAACTGGCGCTGGATGAGGTGCAAAACGAAATTGGCACCTATACAGAACCAGACAGCATCACAACACCTATGCTCATGGCACCAGTGGATAGGAATGCGATCCAAGTAAAAGGCAGGTATCCTGCACAGATGTCTGAGGCCATCACTACCCGCAGAAGTGCAAAAAGTCCATAAAGTCTACATCAACTGACCGGTTTCGCCGTCCTGGCGGCGTGTTCCAGCTCGGCCGGCTTATGCTGCCACCTGTTGGCCAGAAATCCAAGCTCTCGCTGGCGCTGTTCCCGACTGCTCTGCGCGATGTCGTTATTGCGCCAGTCGTTGTTCATCGACTCCCAGAGCTTGCGGTGCGCCTGGAAGGTGGACTCGCCGACGCCGCGGGAGGGCGACGGCGGCCCGTCGGCGGACGGAGGAGGCGGTGGCGGCGGACCTGCAGCACCACACGCGCCCCAGTCAGCCGACATCGCCGATACCCGCCGGCAGGAAGTCTCGCCGAAGCGAAGCAACCCGTTGTCCTTCTAAAGCGTGCCGCGTCTGCCCAGCCGGGCTCTGTCGAAGCTGACACATGAACACGCCCGACGGCCGAACATCTTTTACGCCATGACGTCGCGCTTCGGTGCCTAGGTGTTCCGCGGCCGCATCGACTTCCCCGCACTGCAACACCTCGCTGCCACCGGACCTAGCCTCGCCGGCCGGCGCAGCCGCCCGCCGGCCGTGCGTCACCCGCGGCGCCCACCTGTCTGCCGGAGCGGGGAGCGGGCGCGGCCGGACTCCGGGGCGGGCCGGCCGGCGCCGCGCGTCGTCGCCGCCGCCGCCGCCGCCTCGTGCTGGCGCAGCATGTGCGGGGTCACGGGCGTGCCGAACCGCGCGATCACCTGCCCACAGAAGGCAGTAGGCCTCAGAGGCGACAGGCCCCAGCGCGGCTGGGGCTCAGAAGGGCACACGTGTCAGGCCCAGGCTACAGGGGACCGGTGCTTGAGCCGTGGAAGCAGCAGGGTGTGAACGGTGGGCCACAAATTCCGCACCTAGGTTGGTTACGGTACAAAGCTCGTGGCTCGCTATCGCAGACGTCAGCTTTCAGAACCATACACTTTTGCTGGAAAACACGCTGCACCCAAATTTAATGACTTCATGCATCAGTTGACCCCGCCATTCCCGGCATGACCCGGCATTCTCAGAGCCCTGCTGACCTTAGGCGGCTGGCCTTTCTCGAACAGCTTCCTGCGGTCGGAGAGGGTCATCTCGGTCGGGTCCACGTTGGGCGGCGGAGGGGAGGCCGCACGGTCGAACACCGCCGCCCGCTCCTGCACGAAGCGGCCGCGCACCGGCGACGGCTGGCGGGTCGGAGACACCTGGCGCATAGGCGACGGCTGGCGGGTCGGAGACCCCTGGCGCATCGGCGACGGCTGGCGGGTCGGAGACCCCTGCCGGTCCGGCGACCACTCGCGGGCCGGTGGGTCGCGCAGGCCGGCGGCCGGCGGGGAGACCTGCAGGAGACAAGGGGTGAGCCGCCGCACCCCACAGAACACACGAGAGCAGCCCGACCAAGCCGACTCGACCTGTAGGCAGCGTCAAACGCGTCAAGTCGCCACTGACCAGTAGGGAAAGCGCGCAAAGTCGCAAGACCAGACTTCAGACGAGCGAAAGACGTCCGCACGCATGCCAAAAGCTCCCTGCCGTGTTGACTCTCAGGCGTCGACACGTGCCACAACAGCTGGACACAAGCGCCTTATCTAGCGGACGGCTGATAAGCATCAAACGCCGTACGTCCGTCCAGTGACAGCCGCCGACCAATCAGCACACCCACAGCGGAAATCCCTATCGATGGCGCAATCGACTGCAGGAAAGCCCACAGCGCTACAGAAAAATCCCCGATACAGCCGCATCACGCTGTGAAATGGCGGCCAGAAAAGTTGGCACGTAGTAAAGAAAGAAGTGGCATTTGCCAGGCTTCAGATTGCCTTGCAACTAAAAACACCTGCCTGACGACCAGACTAATGTTTCAGACTGTCTTCAGAGATATGCCAAAGTAATCGGGAAAATGCACACAAGTTCTAAGTGAGATCTTAAATACGGCCAGACACCGCCATCAAAAGTTCCACCAAGGGGAATCCGCCACCGCCTGGCACTATCTCCCCTTCCGCCAACTTCAGGTTCGCTCCCTCTCCACCGCCGCTGCTGACCTGAGCAGGCTGAGGCCTGGGCGGCGGGCTGTAGCGGACGGGGCTGGGCGACCTGTAGGGCGCGGCGGCCCGCTCTGGCGAACGGCAGGGCGCGGCGGCCGGCTCGGGCGACGGCTTCGCCACGGCGGCCACCACCCGAGGCGGAGAGGCCGAGTGGGCAGCCTCCGTGAAGTCGTACACCAGCCGGCCACGCGAGCCGGACGGCGTGAAGCCCTGCGCCTCCTGCGGCGACGGCGGGGGGACGGTGAGCTGGGGCTGCCTCGCGAGGCGGTCAGAACAGTCCTGTGCCCGACGCCGCGGTGGTCTTACGCTCCCCGCGTCTGGGGCTGGACCACCAGCGGACGGCAGACGAGCCTGGCCAGCGTCACCACTCCAGAGGGGTCATCAGAGGAGCGCCCCAGTCGAGTAAGCGGTACAAGTCGGCACCCACGGCCCCACCTCGGTCCCGGGCACAGGGCTGGACACTTGACAGCTGACGGACGGCTAGACTCGTCACCGACGCCGCCGTCGTACCGTCAGCCGCAGATGGCTAGTGAGCCGGAAGCTAGTGAGCTAGGCGGCCAGAACGGAACAGAGTAAACTGCCAGTGCACGGAGACCGCGGCCACTTGCCAACAGTGCCTCACGGCGATAGTGATATCAAAAACACATCCAGTCAGGTGAAAGCCGACACTGCGCGGAGCATGGGGCCGAACGTTCTCAGTGCAAACACCAATAATCAGGTGAAAACGGACACCGCGCGGAGCATCGGACCGAACTTTCTCAGAGCGAATACCAACAAACACGTCATGAGGCAGCCACTCGATAAAACCAACTGGTGGCATGCCAGCAAACTGCAGTGCATTGAGAGAAAACGTGAGAGGTGACAGCACAAGTTGGAGTGGGGCCAAAAGACAGGGCAAGGACAAGGCGCGCCGCTGCAATCGCCCACCGACTTACCAGGCTCGCTGAAAGTTGATATTCCACGACGTCCCTTCAGTAATGCGCTAAAGCCTCCCCACTACGTTTTTAGACGAGTAGGTGAGCTCGTTGTTAGTCATTGGTGGACTACTGAAGCGAGGATAATGTGGCCCGCCACAAAGCCACTGACTGATAGCAGGCTGGCATCAGCGGGGCAGTTAAGAGGCAACGGTGTAACCAAACCACGTCAGCTCAACGGACCGACGTCTCAAGCCTCGACGGTTCAGCTGCACCTTCACTGAACTTTTGGACTGAACTGCGCTTAATGAACTGAACGGTGAACCAAGCAGGTAGATGTTAAAAGGATTTCACAACCCTGAAAAGCCCATACCAATAGGTAATGCTGGTGACCCCTGAGACCCAGACTGGCGCTCTGAAGTAAGACATGTCCGGAAACAGCTGGCAAACATCAACAGCACCTGATCGGTTCCCCAGGGGCACTCCACCAGCGCTTGTGCGCTTAGCTAGGCCCCACTGAGTCTAATTTGTGACAACACGCACTCCACTACACCAGCCGAACTGCTGCTGGAAATAACTCCCTGCATGTAAGGCCTACCTATTCCGCCGATCTTATTCTCTGTAAGCAGAGTAACGCCGCGACAGTTTCGACAGACATGCAAAGCTAGAATCAACAGTCAGCGAGCCAGCAGCCGGTGCGACCAGAGGCAAAAGGCTGGACCCGAGGTCAGGTTAGGTCAGGTCAGGTCAGGAATGGCAGGATACGGCCCAGTAGGTAAGCCTGCGGTGGGGCCAGGACGGCGGATGAAGTCCGGCAGTGTTTAGGACGACCAGGAAGACAAAATCACCGACATAATGTTGGTGACTAGATCGCGAACTGAATAGTGATGGACCCTCGCCGAATCATGGCTGGACATGGGAGGCGACAATCTTCGGGACTCTAGAACTAGGACTCTCCGGAAGTGCGCTGCAGGACGGAGAGGCTGCGGTGCACCCTTCAGGGACTGTTCGGATCAGTCCTGAAAGATAGGCAAGCTTCAGGGCGGTACAGGTCGTTAACGTCGTGTTGCGGTGCAGGTCTTGGCAGGACTCCTGGATTGGATATCTCCGGACGACCGGCAGCCTCTTCAGCGACTGGTCTGGACGAACGGGCGGACGGACGAACGGACGGAGTCTGCCGGGCCAGGCCAGGCCAGGTCGGGTCAGGTCGGCGTGCAGCACTCACCAGCGAGCGGACCAGCGCGTCATCGAGCGGCACCTGACCCTCGGCGGCAGGCGGCGGGTCCGGGTGCTGCCGTAGCTGCCGCGTCGGCCGGTACTCAGCGTGCGACACGTGCGTGGCCGGCTCGGGCTCGGGCTCTGGCTCTGGCTCGGACTCGGACTCCAGCTCCGGCTCTGGCCGAGGCTCTGGCTCCATCTCTGGCTCCGGCTCCTCGGCGGCCACATGCAGCGCGCTCTGGCCGGGGTCGAGGTGCATGCTGGCGCGGTGACGCGACCCGTTCCCGCCCACGCTAACCTTGACCTCCGTGGTGACGGTGGTGCGGCTCGGCCCCGACGGCCGGTACTCGCGCACCACGGCCGGCGGCGCCGCCGTCACGTGACCGCCGCCGGCCGCCGGCACCGAAGCCACGTGACAGCCGGCGGCCAGCCGCGGCAGGCAGCTGGCGGCGCCGCCGGCGGCCAGCCGCTCGCCGGCGCCGATCTGGCGGCGCAGCGGCGACGGCGAGCGCACCTGCCAGCGCGAGGTGCGCGGCTCCCCGCGCTGGGGCGAGGCGGCCGCCTTCACCGGCGAGCGCGAGCGCTCGACCGGCCGCGCGGCGGCCACGGCCTCGCGCTCGGCGGCACGCGAGGCCCGCACAGGCGCTGGCGCCGGCGCCGATACCTCGGACTCCAACTCCTGGTACTGGGAGGCGAGGCCGGCCAGCCGGCTGCGCAGGCCCCGGCTGCTGGCCGAAGCCGAGAGTGCCGGTGGCGGTGACGGCTCTGGCGGTGGGCACCGCTCGCGAGGTGTCACCTCTGCCTCGAACGTGTCCAGGTCTGGAACGGCGCAAGCCACAGGTCACGACCCGGCGCGTCCCAGTCAGACATCGGGAAGAATACTGACGCGGTGACCGAGACTGGACACCTCGCTGGGTCGGTCAGTCCCGCCTTCTATTCCAAGCAGTGTTGTATCTGACTTATGGGTTCAGTGGCCATGGAGCCCCGAATCCGTGTCCATGACGTCTTAGGAGCTGATGAACTATGCACGCCGTTCAACCTTAGATTGTCAAAAAGGTGACAATTTAATTTTGCACGAACAGAAACAGCTAAGCAACGGCAGAGTGAAACTCGCCGCAAAATACGTCACGCATTTTTGTTTCACAAATCAGCAAGACCGTCAGTACCCCTTCCCGCCCAGTGGTCCGTGCCCAACCCATTCTAAAAGTCACTGTTATACACAAAATGCTCATCTAAAACGTGACTAGCACAACGTGCAGAGATTCCAGTTTCTTTCGGACACCACCTCGCCTCCATTGTAATCCGGTCAAGCCGCAGAGCACCGTCAGCGGCAAGGCCCGCCGCCCGCGCCCTGTGCCCGTCACTGACCGGTCTCGCCGTCGGTGGAGTACAGCGAGCCCAGCTGCTTCAGCCGGCTGCGCGTGCTGTCGTGCAGCACGTTCGGCCGGTTCTCCTTGTCGTCAGTGGGCCGGCGCGGACTGGCCGCCTTGGCTGCGGGTCAGAGGCCGACACTCAGTATGGGTCAGGGTAGGAGGGTGGGTGGCGCGGATCAGGGTGTGGTGGCGCGGATCAGCGCGGGGTGGCGCGGGTCAGGGCGGGGTGTGTTGGCGCGTGTCAGAGTGGAGTGGTGCGGGTGAGGGTGAGGGCGGGGTGGGGATGGGGGTGGGGGTGGGGTGTCATGGTTCAGGGTGTGGTGGCGCGGGTGAGGCTGTGGTGGCACGGGTCAGAGTGGGATGGGATGGGTCAGGTTGGGTTGGCGCGGGTCAGGGCACACTGCGAGGCGCACCAAAGCGCTACAGCCCGCTGATCGAAGGGGGCAATGCTTGCATGCTTCGCACAGATAACCAAATGCAAACAGCAGGCATGCTAAAGGGCCAAGGCAAAGCAATACCACCGGCCACGTGATCATAAGCCACAAAGAACACATCATTGCATTGTCATTAACTGCGTAAGCATCCTACCACGTCCGCATTGCACATTACTCGGCAGACACCACATCCTTAAACATTCAGACGACCTCGCATCTGCCCCCGCCCCCCTCCCCACCTAGCTGACGGCGCGGCTGCCATACCACGCGCCTGCACAGGGCGCCAGGACTCTGCAACAGCCGCCCCGCCACCGCCATCGGTCGCGCTCTGCCGCCGCTGCCGCGCCTCACCTGCCTGCCGGGCGGAGCCCAGGTCGCCGTTGGAGGCGTCCGAGCGCAGGGGACTCCTGGCGGTCGGTGCAGCGTCAGCGGCGGCGCGCAGCGGACTGCGCGCCGAGCCGGCGCCAGTGGAGCCGGCGCCGGTGCGCTCGTCCACGCGCCGCTGCCGCTCCCGGGCCCGCTCCAGCATCCTCTGTCGAGCCGCCGGACGCCGGTTAGACAGACGGTGGCAGGAGGGAGGGAGGGCGAGGGAAGGAGGTCACGGGCAGACGGCGGATGGAGAGGGACATCACGGGTCAAGCATACAGGTCTGAGGAGAGCAGGGGGTTCAGGGCAGATGGAGAAACAGCATGCGGTCAGGGGTAGATGCCTGAGGAGAGCAGGGCAGTCAGGAGCAGATGGAGAGAGACAGCATGGGTCAGGAGAAGATGTCTGAGGAGAGCAGGGGGTTCAGGGGCAGATAGGGAGAGACAGTATGGGTCAGGGGTAGATGCCTGAGGAGAGCAGGGGGTTCAGGGGTAGATAGGGTGGGACAGCATGGGTCAGGGGTAGATGCCTGGGGAGAGCAGGACAGTCAGGAGCAGATGGAGATGGATGACATGGGATTGTTGCAGGTGGCTGGATGGGAAGCATCAGGGCAGGGCAGGTAAGCTGGTCTGAATTGGCTCATCCCTTGGGATGGAGCAGTTTGACTGGAAACCTTTAGAAAAGAGCAGTGGCTCACTCATCAATGAATGCAGCAAATGAATGGAGGCATGCTACAGTGAATTGGCCAACATGGCCTTTGCGGCCATGTTGGCCATGGTATGTAGCCATGTTGGTAGCTGTGGGCCATGCCAATTGAGCCCCTCCCACATGGTGGGACAGTTTTAAAGAATGACCTCTTGCTTGATCTATGTTCAGTAAGATGCAGCTTTGACATTAAAAAATGGGCTCTTCTTGATGTGACCTGCTACATGATATTATTTGGGAACTGTTATGCTGCACAAGATAGTAGCCACAAGCCACAGCCTGTGTAGTGTATAAAGTTTTAAAGGCCTGAAAAATATTTTGGGATTTTCTTCAATATTATTAACTTTTTAAAAACATATCTAACTCCTAAGGAATACATACTGTCCAGTCTCCCCCCAAAAAACTAGAAAACTGAACAATGGTCCTGGAGCCCTATTTTTTAGTTGCATTTTTGAGAGCTCCCCATGTTGAGTTCAGGGTGTGTCACTGGATAAGGAAAAATCATACTGACCTAACCAAGTCAAATTAAACAGCCTATACATTCCACCTCAGACACAAAAGAATCAGGATTCCTTACCTGAGGCCTTAGGCCCATGCATCCTTTCAGTGTACTTTCAAAAATGCCTCAATTATTAGTCTTCATTAAATGTGATAAAACAAACTGTGGTAGTTGTTTTCATGCTTATAATTTTGTGCATATTTATTCAATGTGCCATTTCAGACAGAAATCAGATTAATGGCATACTCATGGCACCTCAAAGCTGCTATTGGTATGCAGAAAATAGCAGCACCACTCATAGGTGGTACCTAAGCCAGGTAGGCATGACTAATCTTTCAAAAACTGAGGCCTAAGCAGTGTACAGCACTATCAAGGCACCACCACAAAAATAGCAGTCTGGCCAGGTATAAGCAAAGAAAGCTGCAACACTTAACCCTCATGTATAATTAAACAGCCCCCATGTTAGGCAAACACATTAACAAAAAGCCTGAATGCCATGCCTGATGCTCCAAGCAGCACAACTATCATGAAGTATATTTAAAGCCCCCAAAATATACACATCATATGACTGTTATACAACATCTTCAATACATACTTGATAATTTTATAAGATCTCCAACTCCCTATCTTCAGTCTGTGGTGCCAATGTTGAGACAAAAAGACTAAGTACAAGCATGAACACAAGATGTTTCCTATTTCAAACATGTTTCAAGATAAGCAAAGCCAGAAAATAATAGGAATTGACTTTTACCAGGAGACATCTGACACTTATAGCTACAAAAATGGAAAATTATCAGCCTAAACGCAGCCGGACGAAGTCGGCGCTCAGGAAAAATCCGAGTGAACGGCACAAATTTACAATAACGCACCGTAAAGTTGCGCTGCAAGAGTTTATATACTTACTGCGGTGAATGGGTCCATATTCAACACCTCTTTACAGGTTTCTGACACATTCCAACAAAAATCGAGCCAGCCCGAATCGCCTCCTCTCCTTGGAGTCAGCACTCGTCAACTGGCGCGTTTGTATTCAAATTTAAATGGCCCGCTGATTTTTCACTATCGATGTCGGTGAAATAGCATGGTATCGACGAAGAATGGAGGAAAGAAGTGATATCGACAATAGATAATTTCATTTTGATAGAATAAAGCAGGAATTGCTATGTCAAAGCTATTTCACTAAGATTGCTATGTCACTGTGATTCCTTGTGCACCTGCTAGAATTTTAATTGTTTTGCAGTGAATTCAGTACTTACCGTATGGTGCATCGACACGCTCGCGAGTGGCAAAATGATGAACGAAAGGCCAGCTGAGTAGCGGAGGAAGTTAGTTACGTGCCCAGGCGCGCGTATCATCCCCTATACACTTTATGAAATGTGCACACGTGTTGAATGTTTGCATGCTAGTTAAAACTACAAGATGGGCAAGTAAAGCTAAATAATGCCAGAACATGTGATGTTAATGTATCCAATGCAAGAAATGTCGCGCAACTCTGGCACGCTGACCTATAGTGTTAGTGATTTTATTTGGTTGTCCGCCTTTTCCCCATTGCAAATTTATACATAAGCTCCTGCAAGCAAGACTTATCTCGAGTTTCACACGTTTTTCCCCCGAGGTAGGCGATGTGGGGCTGTCTCTGTCGAATGCGGAAACTACTTCCATAATAAGGCGCACTTAATGACCCAGCATACGAACAAGCGTTCTTGCAAAGCGGGGTCACAGTTTCAGTAGATAAGTTGACTGGCCGAGCAGTGAAGAAACAAGGAAGACTACTCCGATAATAGGCTAACAAACGGGGCTTTCTCCGACTTTGATCCAGTTTTTTTTCTCAAAGCTGCAGGCTAGAGCCAACGTTGGTGCGGAGGGCAGATCCTCTGCAACTGATAGGGATCTGTACACCTCGTTCCAAGTAAAAGGGAAGTAAAGGAGCAAACGTAGATCGCGAATGTATTTAACCGCTGGCCGACACTGGCACGGAACATGACGCACGTGCCGCGCTTTAAGGCACATTTGATGGCCCATCTGTACAGAAGAGCAACGTATGTCACTGCTGGTTTGTGATATATAACCTGCATGAATTGGGAGAACTGGGAGCTTGCATTTTTCTATCCACTTTGTCGGTATTCACATGCTTCCTATTACGCTCCGGAACTTCCAACGTTAACAAATATGGGATCCAGCAACACAGGCCTCGAGTTCATCGCGACTAGCACAGGACGCGCCGCAGAGGAGCGGTGATGGCATAGTGTTTAGATCTCTGGACTTTTCAGTTCTGGAACTGGGTCCCGACCACACCGCAACCGCATCCCACATACATAATGCCTGATTAAGTCGGCAATGCAGGCGTCCCCTCTCGAAATGGTCCTGGTCGTCGATAAGACGTAGGGCCTCGCTCAGTGTCACTGCCCGGTCGACACACATGCCGCTGCACACCAAACTCGCATAGAACGCTGCCGCTCAATCGGTGTATATATTTAGGATAAATAATCTACAATTGGTTGGACGCGGAGCTTCGACACACAGGTGAGCCCGGGACGTTACAGAGGCTGCCCTGCTCAACAGTGCGGCCGGCAGCCGCACCCGCGGACCTCTCCCGCGACATCGGCCGGCGGACGAGGCAGCCCGGCCGCCAGATGGAGAGCGCCGCCAGGCGCGCCGCGTCCCTCGCCGGACAGCGGAGCCCCGCCAAACGCGCGCGAGGCCTGTCGGTGGGGTGGCTCCTCCGCGGCCGAACGCTGCGGCCCAGTCGAGCGCGCCGCCATCTTCGCGACGGAGCCCGAGGCCCCTGACTCCCCCCTCCCCTGCCCTCCCCGTGCAGGACGTTCACCAGTGCAGCTGCGCCTTGGCGCGGGAGTGGCGCGGCCGCGAGCCGCCGCTGCAAGCTCGGCTCGCCGTAGTTCACATCCCGGCGGCGGACTGAGAGGCGCTCCCTCACGCTGGATCGGAGCCGGTCTTCCTCCTCGACGGGCGCCTCCGCCACCCCAGCCGGGGCCGCCACCGCGAGCGGACACTACATAAATAGACTCTGACGTCGGCCACGCACACCGCGCCACGCACGGACACTACCCACGAACGTGCACGCGCGCGACACGCATCACCAGCCAGTCAGAGTCGGGAATGTGTCGGTGCCGCCGCGCCCGGTGGCGCGCCGGCCGCCGCGGTGCCGCCCGGGCCGCGCGACAAGCTTCAGTAATCACAGACGTTAGAAACACTCACACTCGCGCGCAACGATCCCGGCCGTAACAATAGAGCTAGAGGAGACGACACACGAACGCGGCGCGATGGATCGACGGCGGCGCGAACGTGCCAGCCCGCCGCGGCGCGGGCAGCGACGCCGCCGCGCCGTCCCGCTCGCCCCACGCGGCACACATCACGAGTCAGCACCGGCGCCGCGGCGGCCGGCCGACGCGGCTGAAGTATCTACATCGTCCGGCGGGTGTCACTGCCACGCGGCCGGCGGGAAGGAGTTGGCCTCGCACTGCTCGGTCACCGGCTGGCCGTGCTGCGAGTAGCTGATGCGCAGGCGCATCCGTAGCGCCACCTGTCGGCCATACGGCCTCGTCAACGAGACACTCAGGGCAGCAGTCAGTGAGGGTTCATGGTTGACATGGCAGGCATGACACATATGCTGCATACAAATCTTCCTACGCACGCAGAGTTTGAGAAAACGTACCACTCAGGCAGCCACCAGCAAAAATGACCCTGAACATAGATATGGGGCAACTACACCAGAATCATCTAAATGCCAGCAAAAACTAACGGCCAGTAAGAACGTCAGGGATAAGTTTCACCACCACACTACCTTTCATTGACACTACACCGCACGGATCACACACACAACACAAACCGACACACCTCAATAACGGTTTGAAACCATTTAACTGCATCATTCATTTCATAAAAATGAAAAACTAGTCCCTATCTTGGATGCCCTGGTGTGACACGCTTCGCCCCTGAGGCCTGTCGTAGCGCCCGCCTCCCACTCTGCCCGACTCCGTCGGCGCGGCCGCCTCACCTTGGAGGGGTTGTTGACGTTGATGGTGAGCGTGACGGCCTGCGAGGGCTCGATGACGCTGCCCGAGGCCGGCAGCATCTGCAGCTGTAACGTCTACAGGGCGGAGCACAAGGTCAGAGCCCGCCGGCGGGGCGCGGCGTCAGCAGCCAGCCGCGGCTGACCGGCAGCAGCGGCCACCGCTGTCCGGCCGGTCGGCACAGGTGCTGGGCGGGGTGGGCAGCCAACCACGGCTGACCGGCCGCAGCAGCCACCGCTGTCCGGCCGGTCGGCACAGGTGCTGGGTGGGGCGTCAGCAGCCAGCCGCGGCTGACCGGCAGCAGCGGCCACCGCTGTCCGGCCGGTCGGCGCAAGTGCCGGGCGGGGCGGCAACACAACAGCGCTGCAGCGCTCCGAACATGATGTCGATACTGGTATTAGTGATGAGTGATCCTTATCAAAATTGTTCTAAGAACACGACGAAGGAAAATACACAGGGTAAAACAAAGCATAGTACAACACAGGCAAAGTTTTTAGATCTGTCATGCAGGGAGCGAAGCCACCGGGGGGCGAACAGAGGGCATTCCAATAATTTCGAAATTAGCACTAGGTCTGCAGCCACGGTGTGTGCACAAGAATGTCAATAACTACAAAAATTATCACTATGAGGAAAGCCATGGTGTGTGCAAAAGAATGCAACTCTAATCATATATCACATATCACCAAACAGCCATGACATTCGGGCCTCCGACTGAGGTCTGCTGCAGAAGTCATCAAAGGTGTGTTAGTCCGCCCCCACCAGCCCCTGTTGGCCGTAGTCCCATGCCTATCCGCTGCGCAGAGCACGCCAACAGTCCGCCTCTCCGGACACGCCACCACGCACTTGATACCCGGGAGTGTGTGGTCAAGGTCCGGTGGCCCCCTCACCCCCCCCCCCCCCATGTCACTTCCGCTGACCCCAAGCCCCCCCCCCCCCCGCCGCCAGGCAGACCTTGGGCACGGCCGCCTGGAAGAGGAAGTCGGTGACGGTGTCGGCCGACGTGTTGGCGGCGGTGACGGTGATGACGCAGAGGGCGGGCGACTCGGCCGGCCGCCGCAGCGCCATGTCTATCCGCAGCGGCCCCCGCTCGAACACCGTCACACCGGGGATCTCGCCTGCGCCAGCCCACCGGCCCCGTCAGCACCCCGTGGCCGACGGCGTGGCGAGCCACACCAAATCATTACAGACTCGGGCGCTGCATGACAACATGTGCTGTAGCGACTCGCGATCTATTCCCTTCCGGTATGTAACAAGGTGGTACGCAGCAAAGGATGGGCTTGACCTTGAAATACGAGTACGGCACCATGGTAGCCACCTTTTTACGCGCACGGCGTCCACAAAAATGGAAGCATCCTCATCGCCACCAGCCTAATTGCAGCCGAAAACATCAACATCACGACCTCCAGCGCAGGTTGACCAGGCGAAGGCGCGTCACTGACCTGGCGGTGCGGGGGCGGAGACGGGGGCGGGAGCGGCCATCACGCCGCCGAACAGACTGTCGGTGGCAGCCAGCGGCGCGCCGGAGCCCGCCAGACCACCCAGCTGCAGCGGTGCCAGGGACGGGACAGCAGCCGGAGCGGCCGCGGCGCCACCGCCGCCGCCGCCGCCGCCGATGTCGCCTGCGGGCGGCCACGGGTCAGTGGTCACGGGCCAGCGGTCACGGGTCAGCAGTCACGGGTCAGCGGTCACGGGTCAGCGGTCGCGGCTCGGTGGTCACAGGTCAGCAGTCACGGGTCGCGGTCACGGGTCAGCGGTCACGGGTCGGTGGTCACGGGTCAGCGGTCACGGGTCGGTGGTCACGGGTCAGCGGTCACGGGTCGGTGGTCACGGGTCAGCGGTCACGGGTCGGTGGCCACAGATCAGCGGTCACGGGTCAGCGATCACGGGTCGGTGGCCACGGGTCAGCGGTCACGGGTCGGTGGCCACGGGTCAGTGGTCAGGGGTCAGCGGGCCGGCCGGGTCACTAGTCGTCGCCGGCACGGCAGACCGCGCACGTGTGATCGGCGCGGGCGTACGCCATGTCATGTGGGGGCTATCAGCTGTGCAGGGTGCCGACTACGCTAACGGCGGTAGGATGGAACTGTAACTGCCGTCTGGCATGGCCGGCATGGTGACCGCGGCCGCCTCCAGCTGGCTGCGGCCACACCTGAGGGTGTCCGGCCAAAAAGGCACCAACAACAGGGTGTGCGACCTTGATTGGCGGCTCATACAATAGAAGCTTTGTGCAGCTGTGATTAATATAATACAGAAGTCGCATTGATTATCTGGAATTCCAATCATTGTGACCGCGCAGTCATTTAGCTCCTATGGGTCGCCACAAGGCATCGACAGTGAGCGCACCAGGCAACAAACCAACGTCCGGCGGCGAGCAATTTGACGTGAGCGTCACACAGGGTGGCCGCCACCTACCGAGCAGATCCAGCAGGTCCATGTTGGAGTTGGTGGTCGGGGCGGCCGGGGCGGCCGCCGGCAGCGCGCCCATGTTGTCAGAGGGCGAATCCATCCCGCCCAGCAGGTCCAGTAGGGCGCTCTGGCGACACCGGCCGAGCTCAGGTCAGCTTGGATCGGGTCAGGTCAAGGTCGGTTCAGGTCACGCCAGGTGAGGCTGCGGAAGCTGGCGCTGTTTGGCCCGGGTCAGGCGCCTGTTTCGCGACTCGCCGGCCCCGCAGCGCGCGCCGCAACACCCGCTGTGGACAGGGTGCCGTGGGAAGACCTCCACCACCACCGAATGAGCTCTCTCCGCATCAGAAGGCGTCCTCAGCTTCGGGCGATACCGACCCTTCGAGACCAACGCTAACTCTAACAACACTACCAACAGGCTCCGCACCACCAGACGGCCGGTATCACACCGCCCCGCCGCACCAGCTGTCCCTGCGCCCATGGTCCTCCCCCATCACCACTCACAGAGTGCGTCTGCGCAACGGCAGTGGCGGCAGCGGGCGCGGCGGCGGCGGTGCTGACTGGCGCTGGCCCGGTGCCGTTGGTGAGTGCGCTGCCGCTCGTGCGCGCTTCCATGGGCGGCATGCGCTCCAGCAGCGCCGGCCGCAACGCGTCGTGACGCGTGAACAGCTGAGAGAACTCAACACCGCGCTGCTGCAGCTCCACGTTCAGGTGGCAGCCAAACCCGTTCACCAGGTGCTGGATCTTCCTGCAGGGAGTGTACGGCGCTCAGTGGGAGGCGACGTGGCTAGACGAGCATCGGCTATCACCGGTGGTGTTGGCCACTCACTCGGCACACACAGGTGTGTGTGTGTGTGTGTGTGTGTGTGTGCGGGAGGGGGGGGGGGGGGTCGAGACGACACAAAGCGAGAGAGAAAAGCATCGCTCGTTTGCACATACCCCCTTAGTTCAAAGTCAGTTGGAAACGTTATCACCGGAGCCGGTGGCCATAGGGGTAAGGAGCATGCCGTAAAGCGGTGTACGGTACCATCGGTGACGTCATCACGACAGGCGCATTCACAGACACCAAAATGCGTAGACGCACCAGTTTGTCATGATAGCAGTACAACACGAGATCGCGACACACGTGCCCACGCACGGACATAACACAAGGGCGCCATGATCCGGCAGTACCAAGCGCCGAGACCCACCCATCTCTCACAGAAAACAGCAGCACTGTTGGAATGGCCTCCTTCGCCACCCTTCAAAGCCTCCTTAAGAGAAATAGCACCGCCAAGATCGCAGCACTGCCCTGCTCAACCCCGCACAGCGCAGTCGGCGCGTGATTACAGCACACCGCGTCGGCGCGTGGGCCCGGCACAGCGCAGTCGGCGGGTGGGCGTGTCCGACAGCAGCGGTCCCCGTGTCGAGCCGCGCGGTGCTTACTTGAGCGCCGAGGCGTCGGTGAGCCGCGAGCTCAGCTTCATCAGCGACATCAGCGCGAACTCCTTGGTGATGATGCTCATCTGGCTGCCGATCAGGATCTGCTCGTACTGCGACACAATGTCGTCCTCCTGCACCTGGTGGGCACGGGCAACACCGATCCAGTGGCCACGGGGGTACGGCCGGGTAGGGAGCAGCCGTGCCAGCAGGAGGGCTAATAGGACAGGTGGGGAGCAGCCGTGCCAGGAGGAGGGCTAATAGGACAGTTGGGGAGCAGCTGTGCCAGGAGGAGAGCTAATAGGACAGGTGCGGAGCAGCCGTGCCAGGAGGAGGGCTAACAGGACAGGTGGGAAGCAGCCTTGCCAGGAGGAGGGCTAATAGGACAGTTGGGGAACAGCCGTGCCAGGAGGAGGGCTAATAGGACAGGTGGTGAGCAGCCGCGCCAGGAGGAGGACTAATGGGCCAGGTGGGGAGCAGCCGTGCCAGGAGGGGGGCTAATGGGCCAGGTGGGGAGCAGCCGTGCCAGGAGGAGGACTAATGGGCCAGGTGGGGAGCAGCCGTGCCAGGAGGGGGGCTAATGGGCCAGGTGGGGAGCAGCCGTGCCAGGAGGGGGACTAATGGGCCAGGTGGGGAGCAGCCGTGCCAGGAGGGGGGCTAATGGGCCAGGTGGGGAGCAGCCGTGCCAGGAGGGGGACTAATGGGCCAGGTGGGGAGCAGCCGTGCCAGGAGGGGGGCTAATAGGCCAGGTGGGGAGCAGCCGTGCCAGGAGGGGGACTAATAGGACAGGTGGGGAGCAGCCGTGCCAGGAGGGGGGCTAATGGGCCAGGTGGGGAGCAGCCGTGCCAGGAGGGGGGCTAATAGGCCAGGTGGGGAGCAGCCGTGCCAGGAGGGGGACTAATAGGACAGGTGGGGAGCAGCCGTGCCAGGAGGGGGGCTAATGGGCCAGGTGGGGAGCAGCCGTGCCAGGAGGGGGGCTAATAGGCCAGGTGGGGAGCAGCCGTGCCAGGAGGGGGGCTAATGGGCCAGGTGGGGAGCAGTCGTGCCAAGAGGGGGACTAGCAGGGCCCTTCCGTTCAGTACTCCTGGCTACACAACGCCCGCATGGTCCGAGCAATGTGGACACCTGTCCACCGACTGGGGCCAGGAAACCCCGAGGGAAAGACATTTGCATTACTTCAATTGTAGGACATGTGAACAACCTAACCGCTGATCTCTTCGCTTGTTGTAGGCCTCTTCCCCGCTAGGATACCAAACCCAGAAAGCCAACCAACAGTGAGCAGCGTCAACACGCAACCCTCTATAATTAGCTGTATCATTACATTGTACTCAAATGGTACAGGTCACGCTGCCAAATTTAAGTGTGTTGTTACAACAAAAAAAGCCAGCACAAGGTTCCCGCAGAACCAGAAGCACGGGGTTGGATCCCCACCGCTGCCCGTCGTTCTCGACAGGGTGAGAAGCAGGCGGCGCCACAAAACATGAGTGTGTCGTAGAGCCCTGATGACGACCACGACGACGTTTCCGTAAACGACATCAGCGGTTTCAGGTGAGCGTACTTCAGCTACCCTTTAACAGGTCGTCATTCGCCAATGACGTTTCCTTCTATAAGCCTTCGATGTCTGTACGAACTTCCAGCCGAAGATCACAACCCAAAACTCGCAATGGAAGCCTTGAAGTGAGGAAATACGCAAACCTGAAAACTTCCCACTCACAACTCCCAATGGCGGAAAACACTAGACTCACATGAAAATCATCCTAATAAAGTGCCATGTGTATATATATATATATATATATATATATATATATATATATATATATATATATACATATTCATGATTAGTTACAGCATATCCAAGTAATAGTTTCCGCCATGGTGTAACAAGCAGCCGCCTTCTGCCGCGTTGTCGCTCGCCGACGCCACAAGCCGGCCCCCCTCCCACCGCCACCCCCGGCCGCCCCGCTGACCTTGCTCTGTCCGTCGGTGGCCTGTCCGGTGAGCAGCATGTCGCCGTACTCGCCGACGCCCCAGGCGGTGACCTGCAGCAGCGGCTGGTGCTGCGCCGTAGCCCAGCGGAACGCCTCCCACATCTCGCCCACCACGTAGCCGTGCTGGTGCACCACCTCCGTCAGCAGCTGGATGGTCGAGGCCACCACGTCGTCGCGCACGTTGTTTCCCGCCTGCCGACGGGCAGCGGGTGTCAGAGGCACATGCACGGCGGCTGCGGTGGGTGGTCTTGTGGGGTGTCGACTAGAGCGAACTCCCCAGATTAGTTATCTCTGCCGCAGGAATTCGTCTGCAACAGCTTTGCAGGGAAGGTTTTGCCCCTACGGTACCGTCTAGCCCATCAGCCTTTAAGAATGGAGCCATTGTGGAGTCGCTGGTTAACTTTGCAAGGTATGATAGCTGGCAGATGTCATGAAGATTATTCATCCTGCATAATACAATGTGCTGACCTCCGTGTATTTTGTCGGCACCAGCAAAGCCTACATTAACGCACGCCACGACATCCCCTCCCTGCACTTCCTTAGCACACTGATATTAAAACAACACATATCGAATACAGTAATGAAATGGTCGGTCACTGAGCAGGCCAGCTCCCAGCCGTGCCGTTTCGCCGGTGCGAGTCCGCCCCCGACCCCGATCGCCCGCCCCCTTCTTCTCTCCCAGCCGTGCCGTTTTATCGGTGCGAGTCCGTCCCGGCCCCAATCGCCCGCCCCCTTCTTCTCTCCCAGCCGTGCCGTTTCGTCGGTGCGAGTCCGCCGCTGGCCCCGATCGCCCGCCCCCTTCCTCTCTCCCAGCCGTACCGTTTTGTCGGTGCGAGTCCGCCCCCAGCCCCGCCCCTCCCAGCCGTGCCACTCCGTCGGCGCCAGCCGGCCTCGGCCCTTCCTCCCCACCAGCCGTGCCGTGCCAGTCCACCCCCTTCCCCCCAGTCGTGCCGTTCCATCGCGCCAGTCCGCCCCGGCCTCGCCCCCACTCACCGCTCGCAGCACCTGCAGCAGCGTCTCGATGTGCCACCGCACGTTGGGCGCGTACTTCTCGGCCGCGATCACGCACTTGGACGAGCACACCGCCTGGAACTCCGAGTCGGACGTCTCGATGAAGGCGATCATCTCCTTCATGATGGAGCGGATGTTGTTGCCGTTGAGCAGGGCGAAGCAGAGCTCCATGGAGCGCTTCTGGATGGTGACGTCCGGGTCCTTGAGGCACTCGACGATCGTGCCGCGGTGCCGCTGCACGGCGTTGATGTCGGCCTGCACCGTCTTCAGCAGCGTGTTCAGCGCCACGTAGCGGATGTTCTTGTCTGTGTTTAGCAGAAAGCGGCCCAAAATGTTGACGGCCAGCACCTGCAGCGGCAGCGGGTTGAGAGGTGTTATTCTGGTATCATCAGACCCACGCGAGTCTGCAAGGCACGGCTGACAGCATGATCTATAACTATAGGTGTCACTGAAACTTGATCCAACTAATCCCTGCGCATAGTTAAGTCAGGCCATCAGCCCCACGCCCGTACCGTAGCTGAGAACAGCTCTATGCCAACCCTATCCTAAAGGCAGCCCTTCCTTTACACCGCCCCAACGCCGTCCAACGTACCCGCAGCCCGCTCTCCGATTTGATGTCCATGATGGACAGCACCGTCTCGTAGAGGATGGCGTTGCCTACGTTCTTGGACGTCTCCGTGTTGGTGGCCACCTGCGCCAGCATGTCATTCATGGCCTCCGACGCGTCGTCGTCGTTGCGGCCGAGCAGGCGCAGCAGGCGCAGGATTTTCACCTAGTGGCGAGAGGCCGAGTGGTGAACACCCCGCCACCACGGTCACTCAGCGGCCGAGTGGTGAACACCCCGTCACCACGGTCAGCCAGCAGGCGAGTGGTGAACACCCCGTCACCACGGTCAGCCAGCAGGCGAGTGGTGAACACCCCGCCACCACGGTCAGCCAGCAGGCGAGTGGTAAACACCCCATCACCACGGTCAGCCAGCAGGCGAGTGGCAAACACCCCATCACCGCGGTCAGCCAGCAGGCGAGTGGCAAACACCCCATCACCACAGTCAGCCAGCAGGCGAGTGGCAAACACCCCATCACCACGGTCAGCCAGCAGGCGAGTGGTGAACACCCGCCACCACGGTCAGCCAGCAGGCGAGTGTTGAACACCCCGTCACCACGGTCAGCCAGCAGGCGAGTGGTGAACACCCCGCCACCACGGTCAGCCAGCAGGCGAGTGGTAAACACCCCATCACCACGGTCAGCCAGCAGGCGAGTGGCAAACACCCCATCACCGCGGTCAGCCAGCAGGCGAGTGGCAAACACCCCATCACCACAGTCAGCCAGCAGGCGAGTGGCAAACACCCCATCACCACGGTCAGCCAGCAGGCGAGTGGTGAACACCCGCCACCACGGTCAGCCAGCAGGCGAGTGGTGAACACCCCGTCACCACGGTCAGCCAGCAGGCGGGTGGTGAACACCCCGCCACCACGGTCAGCCAGCAGGCGGGTGGTGAACACCCCGTCACCACGGTCAGCCAGCAGGCGAGTGGTGAACACCCCGTCACCACGGTATACCAGCAGGCGGGTGGTGAACACCCCGTCACCACGGTATACCAGCAGGCGGGTGGTGAACACCCCGCCACCACGGTCAGCCAGCAGGCGAGTGGTAAACACCCCGCCACCACGGTCACCCAGCAGGCGGGTGGTGAACATCCCGCCACCACGGTCAGCCAGCAGGCGTACAGTCTCAATTGTATATTATCAAACCCACGTTATGTCACTTGAAATACCTCGATCAGTTACATCACAGCACAGGACATGCTTCGATCAACATGATATGCAACGAATCCCCACTGGTAACTCACAATCCTCACGGTGAAATGTATCGACGTTTTTCAACCTATTTCCTCCAGCGCTTCCTCTCCATCCAACAGCACCACAGATCGCCAACAGCTTGCCCAACAAGAGCCGACCACATCCGCCCATCAGCCAACCACACGGCGCGCTTCAGGTGACCCACCTGCAGGAAAGGGTCGCTGACCCCGGAGACGTCGTGCTCCGGCGAGTAGCCGGCCATGATGAGGTTCTTCAGGATGCGCACCAGGTTCGGCACCAGCTGAAACGCACCAGCAGCAGCGGTCAGCCGGGGCAGCAGCGGCACCACCGGCGGCCTCAGATCGCCGCCGCCCGCCGGTGTAACGCAAACACAGCGCCGCCCGCCGACGGCGACACGGCGGCGGCCGCCGACGCGGACCGAGCGCGGCGGCGCGTTAGTACGTTAACAGTTACGTGAGCGAAATCGGAAACGCGCGCGCGGCAGGCAGTTTAACGTGACCGGAGACATGCGATTCGACGAAGTGCGCGGCGACCCGACCCCACACCACACCAGTGGGCCGCGCCCGTCACCGCGTGCCTTTAGTCTAGTCAGCCGGCCGAGCGGCGCGTTCGTCTGAGAAGAGGCGCACTCCTCAGAGTCGCGCACACTCTGAGCGCACTGTCACCATTGTAACGAGTGGCTCAGCGGGGCGGAGAAGGCGGATCGACGAAGCGCACACCGCCACCGCTCCGTTGAGTGAGAGGGGGAGGCTGGGTCCGCCGTCGATCAGTACAGCGGTGGCGGGGTGGGTGGGGGCCTCCACCGGGGCAGTGAGAGCGGCAGAACACCACGCCGCAGATGGCCACCACAACCGCAGTCGATAGCGAGCGCGAGCGCGAGCGCGAGCACGAGCACGAGCACGATCAGGCAGCAGGCAACAGATTTGGAGCCGTAGGCATCGACAGGCAGGCGAGACAGACAGCGACAGCGAGGCAAAGGAGAGAGCGAGACAGAGAGAGAGAGAGGGAGAGCCAGGGAGCGAGAGAGAGCCAGAGAGCGCTCGCGAGCGGCGCGCGCGGGCCGCCGCCGGTTCGTTATACGACACCCGCGGCCAGTGACGTCACCTTATCCTCGGGATCCTGCCGGAGGAGACACAGCGTACAGTGTCAGGGCCGCCGCCACCGGTCGCGTCCGGACACCCCCACACAGCGACACGGGGCGGGCACGGCCACAGAGACGACGCCAGGGTCAACGCGTCAGCAGCGCCAGTCGGCGCGTGGGGCGACGTGTGAGGTGTAGTATTTGTCTCCGTGTAAGTATGACATCTGTGTGAGCCGTGTGTCCTCTGCATATGTTCGGCGTCCTCTGCGAAGCGTACGTCCGCTGCATCCGTACGCACATCCGTGTTAGTGCGTAGTGTGAGCAGTGCGTAGTTAGAGCGTAGTGTGAGCACCTATGTGTGCATGTATGTGTGTGTATAATTGTATGTATGTGCACACGTGGTGCGCGTCTGGGCACGTGTGTCCCTCCTTCTTCGGAAGCGCACGGCGGCATACCAACCGCGCATGAGCTTGGTCAGTAAATCTTCCCGTATGGAAAGTAGCCTGCCAGTGTATTAACATCCCCGCATGGCCTGGTTAGTGAGCCTCCCAGTATGGATAGCGTAGTGTGCCAGCGTATTAACACCCACGCATGGCCTGGTCCGGAAGCCTCCCTGAATTGATAACGTAGTGTGCCGGTGTATTAACTTGGTGAGAGTTGTACACATGAAAATAATGCGTACGACGCGTTAGCGAATTACTGCATGGCCGTATTGACGTACATCTACCCAGAGAAGTAAGCAGCTCAGTTAATATGCAGGTGTATGCAGATGGCCGACAGCGTGGTAACAGAAAGCGACGTCACAAAACACATAACACAAACAACATAAACATTAATAAGAAACAAAAGGATGGACACAAAACGGTACACAGCAGGCAAAGCGTACAGAACATGGAGGCGGAATTTGCCCTGTGCAACATACAGCAATACCCTCAAATATCCAAACAACAATTAGCCTTTTGAAACGCATCTCTCGACATAGTTCCATGCGAGACACGATCTTGACGGATACATGCCAGAATTCTGTCTCGGGAGGAACAGATCGCTTAATTCGCTATGATACGCGTTTAAAACAAGTGATTGCTGCTGATGTTATAACAGCTATTATCCGACTTTTTGCGCTTCTGTAAGCATGCAGTAATTGAGAACTGCACACGAGCGATACAAATACTCCAGGCACGAAGCCAGTTATGACGTGAGCAACGAGCGTCGAATTCCTCACATGTGCAAACCTTTGATAACAGGAGTATGTGGACGTTAGATAGCTTATCAGCCAAGGCAAATACCAGCATGGTTTGTTTTCCCAGCTGGGCCTCCGTGCAGTGGCCTGCATTACGACGTTCGGTGCCACTGGCAAAAAATATTCCGTATGAATCAGCGGGAGAGGCACTCCGAAGCACAATAAACCGTGCGAGGTCACCATACGTGTTTGTGTAAAGGTCAGGCCCTACCCAAAGGCGCTCCTTTTCGGCACCACTAACCAGACGCCCGGTCAGCCCCGGGCCGGCAGCGCCGTCGGGTCGCATACGGCGCCACCCTCCACCAGTGTCTGAGCACCGCCGGCCACCACCGGTGGCATCGCGTGACAAACAAGTGTGCTCCGGCAGCGAGCCGTTACAACCCCCGCCTGCCGCTGTACTCCGCCGTCGCTCAGCGCTCCCGGGGGTCGAGACCGAGGGCAGGGGACGGGAACCGGAGCTGTGCTCCCAGAGGGGTGCCGACTCCCCGTTGGATTCGCCACAGACCGAATGGCCTGGCGGGCTCCGGGGACCCCGGGCGGGGTTTTCACGTCAATACGGACAACTCCGCACTGAAACTCAGCACTTGGGGCGGAGTCTATATTCGCATGGATGACTTTGACCAATCGGATTGCTTGCGGCTCGTCGCGCGCTGGCCAAAGCCTATTTGCGTCTGTTACGCCACATAACCTCAGCCCAGTTTGCATTCCTGCAGTAGTCTTATGCATCACGTATCTCAGTTTCGCCAGCGGCGGCGGCACAAACACAGCAGCAGCCGCCGTCGACCGAGGAGCGACAGTGGCACGCATCGGAGAAGCCGTCGCCTCCACCGTGTCAGCAGGGGCTGGCCCGGCGGCACCAGCGGCCGTGGACTGGTGCCAGCCCAGGGAGGAGAAGCGTGACTGTGGCTCCCGACCGTGTCGTGGGCAGCGGAGGTGCCGGGAGCACGGGAGCTCCCGTAGTGTGATGGCGGGACACGTCCGGAGCACCGCGTGGACACGGCCGGAGCACGGCATGGACACGGCCGGAGCACGGCGTGGACACGGCCCAAACAGCACGAGACCAAGCCGGAGAGAGAGCGGCGAACATGGGAGCACATGAGAGAAACTGGACACACGAAGCAACGCACTAAAAGCTCCAGAGTTCGACATTGGACCAGGCCTAAAGACAGCTAGTGAGTCACAGCCCACAGCAAGCATCTATTTCAGACAATGGAGATATCATGAGATCACTGATCCCTTAGAATTAATGACAGAATTATCAACAATCAACAATGATGACTTTTCTGTCTCAGAAAAGTAGTGCACTGCCTATGGCAGATCACGGCTGGCATGCTCTTCCTGGTCCGATGGCTGACTATGATGACCACATCCAGGGGCCATCAATGCAAACCTGCCCGATCCGGACCGGGCCATGACGGTCTGGAGCCCAGCCGGCGGCTCAGCCGACACCACTCACCTTCTTGAAGTGGTGCAGCGTGTCGTGGCTGATCTCGCACATCCTGGTGATCAGAATGACGCCACCGATCAGGACTCCTGAAACGGACAGGAGTTGGCCATCAAGACACGGCGGCTGGATGGAGCACAACACGCCGGCCGTCGGGGCAGCTCGCCGGGGCGTCACGGGCACTCTGTGATGGGCAGCTGCAGTCCAGCCGCAGTCGTGGGAGTGTGTGCTGGTAACAGGTCAGCTCACCTCAGAAGTAAAAACGGGCTCGGCATGCCAGAACCGCCAACAAACAATTCCTTTAACCCGCTTTTTCCCGCTTTTTTATTACAATCAAATATGGGTGAAAATGATCGCCGAGTTGGACACGTCACCACCGCCAACACAGCAAGACGACGTCTACCAGCTGTCATGAGAATCACACTGTCGTGCTGGTTTAGTTTGTGTTCCCCATCCTCAGAGGGGAAGCACACTGAATACAAATCAAACAGCTTGATATTCAACAACACAAAACTCAACCGAGACAGCAGTGTGTTTGGTCATGACATTCAGGCACTGGACTCTACTTGTCCCGCTTTTTTATTACTTCGCCGCATTACGCATCCAGTCCCAGTTTTCACAGAACATAATTATTAGCGTGCGGAAAACCCGACCAAGTATGGCGGATGTGGGCAAACCACCGTCAACAGACCAGACACCATGCACCGGCTAGTGAAAACAGTGGGGGCGATACGACCACAGCATCCATAACGCAACAGGCGGCTAGTGCCAAAGTCGCGGCCGCTGCGTCACTAACCGTGATTCTTCTCGTTGAGCAGCTGCCTCGTGGCGGGCAAGAAGATCTCCATGAGGTCCGGCACCTTGGTGATGATGCGGAAGGCGCAGAGTGCTGCCTTCTTGCGGATGTAGGCGTTTGATGACTTGATGAGGCGCTCGATCTCGCCGGCCAAGTCACGCGCCATCTCCGGCGAGGCGATGGTGCCAAGCGCGCACAGCGCCAGACCCACCACAAACTGTGTGCTGCTGTTGAGGTCACTGTGTGTGGGGAGGGGGGGGGGTGTTACACTCCGGCGGAGCGATGGTGCCGAGCGCGCACAGCGCCAGACCCACCACAATCTGTGTGCTGCTGTTGAGGTCACTGTGTGGAGGGGGGGGGGGGGGGGGTGGAGGGTGTGACACACATCACGAACTGCGCACTGCTGGCGACGACATTGTGCGAGAGAGGTGGACTTAGGATCAACCCAGATTGTGTGCTGTTGTTCAGGCCGCCGTGATGGAGATGGGCCATTAGACATTCCACAGACTGCATGTCTTACATTCGTAATCGTGCGTGGCGAAAGCCTGCGATACTCAGCACGGGAGGACGCCTGTGAGCCAGCGCTGATGACCGAGTGAATGGTACTGACTTTTTCAGCGAGTTGGTGAGCAACAGATGGACGTCCTGCCGTTCGTCCAGCAGCATCATGGCGCCCAGGTAGCCGATTCGTTTGTCCGTGAAGCGAGGCGAGGCCACCAGCTTCATGCACTCGAGCTGGCCGAAGTGGGCCGGGTACCTGGAGCACCAGTCACCGCCGTCACCGTGTTTACTTCGGCCAGCAGTAAGCTATTGTGAGGGATATGGTAGACAAGATGTCATACCGGCTGCCGAATTATCACTGTTGGCGGCGCGAAACCCACAAAATGTTGGGCTTCATTTTGAGTTATCCTACCTGGGGCGACACTTGATCCTTCCTTATTCTGATATAAAAGAAGTATTACAATTTATGTAGTCGATAAGTAGCATGCCCACACAAGTGCTAAAAAATGCAAAACTTGCTGCATCTATGCTGAAAATGGCATTTCCCAGACCAATAATTTAACTGATTAGATAGCCCCAAAACAGACCCATATGTTGTCCTCCTCCCATCTCCCACCCCGGCCAGCGCCCGGACCGCCCAACCGACCCTAGCATGTGGATGTAGAGCAGCTTGGCGACGTTGCGGCAGCGCCAGACGCTGTCCTCGTCCCTGAACGTGCTGCGGATGAGGGCGCACTCCTTGTTGACCACCTGGCGTTCCTCTGCGGCGGTGCGGGCGGCACGGATCTGCCGGATCAGGTCTCGCAGCCGGATGGGCGTCGGGCTCTTCACTGCGGACAGACGGCGGTCATGGCAGGAGCGGCGCGTCCGCTGCCGACGCCGCGGCAGCGGACGGCGGTCATGACAAGACCGAGGCGTTAGCCACCGACGCCGCGGCAGCGGACGGCGGTCATGATAGGAACGGCGCGTTAGCCGCCGACGCCGCGGCACCGGACGGCGGTCATGATAGGAACGGCGCGTTAGCCGCCGACGCCGCGGCACCGGACGGCGGTCATGACAAGACCGAGGCGTTAGCCGCCGACGCCGCGGTATCGCACGGCGTTCATGACCGGAGCGGCGCGTTCGCTGACACGCGACCATGGCTGGAGCGGCGCGTTCGCTGACGACCGGCCATGCCCGGAATGGCGTGTTCACTGACAAGCGACCATGGCTGAAGCGGCGCATTGGCTGACCGGCGGCCATGACCGGGGTGGCGCGTTAGCTGACCGGCGGCCATGCCCGGAACGGCGTGTTCACTAACAAGCGACCATGGCTGGAGCGGCGCGTTAGCTGACCGGCGGCCATGACCGGGGCGGCGCATTAGCTGACCGGCGGCCATGACCGGAACAGTGCGTTAGCTGACCGGCGGCCATGACCGGAGGAGCGCGTTAGTTGCCGACACCGCGGCACGTGCATCTGCCGCATGGGCGGGAGTATGGTGCACATCACCAATGCAGTTGTTTAAAGGTGGTTGGTTGGTGTGGTTGTGGGGTTTTGTTATAAAACATGAGAGCAGCAGACCTGAGGAGTGCTGTGTCAGTAAAGGAAGCACCTTCATCTGTGCTGGACGTAAAATGATGGCAATTTCAGGTTAATTGGCACAGAAAAAGGGAAACTGGCAGTGTGTAGCAAATGGTTGCGTATAGCAGCCACGTCCAAAGAAAAAAGTAACAAGCATTATCTACACTGGTAAAAAATGCTCAACACATCTAACAAATATCACCTAACATTGGCTGCAGGTGTGTAATGCATAAAAAGCTGTGCACAGATGTTTAAAATAAAGACATGACAAGGTGAAAATAGTGCAACTGCTTCCTTTATCACAAGTCAACATAATATGTCAAATTACAAACAAACCAAAAGCATGGAATGAATGCCCAGTGTCTGCCATAAACACACATAAACAGGAATTTATTCAACAAATAGAACTTACCTCTTTCAACAGCATCATTGAACACTTGTCTTATCCCTGACACAGTATCCATTGCAGCATTCATTTTGCCTGAAAAATATTGCAAGCTCAGAAACTCTCATTTTTACCTTGAACTAACAAACACAATATTTGACAGGCAGCAACAGAACACATGAGTATATTCATGTTCATGAGTTCTGAGTTCATCACTCATCAATATATTCCTGAAATCAGATGCAGTATAACATAAGATCAGCTGTACCATGCATCTACAGCAACATGCAAGTAAATAAATAAAACCTTTCAGCTGTTGTATTAATCCTTGATTGAAACAGGCTTAACTTCTCACGATAAAGGATGTCACCACAGTCGCATAATAGCATAGTAATTATGCACAGCTGTGCAAAGAAAAACAAACATCAAACCATCAACTCAAAGGTTACATACTGCAGCATTTCCCATACCTCAAAACTCATTGTGTTTGAACTGTGCAATTTTGTTGCCTATAGATATGTGCAAAATTTTGAGTGGGACAAATGAAAGTGGCATTATTGAGAATGCACCACAAATAATCTTTGCTTCTATGAAATGCATATCAAGCATGTCAAAATGAGGAAAAACCAGGATAATCTAAAAAAACATTAGGTTAACTGTTTCATGAGGTGTACTTTTACAATCAGCAAATAATTTCCAAGCTGAACAAATCTGAATTGTGCATAACAGGCCTAAGTTGAAAAAAGATCCATTACAGCCATGATATACAGATAATAATGATAATCACAATGCTGAATGACTTTTGAAACCCATAAGTATGCTAACAAAAATATTGTTCTGCACCTAAAACTCACACAAGGGGTGTCAAATTCAACTGGATAGGAGGGATCTAGTAGCAAAGACTCAAAATTGGTGGTATTTTGTCATAGGTACCTTTGTAGGATAACAAATCATGAGCTACATGTGTGGCAAACACATTTTTCTATTATGCACAATATAACAATTAGCACACTTACATTTTAAATGAAACAAGACTAAGAGCTACATGTGTGGCAAACACATTTTTCTATAATGCACAATATAACAATTAGCACACTTACATTTTAAATGAGACAAGACTAATGAAATTAAAAGTCAGCCAAACATGTCAATTTACTATTGCTGATAAAAATGGCACCTGGTTTTACTGCCAAGAATATCAATAACCACCTGGGTGAAAAGGGGACAAGATTCCTTTGCCCAGACAATTCTAGTAAATCAAGTAAGCACATTTCTTTCCAGCTATTAGGATGTACATATGTAGTGACAAACTTCATCAAAAGTTGTCAATGCATCTCACTGGTTATGAAAGTGACAGCTTGCATATGCATGTAAAACACACAAACATGGCCTCCAGAAAAATCCTTACAAAAGCATTGACCTCATGATAAAGGAAAATTAACAAGCTTGAAGCATTTTACACATCAAATGCACATATATAAATGAGTTCTTTGAAATATATTAGAATGTTACAATCACAATTGTATGCACACATGAACCAACACAAAAGCAGCCTGGGCATAAACACAATTGAAAAACACAATTTCACATGAAAATATAGCTATGATTTCGGGAACGTTGCATATGCACACACAAATAGCGGTGAGTGACGATAAATCACCTGGCCGAAACGCGCCACAAACGTCAAGGCAACCGGACTACGTGTATTACCTAGGCCTAGCGCTCGCACCACCTTCCTTCTTTACACTTCGCCCACGGTGTATTTTATTTGATGAATTTTGGCGGGGAGCTTTCATTCAATTGAAAAACACAATATGCCCAAATTTTATCCACACAGCTCCGCCCATACAATACACTCCAGCAACAGATAAATCCGGATCGGGTCCGCTGGTGGTGAGAGGGGATGACCAATCAGCCAGGTGATTGCAGAAATACCCAGCTGTGACATTTGTTTATTTCGGATATGTTTAGTAGCTTTCTACTGTTTTGGAAATAAAAGTCACCAATTAAGTTGAGAAATACGTTTGCTTTGCATAGAGGTACTAATTCTCAAACATTAAAAGTGTTTTTATTATTGATTCAAAATATTTAATGAAAGCTGAAAAATGTTGTTTGACTGCATCGTGTGTTAGGCTGACTGACCTTTATTTTTCCGATATAATGAACAACTCGGCAAGTGATCCCCTACCTGTCACTGCTTGCGTATGCCCACGAATTTCTCGTCGTGCAGCTGGTGTTTGTTGCGTTGGTGGTTCGGGGCCCCTCAATGGTTGCGGCCGAGATAATAAAGCACGTTGCGAATGGAACGTGGTAGGATTTTAATGCAGGTTGGTGTGCGAGAGACTTATCAATCAATTTAGGTTCATAACCTTACTGGAAGCGCATCCTCGGGGAAACACCAGACATAATTGTGGGCGTTGGAGATGCAGGCTTCGCGACTTCTGGATGCTTTTAGGTTTCACCTGTGCAGTTTACTCCAGCTGACCAGATTTCAGATAAGCTTAAATATCCTGTAAGACTGACTGAGAGGTAATTTGCTGCTTTTTCATTGTCGAATTGTGATTGTGCCAAACAACGTGCATAATTTCGTATTCCTCAAGTACAAGTAGAGAATTTGAGACACAAATGTGAGACACAAATACTTGGATACTTTTCTTGGTTGCCCGTATGTCCGTGATTTGGTGATTATACTACCCTTTTAGCACATATAAATAATCTGATGTGTGCGTGTTAAAAATTACATTACTGGTTTTTTGCCAAAATGATAATATTGTTAGATAGTAATTTCTTGAAGATGATAGGCAGTCATGCAGGCATTATGAGTAGCGGTGGTGGAAACAACAAAATGAATAATGCTGATTGCCTGCACACTATTTTTGGTGCTAAAGACATTGTTTGGGTTGTATGATTTCAAAGTTGGGCAATTCTTCCAATGCAAGCTGATTGTGCCTGTTTCGTAGTGTGAGTAAAACTGTGGAAAAAATCCCCCACAGGGGAGATTTTTCTTCTAAAAAAAGTTGAAGTACTTGAAGAAGTTAGAAGAAGAAATTGAAGTTTGAGAAGTTAAGGTAAGTTGTTATATGTCAGTATGACATATGGACTTTCTTTGAAGCTGGCTCAGTGATTTCAACTGATCACGCTAGAAACAAATGTCTGTAGTATGTAGCCAATTTTTTGTCAGCTGCAGCGGAAATGACTGGGGATGATACAGTAATGCAGGACCTATTTGACATAGGCATTTTTATGCTGACTTGCTAGTTTTGCTTGAAGTTACCTATCATGTTCCATGTTTCAGGAAAGCAGTGCCTCTGCTAGGCAACACACTTAACTCCATATTTCTCTATGATGCATATGTGACAAAAGCATTGCATTCTACACAGCAGGAATGGATGATGATTCACAACAAGGTAAGACATAATCAAGACTGGATCAACTGGGTTGCACTTTGCATGATTCCTAAACAGAAACCACATGTGCACACATACAGACCACTATCTTTTATATGTTTAAGGTGGGATAGTTTCTCTTAGGGCCATGTCCATCCATATGTTGTTTCCATATGTTTACCACTGTTATCATCTTGGGGGTTGCACAATGCTGGTCAGTGTAAAAGAAGTGCACTGTCTTTAGTAGATATGCTTCTAAATTTCTTGTATCTCCAATGGTGTTTTTGATTGTGCTATCATATTGTGCCAGATACTGAGATAATGCATGCTTTCTTTCAGACATTTGCAGGGTGTGCAGGTCGGAGGGCAGCCATGAGCGCCCTCTCTTTTACCCCTGCATCTGCACTGGCAGTATCAAGTACATCCATCAGGAATGTTTGATCCAGTGGCTGAGATACAGTAGAAAGGAGTACTGTGAACTCTGCAACCATCGATTCTCCTTCACCCCCAGTATGTGATTGGTGCTCTAAATGTGTAAATGTGCAGTGTTTGACAATGATGGTATTTGTAAGCAGCATTTATGTAAAAGCAGCCACAGATGTGACACTATTATATCAATATCCAGGCACATTGGTGGCAAGGATGTGGACATTCGGTTATGATATTGCCCCTGTCTCCCGGCCCCAGACTCCAAAATGTGGGTAAACAGAACCAACCCAACAGCAGCAACATCCCAGCAATAATTTGCATGTACATGATGCATCAGAGTGCTCAGAGTTTGGTGCTCAGTTGTTGCCAATTTCATTGTGTAGAGAGCCAATGTTTCAGAGAATTGTGATTTCACAATGGTAACTTCAGGCAAACATCCTCTGAAACACTTTTTTCCATCTCAAATCAGAAATTCAGAGCTTTTTCGCCTGGCTTGAGTTTGGTGCACACATGCAAGAGGTTTGTGGAATGGATGGATATTTTGGAGACTGGCTTTGGCCTGGAGTTTACTGCCTGTTGTAGCTCTTGCTCAGGATTGGCCAGTTGGCAGCAAGCTGGACAGTGGTCAGCTCATTCTCTGTGCACTTGCAGCTGCTTGGAAAATCAGGCACACAGGATTTAATAGCAGAGTTCAGTATCAAAGGGCAATTTATTAGCCAACAGAATGTTTTTTGGGCAGAGGCAGCTGATGAGCTTAGTATCTGGTAGCATGAAGTTGTATTTACAACCATTACACACAGCTGGAAGGAGCTTGAAGCACTTTGGGATGATTGTGAAATTGTGTCTTTTGCATTGTTTTCATGTTACATTAAGTAATCATGATGCTGAATGTCTGGTCTTCTGTGCTGCCACCTGTGCTGCCACACTCTATCTATTGTACTAAGCATAGCAAGAATGCTAATTGCAGTGTTCTCCATTTGAGACCAGATGTTTGCTGGACATAACAAACCTCAGTGGCTTTATTTTGTCCAACTTCCAAACCCCCACTCCGAGCTCAAGCACTTGACACACACCAGTAACAGCCCTCAGTGTTCTCCACACCTCAACTCCTCATTCCTAGCATTCTGCCCACCTCTTTCCCTCATTCCCGGCCCACATCTCCAGTCCTGGCAGTAACTGCTCAGCCACAGCTGACATGGTCCCTGCCTTCCACAGTCTACTCGCCGGACATGCCGAAGCGGCTGCCGATCGCTGACATCCTGAGCGGGTTGCTCGGCAGCGTGGCCACGGCCGTGCGCTTCTGGTTCCACTACACACTAGTGGCGTTCGCCTGGCTGGGTATCGTCCCTCTCACGGCTTGCCGCATCTACCGCTGCCTCTTCGCCGGCTCGGTCAACTCGATCCTCTCGCTGCCGCTCGACATGCTCTCCACGTGAGTTGGGGAGCGCGCGCCATTGCTCAACAGCCACGGTTGTGACGGGGATTCAAACCCAGGCCTTTTTTGGTGAGATTTGTTCGGGAAGCGCTCAATGCTAGATTCAAGACTCACCCTAGATCAGTCTCAGAAATGGGACCTCTTGGGTTTCTGTGTAGGTTTTTACCACTCAGAAACTTTGGTCTCTGCCATTTCTCTTCAAGATTGTGCACTTGTCTTGAGGTGGCCTGCTACATAACACAGTTTGATGAGTGGTGCTCTATTTCATATTAGAGCTGTAGGCCGTGTTTGAGTCTGTGTGCCAATATGTATACCTTGGGAGTGGTGTTTGCTGGTGTATTAGGATGAATGCCAGGTCTGCCCTGGCTCTTAATTATGTTACTACCATTGTATGGTATGTGATGTCTCACCATCATGTCTGTAGTACCTTAGGATCAGTTTAATCGTTCACCATCGCGATGTCAGCTGAGGTCACTGTCTTGTGCTCCTGGAGTAACTACCAGGCTACACAACAGCCAAATTGTGATGTTAGCGATTTCAGCCTTAAGGTCCTTAGAACAGTCTGAAGGGGTGTACCCTGGTAGGTGGTGGTGACCGCGACTCCCAGCAGCTTCCACTGAGCAGCATGTGGTGTGTGGTCACACTGTGAGCCAGTGACATAACCCGTCTTGTGCTCCTGGGAGTACCTGCCTCCACCACCCCGCAGCGAGGGACCACTGAGTGGTGGTACAGATGGCTGCCTGGCAGCCATGCTGCAAGTCAGTGACGTCAGCGTCCCCTGCCCGCAGCGAGAACCTGCTGAGCGACATTTTGCAGGGCTGTCTGGTGGTGACCTGCACGCTGTGCGCCTTCATCAGCCTGGTGTGGCTGCGCGAGCAGATCCTGCACGGCGGCGGCCCGGACTGGCTGGAGCAGGAGGCGGCCGCGCACGAGGTATGGGCCGCGGCGCCGGGCGGCGCGCCATGAGGGGCTGTGTGCCGCCGCGGGTGGCAGATCACTGCCGGAGCAGCACCCTGTGTGCTCCCAGAATCTGGGGATAGCTCCTGTGTGCCTGGACTACCGCTCTTATCTATTTTATTGTCTTAGTCTTTGTCCCAACCCTGTGTATTTGTTGCGTTGCTGATATATTGTTGCCTAAACACATGTACTCGGCTCTCGTGCAAGCTCGCTCCATCTGTCCATATGCTCCTTAACAGTCATTGTAACCTGTTGCCCCGCACCGGCCCTGCTATAGTTCGTCCCTTTGGGCCCTTTCGCGTCTCATTATCGCATGGTGTGTCATGATATCTCAGTCCACCTCATCTGTCTTTCTCACTCTGCCTCTCACCTCACCTCATGTCGCCTCACCTCACACTGCCTCGCCTCACATCACCTCGCCTCACCTCGCCTTGCCTCACTTAACCTTGCATCATGTCACATCATATCACACCACCTTATTTTACATCACCTCATTTCACTTCACATCACCTCACCTACCTCAGCGCACCTCACCCACCTCACATCCTGTCACCTCACCTTACATCACACCACATCACCTTACCTCACCTCACCTCACCTCACCTCACCTCACCTCATTGATGACCAGTAAGGTGATGTAATGACATTGTGTCTCATCACATCTCAGCCCACCTCTTTTGTCTTTCTCACTTTACCTCTCACCTCACCTTACATCACCTCGCCTCACACTGCCCCACCTCACATCACCTCACCTGACCCCACCTCTCCTTGCCTCACCTCACCTCACCTCACCTCACCTCACCTCACCTCACCTCACCTCACCTCACCTCACCTCACCTCACCTCACCTCACATCACCTCACATCACCTCACCTTACATCACCTCACCTCACCTCATCTCACCTCACCTCACCTTACCTTACCTCACTTCGCCTCACCTCAGCTCACCTCACCTCATCTCACCTCGCTTAGAGCAGTGTGTCTAAGTTTATGGTTTGGACGAAAGATGGTAAGTAAGTCGATCGTGATTTGCCCGGGCAGTGACGATCTCCAACACGCAAGTCTCCCTCAGCAGCGACGACACGTATTACGAACACGACGCTCTCCCAATGCACGAACATTTCGAACACGTCGCTCTCACGTCGCTTAATGCACGAACACCACGAGCACGTCACTCTCCCAATGCACGAACACTACAAACCCGTCAGTTTCCCAGTGTCCCGACAGCGAGCACTTTCGTCGACGCACCGCCGTCGCGGTGGTGGGTCTGACCGGCGGCTCGGTCGCAGGAGGACGGCGGCGCGCCGGTCGGCCCGGCCGCCGACGCCGACGAGGCTGAGCCGCCCTTCGAGGACGCGGCCGACGAGCCGGGTGGCGGTGGCGGCGCCGGCGGCGGTGGAGGCGGCGGTGGCGGCGCCGACGGCGGCGCCGACTGGAATGGCTTCGCCGACGGCGAGCGGGCGGCGGCCGGCGCCGACGACAACAACTGGAACCCGATGGACTGGGACCGGGCCGCCGAGGAGCTCACCTGGGAGCGGCTGCTGGGCCTCGACGGCTCACTGGTCTTCCTCGAGCACGTCTTCTGGGTGGTGTCGCTGAACACCCTCTTTATTCTCGTGTTCGGTGAGCGGGGCGGGGCACCGTCGGGTGCGGCTGGGGAACGCCTCAAAGGGTGCGAGTGGCTTCTGTGAAAGCTCGGACGTGGCGAGGGGGGGGGGGGGGTGATAGTTTGCAACGGCATGTTCGACGATTGGTCGCTGTGGTGCTTGTAACTGGCTTAATCAACCTTATTTTCACGTGTCGCGCTGCGATATGGCGACAAAATACGTGGATGTGCCAGTGTGTTGTATTCGCACGGTCTTTGTGACTTAACTTGAAAATCGTCGAATTTTCGTCAACACATGTTCTCTGAGTACGAGCACAAGGTGACAAACTTCAGAGTGCTGACTTGCCACTGAATAGCCTGCTGCTGCACTGTCACGATTACGTCCTCTGACCCCGAAAATCGTCTCCCGCAGCTTTCTGCCCTTACCACATTGGGCACTTCGCCATCATGGGATTCCGGGTGCAGGACATGGTGATGTCTTCGCACTTCGAGGGCCTTCTCACCACCCTGGTCGGATACTGCATCATCGGTGTCATGTTTGTGCTGCTGCACACCTTCGCGTCGCTCCTCTCCATGCTCAGGTCGGCACTGGTTGGTCGGTCAGGGGCAGCCATGGGGCGTCATCACTTGATAGGCGACTGCGTGACAGGAAGGCGATGTAGTGCCGGCCTTGGGAGCAGGGGCCTAGCCAGACATGCTCTTCTGAAGAGCATCATGCGATGACCGAAGGATTCGTCTAATAATTGTAGTAATAATAGTGAGCCAGCAGCGTTGTTCTTGCTCTTGGTCAAAGCCAGCCGTGACGGACAATCTGTGTTCGTACTTGTTAAAACCGACGGGTCTTTCGCTTTGTGACGTAGCGCCCCCCCCCCCCCCTCCCGCCGCCCTCCCCTGAGCACGTGTCGGTGTCCGAGGCCACCATGCAGACCCGGCTCCCTGACTACTAGCCGGTCACGTCCGCAGGGCTAAGCGCATCCTGGGCGTCTGCTACGTGGTGGTGAAGGTGTCGATGCTGGCCGTGGTAGAGATCGGCGTGTTCCCGCTGGTCTGTGGCTGGTGGCTGGACGTCTGCTCGCTCACCCTGCTTGACACCAGTCTGCAGGTACTGACCGGGCGGGGCAGCACGCGCGCCTCCGCGGCTGGCTCGGGCGGTGGGTGTGAAACGTCGGCAAGGAGCGTAGCGCGATGAGCTGCAAGCATCGCACCAATCTTAGCATCACGCAGACAGTGGTTTTGAGAAGGAAGGAGCCTGCTGGCGTTTGCCTTCTGAGCTGCATTCTGCAGAATAACCGCGACTACAGGTCAGGAGATGCGCAGTGTTTAAGGCACCACTGAGAACATGAGCAGGTTCTCGGGCCGGCGGGGGGCGGGCAGTAACCACAAGTGAAGTGCGCGCATTCGTGATGTGTGGACGTCAGCACACGCTGACCGGCTCCCTCCGGGCGCTGTCGGGCGCCGCGCTACAGTCGCGTCACTACGCCAGCGCTGGGAGCTCAAGCGGAGGATCCCCGGACTGTGGGCGGCACACCTGAGGTACAACCGCCAGGCACACGACACACGACACCTCACCAGCTGCTCCCCTTCTATGGCTAGATTCGGCGTGAGGGATTCATGTGCGGATGACCGCAACAGCCACGAGCGTGGCGAACTATGTCAAGTGTTGCGCCCCTGACGCCCGGCCGACCGCCGCCGCCAGGACCGGCAGAAGGCGTTCAAGCTGGCGCCCGGCTCCTGCATGTTTCTCCACTGGCTGGTGGGCATGATCTACGTCTTCTACTTCGCCTCGTTCATCCTGCTGCTGCGCGAGGTGCTGCGGCCTGGCGTGCTGTGGTTCCTGCGCAACCTCAACGACCCCGACTTCAACCCCATACAGGAGGTGAGCCGAGCTGGTTCCAGCACAGCGTCGGGGGGTACTGGAGCTGGGCGGTTCATGACCCTGTAGCTGCACAGGCTCGTGAAGATAGGTGGAGGTTCTGCTTGTTTGGCGGACTTGATCATTGGTATGTCATCAAGCAAGTTGTGTAAGTCTGTGGATGGATGCTGGGTGTTGTATTGTAGGGCCGCGTGGATCCTCAGTCTGCCGGTGCCCTGGCGACTGGTGCCCTCTGGTGTCTGTTGTCTGGCCGGTGACCTTCGGTAGCTGGCATGGTCTGTGTCCTGCGCCATGCTATGTCGGTTTGCCTTGTTACGTCGTCCTAGGTGTGTGGCAGATCGGGTGGCCACATATTGTCCGGAAGTCTGGTGTGGCCTGGCGTGTCGATCCGTAAAAACATGGACTGAAGGCTAGAATGGAAGCAGAAAACTTCTAGTTTCCGTCCTTTTAGGTAAATACTCAGTTTTCTGAGCTTTATAGCATTTTGAAATGTTAAGTGGGCAATGCAGGGGAAAATGGAGCCTCTGTGTTTTACGCAATTGATCTTTGCGCCGTACATGTCATTGTTCTCTCAAAGTTATGGAACATAGCGGTGTCCGTTCGCTATGAAATGCCCTGTCATCTCAACCTTGTCTCCCGGCTACCCCCCCCCCCCCCCCCCGCCGCCAGATGATCCACCTGCCGGTGCTGCGACACACGCGCCGCTTCATCGCCTCCGTCATCATCTTCGGCACGACCGTGCTGCTGATGCTGTGGCTGCCGGTGCGCTTCATCCAGTACTGCTGGCCGCGCTTCCTCCCCTACAACGTGGCGCTGGTGAAGTGAGTGCGGCGGCCGTGGACGGCTGCCGTGATGTCGGCCGGCCAGCGGACCCGCTCGGCGTGACAGCGGGGCGCGGCGCGCGGGCAGGGGTTTATAGATAGGAGAAGCGGCAGTGGGCTGGGGATTCGCAGGATGTGGTCGCTGCTGCGTGTTTGGAAGTGTAAGGATGTGAGTATGTTTTAGGGCGTCCCGTCTCGTGGCTGGCGGAAGGGCTGCGTTGGTGGGTAATGCCGATGGTTAAGTTGTTTGGTGCGTTTCTGGCAAGCCCTCATCTACCAAAGTCTTACAGCTTTTCCAAAATGTCTCCTTCTATGCACGGGGATGACTCGCTTGGAAATGCACCGTACTGTATCGACAAGACGCACGTATCCTCCTGGCTGTTGTGGTGGTCTCTGTGATCACGACTCTGTTGCCGTCGCCGCCGACGCACTGCCGGGAGCGGCGCCCGACCGTTGGACCGTGCCGCCCCGGCGCCGTCCTGACCGGCCGCTCCTGCCGCAGCGAGGGGCCGGTGGTGGAGCCGTCGCTGCAGATCCTGCTGCTGCAGGTGTTCCTGCCAGCGCTGCTCGAGCAGGGACACACCAAGGTACGGAGCCGTGCTGGTGGGAGGACAGCGCGGGGACAGCGACACGGGAGGGGATGGCCAGTCACGAGCGGGGACACTCTACTGGAACATTGCCGTCACAATGTACGGCCGTCTATCTCACTGCTGGTGACTTCTGTGTCACTTCTGCCTGCCCCACTATTTAGAGCAAGATGTTACCTCTAGTGTCGTAAAAGCTGCATTTACAGCTAAGCGCGCCTCTATCCGTTTCATCACTACTTGATATTGATGGTGCCATGGCATCTCCAGTGTAAACTCCTGCGAGATCGAACGATGGCCGGAGGTCGGAACATCATCTCGTGTGTTGTCCGCGGCCGGCAGGTGTGGCTGAAGAACCTAGTGCGCTGGTGGTGCGTGGCCGTCGCTTGGGTCACCGACCTCAGGTCGTACTTACTGGGTGATGTGGCGCTCAACGAGCAGGTATGTAAAGCACGGCACGCGTGGGGCGGCTTAGCTAGGGTGGCGTAGTTGCCGAGCCGCATGTATCAAGAAGTGGGTGGCAGATGGTTCTTTTACCGTGTTGCTCCTTCATTGTTAGGCGCTTTGCGTGGAAAGTACCGGGCGTGTCATGAGGCGATATTTGGGTAAGAACTGAGACTGCTGATTTCTAGGCAGTCGTATTGTCATTACTGGGGGAAAACGTTATCACGGGATTGGACAAGCCACTCGCAATGGCCACCTGGTGTCGCACAGAACATCGAAATATGTGGCATTGGTTACGTCTGAACTATGATACTAAAGATGAATATTGGCTCAAGTAAAAAGAGCTTGAGTACTGGTGTTGAACATGTCTTTGTTGAACTGCAAGTAAACTACTGAAAAATAAACATCTTAACATGTCGACACAGGAGCGTATTTTCGCGCCCGTTCCTCTGTCGCCGCACCCTGTTGACCCGCGCGAGCCGGGAATGACGGCCCGCCTGCGTCGAGCCGAGCTGCCCGGCCCTGATCCGGCACCCCTCCCCTTCCTCTCCCCCAGGAGGACGACATCGAACGGGGTAACTACGACGGCCCGCTGCCGGCGCCGCCTCCGCTGGCTCCGGCGGCGCCGCGCGTCGAGCCCAACGGCGCGGCCGGCGGCGCGGCCGGCCTCGGCGGCGGCCTCGGCGCCGCGCACCAGGCGCTCATCATGCACGACGCGCCGGTCGGCTTCCAGCCGTACAAACGGCCCCAGTGGATGACCGTTCGGGTACGGCGCAGGGAGGACGGGGGAGTGACGCACTGCTGCAGGGAGTGGTCGGTGCGGCGGGTGGGCTGGCCGCGCCGCCGATGGGGAGAGGGTCTGTCGTGGTGTGAGGTCGGTGGCTGCCTGAACGGTGAGCGTTTAAGAGCGCTTCTGGTAAAAGATGAGCGTTTTACAATCGTGGTGAGGGCTGCGATCTTTTGCACGGCGCGATTAAAACACTGCCGCTCGTCGTGTGTGTGTGGCCGGGTGTCGCTGAACTAACGGCGCCGCTCTGTCCCCAGATCGGCTGCCTGCTGGTGCTGATGTGTCTCACCCTGCTGGTATCCAGCGTGCTGATGCTGACGGTGCCCGTCCGCGTGGGCCGATGCCTGCTCTCGCTCTGGGTGTCGGACGGCCCGGCGCACGAGCTGTACACGGCCGCCTGCGGCCTCTACGCCACCTGGCTGCTGGTGCGGCTGGCCGTGCTGGCCGCCAGCTGGCTGCCGCTGGGCTGGACGGGCGTGTGCGCGCGCCTGCGCCACTGGGCGGCGGCGGCGCTGCGCGCGCTGGTGGCGTTCGTCGTGCTGGTCGGCGTCATCCCGCTCTGCTACGGCCTGCTGCTGGAGGTGGTCGTCATCGTGCCGATCCGCGTACCGCTCAACCAGACGCCCGTCTTCTTCGTGTTCCAGGTGAGGGTGACGTGACGTGGCGTAGCGTGGCGTGGCGTGGCGTGGCGCGGCGTGGCGTGGTGTGACGTGGCGTGGCGTGACGTGACGGGGCGTGACGTGAGGGCAGCCGGCGAAGGCGCGCAGGCTGGATGGGATGTGGGGGGGGGGGGGGGGGTCCGGCGGTGTAAAGGGTGAAAGGGTAAAGGGTAGGGTACAGGGTAAAAAGGGTCAAGTGTGGCGTGTAGCCGTCGTAAGTTGCAAGGCGTGGATGACAGCCGGCCGGGCGAGCCGTAGAGATTTTACACTGCGTGGAATATGAGTGTGAGTGGTGAACGTTTTGTATACAGCTCTCACCTTGCGTACATGGCATATGTAGTGAACACGCTTGCGCGTATATTGTTGTGTCAGTTTCGTTTCGAATGTGTCACGCGTTAATATTCTTTAACGCGCACCGTTCACACCGTTTATGGGTTCACGTTATTTGGTGGACGGAATTCGTCGCATTTTCTTCTCGTATCGTTGGGCTCTTCGCCGCATCGATGTGCGTCCACATAGTTCGCGATGACACCGCCGCCCTTCCGTGCGCCGTCCCTTGCTCCTGGGCCTTGGACCCCCGTCCCCGCGGCGGTCCTGTGTGAGCGCTCTCTCAGACGGAGTGTGAGCAGCCGTTCGTGCCCGCAGGACTGGGCCCTCGGCGTGCTCTACACCAAGATCACCTGCGCCATCACCATGATGGGGCCCAACTGGTGGCTGAAGGCGGCACTGGAGCAGGTTAGCCGGGGCCGCAGCCAGCCGCCACCGCGCTGGGGCTGGCTGTGTATTGTGGGCGTGTCTTGCTGTTGCTTTAAAAGTCATCGATGCCTGGCATTCGTAGAAGACTGGTTTGGCCATCCTCTCGACTTGCATATGATGGTACACGATGCCGCAAGAACGGAACATTCCAAAAAACCGTCATGGCTGGGTTCCATTGTGTTAGCTGCTGTATCTCCATGCTCGCGTCTTTGCTGGTCTCGTCGAAGGTCCGTTTTTGCGTGATGCGCCTAATCGCTTTGCTTTAAGTTTTTTTCTTCACTTTCTCCCACTTTTGTCGCTTCTCGCTCCACTTTTCCGTATCCCTCTGCTTCTTGCCCCACCTTCGGCCCCGCCCTGTCTGCCGTTTTGTTTATCGTTATGTCGTTGCCGCGACAGGTGTACCTAAACGGACTGCGGAACCTGCAGCTGCGTGCCGTGCTGCTGGAGCTGGCGCTGCCGCTGGTGGTGCTGCTGGGGCTGGCGCTGGCCGTGCCCTACGTACTGGTTCACTCATTCGCGCCACTCTTCCGTGAGTGTGACAGGGGTGGGGGGCGCGTTTGCCGTTCAGTGTTGGGTTTGAGCTCGAGAGCGGCGAGCTCCCGTGCATGTGTGCATGCGTGCGTATATACGTATATATGCTTATGGGGTACTGATACGATATTATGTTCGTTGATGTTGCCTTAGATTCTTCCCCTGTAACGTCTGGGAGTGACGTATTGATCGTTTTGCACTTCCCAGTGTGCATCGCCACCTGTCGAGAGCAGGTAGCCATTCTTAGTAGAAGGTCAGAGGTGATAACAGGAGGAAGGCCACAGTAAGGCCAGACTCCCTACCTAGAATCACCCCCCCGCTAGCTTTACCAGGGCGGAGGGGATGGAGACGAAGCTAGGTACCAGGCAGCTGCTACGTCAGTGTGGCCACCTTCACAACCTGTGTCTTTTTCCCTGATTGCTAAGGTGGAAGGATAACGTTTGTTGTAACGTGGGTCGCGTGGGTAAGTTCGGGCGGCTCTCGTTATTTTACTTGAGAAGTGATGCCTCTACCACACTTGTTCACGTGGAGCCAGTTTCCCAATCGTGGCTCTGCACCCCCAGTGGAGCTTGACTGGGCCTCAGCGTGATACATGGTTGGTGCTGAGTCTCAGCGGGACACCTGACTGGTGCTGAGCCTCAGCGCGACACCTAATTGGTGCTGAGCATCGGCGCGACGCCTGATTGGTGCTGAGTCTCAGCGTGACACCTGATTGGTCCTGGGCCTCGGCGCGACACCTGATTGGTGCTGAGCCTCGGCGCGACACCCGATTGGTGCTGAGTCTCAGTGTGACACGTGATCGGTGCTGAGCCTGAGCGTGACACCCGATCGATGCCGAGTCTGAGCGTGGCTGTCTGTCTGCCGCAGTCGCGCGCTCCGGCAGCCTGTACATGGTGCAGCGCCAGATCTACCCCTGCCTGGTCATCGCCAGCTCCCTGCTCACCATGCTGGTGTTCCAGTACCACCAGTTCAAGAAACTTTACGAACACATTAAAAACGACAAGTAAGCCCGCTGACGAAACGACAGTGGTGACAAATTGTTGTGGGTTGAGCTTTGTCGTCGGGCGGGGGGCCGTGATTTGTGAGCGTGCGCGTGGGCCCGCAGAGCTGACCCCGCCGTGCTCGGCAGGTACCTGGTCGGCCGCCGACTAGTCAACTACGATCCGCAGCGGCAGGAGTCGCGCGCGCCGCCCGCCGCCGACGAGGTCAGATAAGGCCAGTCCGCGCCCCGGCTGCCGCGCCCGTGGCGTCACACTGGCCGCCGCCGCGTCCGCGTTGGTGGCCTGGACGCTGGGGTGACGTCAGGTCAGCGCTCGCCGCGCTCCAATTGGCGATCCTGCCACGCTGTGACGTCGCGGCACGCGTACGTTGCCCAATCAGAACCGAACATGGCTAGGTTGGCTGGGTGGGACGGGACGTCTGTGCAAATAGGGTCGCAACGGTCCCGTATCGTAGGGGAGGGGGGGGGGGGAGGTCCATGCGAGGCGCGACGGAAGGGCGCTACTCAGTGGGACTTGGTGTCGCTTAGGAATATTTTTTGTTCTGGCGCGTGCCGAGCGTGGTCAAATAGTTCCTGATCCACTACCACGATCGATATAAACAATCTTCGCACGCCTCCCGTAATCCTGCCGCTGTCGTGATCGCGCCGGAGCTGTCAGGACCGCCAGCTGCCGGTTTAAGGGAATATTTATTCCCATTATTGTATACATCACTCCTTCAACGTAATCCCCTTCGCTCGTCCGTTGTCTTGTGGCGGGTTGTTTTTGTTGGCAAGCGCGACGACCGTGGGCATGCCCTGGCGCTACGCTGCCGACTGGGCGGAGGCTTCGCCGCGTTTAGATTCGGCGTTTATCTTGCTCTGATCAGCTGATCAGATCAGTTTTGGCGCGCAGGCTCTCGCGGAGCTACGGCGCTCGATCGCTGGCGCCCTTGCCCCGGAGGGCCGCCCTCGCCGGGCGTGGCTCGGCGCTGGTGACATGTGATAAGCCGGCGGGACTGGCTGGCAGTGTGTGGCCCCCGCTGGCTGCGTGGCCGAGCGGGGGCGGGGGCACCGACCTCGACCTTTGCTGTGTTATCAAGCGCGGCGCGAGCGCGCTGCCCGCACGCTGCTGGGGCGTGCACAGCGCCCGGGTAATTTGGTTTGCGAAATGTGGATATTATCGGCGTGTCGTGCGAGACGTTCCGGGAGAGGTCCGTGTACCACGTGTAATGTGTATACCGGCGTATTGCATAACTAAGCCGGGTGATTTCTGTCCTGTAGGCACGGCTGTCGTGCGTCACCCCGAAGCGCGCGAGACGGAGCGGCGTGAGAGAGGCGCGTGCGGAAGGCGTGGGCGTGAGGCGGATGGCGTATGTTTGTGAGCTGTGCGTGAATGTTCACCGTGTATGGCGCGGGTGGAGGAGGCACGAGCGTAACCAACAGAACGCAAATAAATCGATTACATGGATACCAGCGTGTTGTCATCGCGCATGATTCATTCTGTTTTAGTTACACATGGATTGTACACGCGTTTTATTCGGTCTTGCGCCGGCCATTCACTTTATCTGGCACGCCCCCCACCCCCGAGATCGATATTCGTCAGAACTTACCGTGGACGACCGTGTTCCCCTTAATTCCACTGCTCACTTCACGCCAAATCAGGCTACTGGGCTCAGCCGAAAGTGCCACTGTCGCAGTTCAGCGGGTAAGTACTTCAAGCGCACACCCAACGCGAGTTTGATACATTGCAGTCATTATGTGCTGACAAATGACCAATACAAGCCGCAACCCAAACAGTCGAGCCATCACCTTACTGGCAGCAACCCCGGTCCACCGATCCGAGCACATAAGAAAACACCTCACCGAGACGACACGTGTCGCGGGTTAGGCACTGGTGGCGGGGTCCCCATGGTGCACCTCTCCCACCTGACTGTCAATGCAAGAGGGGCACACGAATGCCCGAATAACAACACAACCATTTGACATCAACCACAGCAATGACTGGCACCATTTAACAACCCTCCGCGACCAGTGCGTCTGGCTTTAACCGGCAATGGCATCACGTGCGACGAGTCCACACTCGGACGGCTTTCCGTCCCAACCGAGCACCGACCACGTGTTCACCAAACCCGACCACTGCGCAGAACGCGCATCACCGGTGTACGCCACGTGCCACGCGTTCATGTGCGCCACGAAAACAGGACGGACAGGCGCGACCCCGGGTGAAAATCAAACAGACTGCAGGAACAACACCATTCGTTCTAGTGATTGGACGTCTGTTTATGGAATGGCTCCCGCCTGTCTGAATGCGGCACTTTGAGTGTTCGCCTCACAACCGTGCGCCACTGAGCTCACTTGGACTGTACCCGCTCGCCGAGGTCACCAGTCTCCGCGCCACCGGGGTCACCAGTCCCCCACGCCACCGCGGTCACCAGTCCCCCGCGACCCTGGGGTTACCAGCCCCGCACCTCCGGGGTCACCAGTCCGCACCTCCCGGGTCACCAGCCCCGCACCTCCATGATCACCAGTCCCCGCACCTCCCGGGTCACCAGTCCCCTGCGCCCCTGGGGTCACCAGCCCGGCCAGCGGCCCGGCTGGCAGTGGGCAGCCGGCTTGAAGACACCCCGCCGTCATACCAGGGATATGGCCGCGGGGTGTCTCACGGCTGTCCTTGTGTACAGCGGACTTCAGGCCGCGCCGCTAGAGGACCGACAGTGCGCCGGACCCGCGCGGCCGGGTCGCTGTGACGTCACATCGACGTCTTCTCTCCACCGCCTCTCTGCCCCTTGACGTCATGATGCCCTCACGCCAGCAGCTCCTGTTCGTCATCGGACTCGGCGGGCGTGACCCGGATCGTCTCGTAGACCTTGTTGGCCAGGTCGGTCATCTGGGTCTTAGCCTCGCGCAGCTCCTGCAACGGGCCGCATTACACACGTCAGAAAGCGCCATGCAGTCTGCCGTTTGGGATGGTCCCCTATACACATATGAATTATGAAGCCACTTGAGGTGCGGAGCGTCGCTTCACTTGGCTAGTTTCGACCGACTAAAAAGCATTGTTCAGAAACTATTTGGGTAACTGATCTCTATGCAGCTTCTTAAATCAGGAGCATGTCTTAACATTCCAGGAGATTAAATTAAGAGCATGATTGCACCCAGCTTTGCGTTCTTATAGCATACGCAGGTATGAGTAACTATGTTACCAACGACCATTCTCCATGCCAAACCATCCCCAAAGTCCACCTGTGGCGCTTTACAACTAGGCCCAATCCGTGTGTCCCACATTTTCCCTGTACGCGCAAAACAAACATCACCATCAGCTGCAAAACTACCCCCCCCCCCCCCACACACCTTCCCCGCCACAGCCCACCTCCCTGCTCTACCCTGCCTCCCCGATCACCCCCCCCCCCCCCCCCCACCTGTTGTGTGAGCCGGCGCGTGAAGAACGGCTTGAAGTACAGGTAGTCCCACTTGGCGAAACCGCGCAGCTGTGTCGGATTGGAGTTGGTGTCGCGCTCGTCCTCGGTCAGTTCGGAGAGATGCTCCGAGTCAATGGCCGCGCCCAGCTCGTGCGTCTTGCTCAGGTTCAGGTCGCGCTGGCGACGGCTGCGGCGGCGACGGCGTGTCCTACGGCAGCGAGTACAGAGAGCGCTCAGGCTGGGGAGACTCGGTGGACGGTGGCGCCGTCTGCGGTGACTGTAGAGCACGCTGCCGTGTGACAACACACAGTGGCGCCACCTCGCCACTATAAGCCACTGTTGGTCAACCAGGTGCGACGCACTCGCAGGACTCAGTGATGGTAAGACTGACCGGAGAAAAGTCGAGATTTCGCGTCTGACGGTTTTTAGGAGACGCGACGCACGTCGTCGCGAGCTTTTTATAGAGCGCGAGCGACTGCAGATACCATATGGCGCTCAGGGGCATGGCGCAAACGGCATTTGAACCCGGGCCTCCCACGTGGGAGGCGAAGACGCCTTTGTATCTGATGACGACGGACTTCATAGTGAAGGCTGTATAATCCAGCTGGCTATAACGTCGGCCCAAACGGTCAGCTTCACCGCTTGTGTGACGAAAAGGCTGGCATGCAACAACTCACAACGGCGGGTCGAACCGCCAGCCTCGGCCCGCATGCGAGGATCCGCAACCCCTGTTGGGTGTAACAAGCAGCTGAACTCTTCACCACACCGGCCGACAAAGACACTGGGACACGACGAGCTCACGCGTCGCCTGGCGCCGCACACCCCCGCCGGCGGCAGCGGAGCGCGCGCCGCACCTGAGGTCGTCGCTGAACCGGTCGGCGCTGAGGTACTTGAGCAGCGGCTGGGTGGCGCCGCCCAGCAGCAGTATGCTGCTCAGCACCACGATCAGCGTGGTGGTCACCAGCACGTGACGCTTCTCAGTGCCGAACTCCAGGTGCAGGCAGAGCGCGTAGGCGATGGCGCCGCGCAGGCCTGCCCGGGCCCAGGCGGCGTCAGGTGGTGAGGAGGGGAAGTGGAGGGGTCGGTGGCGGCGTCAGGTGGTGGGGAGGGGACGTGGAGGGGTCGGTGGCGGCGTCAGGAGGTGGGGAAGGGAAGTGGAGGGGTCGGTGGCGGCGTCAGGTGGTGGGGAGGGGACGTGGAGGGGTCGGTGGCGGCGTCAGGTGGTGGGGAGGGGAAGTGGAGGGGTCGGTGGCGGCGTCAGGTGGTGGGGAGGGGACGTGGAGGGGTCGTGGCGGCGTCAGGAGGTGGGGAGGGGACGTGGAGGGGTCGGTGGCGGCGTCAGGTGGTGGGGAGGGGACGTGGAGGGGTCGGTGGCGGCGTCAGGTGGTGGGGAGGGGACGTGGAGGGGTCGGTGGCGGCGTCAGGTGGTGGGGAGGGGACGTGGAGGGGTCGGTGGCGGCGTCAGGTGGTGGGGAGGGGACGTGGAGGGGTCGGTGGCGGCCGTCAGGTGGTGGGGAGGGGACGTGGAGGGGTCGGTGGCGGCGTCAGGTGGTGGGGAGGGGACGTGGAGGGGTCGGTGGCGGCGTCAGGTGGTGGGGAGGGGACGTGGAGGGGTCGGTGGCGGCGTCAGGAGGTGGGGAGGGGACGTGGAGGGGTCGGTGGCGGCGTCAGGTGGTGGGGAGGGGAAGTGGAGGGGTCGGTGGCGGCGTCAGGTGGTGGGGAGGGGAAGTGGAGGGGTCGGTGGCGGCGTCAGGTGGTGGGGAGGGGAAGTGGAGGGGTCGGTGGCGGCGTCAGGTGGTGGGGAGGGGACGTGGAGGGGTCGGTGGCGGCGTCAGGTGGTGGGGAGGGGACGTGGAGGGGTCGGTGGCGGCGTCAGGTGGTGGGGAGGGGAAGTGGAGGGGTCGGTGGCGGCGTCAGGTGGTGGGGAGGGGACGTGGAGGGGTCGGTGGCGGCGTCAGGTGGTGGGGAGGGGACGTGGAGGGGTCGGTGGCGGCGTCAGGTGGTGGGGAGGGGAAGTGGAGGGGTCGGTGGCGGCGTCAGGTGGTGGGGAGGGGACGTGGAGGGGTCGGTGGCGGCGTCAGGAGGTGGGGAGGGGACGTGGAGGGGTCGGGTGGCGGCGTCAGGTGGTGGGGAGGGGAAGTGGAGGGGTCGGTGGCGGCGTCAGGTGGTGGGGAGGGGAAGTGGAGGGGTCGGTGGCGGCGTCAGGTGGTGGGGAGGGGAAGTGGAGGGGTCGGTGGCGGCGTCAGGTGGTGGGGAGGGGACGTGGAGGGGTCGGTGGCGGCGTCAGGTGGTGGGGAGGGGACGTGGAGGGGTCGGTGGCGGCGTCAGGTGGTGGGGAGGGGACGTGGAGGGGTCGGTGGCGGCGTCAGGTGGTGGGGAGGGGACGTGGAGGGGTCGATTGGCGGCGTCAGGTGGTGGGGAGGGGACGTGGAGGGGTCGGTGGCGGCGTCAGGAGGTGGGGAGGGGACGTGGAGGGGTCGGTGGCGGCGTCAGGTGGTGGGGAGGGGACGTGGAGGGGTCGGTGGCGGCGTCAGGAGGTGGGGAGGGGACGTGGAGGGGTCGGTGGCGGCGTCAGGTGGTGGGGAGGGGACGTGGAGGGGTCGGTGGCGGCGTCAGGTGGTGGGGAGGGGACGTGGAGAGATCGGTGGCGGCGTCAGGTGGTGGGGAGGGGACGTGGAGGGGTCGGCGGCGGCGCATGGCGTGGGGGGGGGGGGGGACGCTGGTTGAAATGAAACAAATGATCGGGCTTGGTTTCAAGATCTTTTTCGCCGCAGTTCGGTACGATATTCATTGACATATCACACAGGTGTAACATTTAGGCCCTGTATAAAAACATCGGTGAGGAGCAAAATAAACCGCAAGGTACTGATCACAATCACCAGCAAACCACAAACTATCCCAACGCTCTCGACGCAAGGGTGGCCTAACTCGCATTGCGTCTCGCGCCCCACCTACCACTAAACCACATGATGGCCTGCATCTTCTTGGTGATTTTGTGCTCGCGGAAGTAGTTGACGAGCGCCGACAGTGGGAAGATGTTGAGGGCGCGGCCGAACAAGCACAACATCAGGGACCAGATCACGAGCGCAGGCTCCACCTGGTGGCCGAAGCTGAAGATGGCCATGCCCAGGTATGCGAACACGCACGTCTCTGAAACACGAGCACCGCCAGTGTTATCATAACTGGACCATATGCGATACATTGAAGGCTGTTTTTTATGTTGGCCTAGTTGTATTCTAATGGACTAAGCTTATTATACCGGACTATATTGTAACTCATAATTCGCGTTGCACACTGCATTTATGCTGACATCCAGCGGAAGTACAATAACCAAAAGCAGCACCGTGTGCTCATGGGGCTTCTGCCCCTTGAAGACAGCCAGGCGGACGACCATCAACGTGCACCCGGCGCGGAGGAGACCCGACGGCCTTCGGCTTCGACGGCTGTGCGTGCTCACCTGCCACGAAGGCCAGGGTGCGCATGGTCTGCTGCATGGTGATCTGCGTGACCGGCGACAGGTTGTAGTGGGTGTACTGCGACATGACGATGCCGCAGAACAGGATGGCCATGATGCCTGCGGGTGCAGACGACGTTACGTCATGTTACCGGGTGGGCGGACATGCATTACCCTCCAAAAACGGGCCGTTCTGGGAGGCACCTGATGCCAGCCACCTTGCAGCCATATTTGCACTTTCCTCCACAGCTTGCAAACCGTGCTGCTGCTTCGATGCCGAATAAAAAATACACATAGCAACTGTCGATCGGCTTTCGCTCCACTGCGACAAAAAGCGACCGCTGTTTATATTTGTCCTCGCCTCTTCGTCCTGTCACGCTATGGGCATCTAATAAATCATGCTCACGAAACAAATTTCAACTTCCTTAATTTTTCTCTGGCGCCGCAACAGTGAAGAAACATTGCGGCATAATACTGCGCCACTACCAAGCGCCGTGCCAACAGTCACGCCTGAGGCCGGCCAGTGTTAACAGGAGCGCAACGCACCCGATGGGCTCTGCGGCGCATCACAGCGCTAACAGCGCAGCTGCAGGAATAACTTAGCGACACCATGTAATCGGTAACCCAAAAGACACCAAGAGTTACATGAAATGTACCATGTTAAACATAAGGCGACAAAGGCCCGAACTTTGCAGCGAAGTCAAGAACTGCAACACAGGTGTTGTTTGTTATCTCGGTTTGCGAAGTAAGTAGTTTTCCAATCAGTGAGTGAGCGAGCGCTGTATGCCGAGGCCAGGTATTGCCGCGCACCCGGGTGAAGAGGGTCTCCCTGAAGGTATTCGCATAATAATTCCGAACGGTGCGGCAAGAGCGTGCCAAACTTTGCATAACTGTAGGCAAATGAATAGCGAATGTTTTGGTATAAAAAACCGAAGTACCCAGTCGGTAACCTATGACGCGGCAGTCAGGCCTACGCTCAGTCGCTAACCTATGACAGGGTGAAGTCAGGCCTAGGCTGTCAGCGAAGGCAATTTTGGGGAGGATCGTTCAGTCTTATGTTCCAACGGGGTCTTAGACGAAGCACATCTCTGATATAGTTTGTTAGGCAGTAACAGAATTGAATTTAAATTACAACAAATTCCATTGACCAAGGGTAGAGTATTGACGTTAGATCGAAGTCAAAACAAACTGCTTTGCTTAGGACGTTGCTGCATGACACGCAATTTAGTGCTTATTTTGGATATATCAATAGCAGGGACCGCAACAGACATCTATGGATTATTCAAAGGTCAGAAAAACCACTGACCAAAAATGATCCAGGTCAAGAGTTGTTTAGGAACATACTGCCAAGCATAATCTTTGACGCTTATTCAAATGAAAAATGAAACCCATCCCGTAGGATTTGGATTACCATGAACTTCTAAATGTCAAAGATTACTGACCTTAAATAAACACAGGTGGCCTTCTGCTTCGGACAGGCATATAGGTTTCACGCGGTTGCATGAGGATGCCTTTGGACACTGGACACCAATCTTAAGTTTGACCTTGTGTGACCTAATTTGACCCCAAGGTGACGGCCTATGAACCTCAGATTTTGACACTCTTCTTACTTCTCTTACAGGCCAACCCATCTTGGCAATTTGGTATCTCCAGCTCTCTAAATTTTTAAGACGTCAGGGGATTTAAATTCAACCCCTACCTAAGCAAAGGGTATTCAACCGACCACGCGGGTGCGTGTTAACATTGTTTTCAGTTGTATCAAACATTAACACCGTGCCATTAACTCCGTAGCACCGTGCCATATTATACCGACGTTGTATTACGCATCCACACCGTGCATAAAGGCACTGAAGTCGTTTTGGCTCAAAATCACACAAGTAGTCAATGTTTGCATTTGACTGCCGTTAAGACGCAAAGCAAAGTCCGTATCTGCTGATGCATATATTTTCAACCCCGTCGATATCCATATCACGCGGAAGCGATCCGCCCGCATCACAGGACTTGGGCGACTGCGATGTCCAGCGCTCGCTTCACCAGCTGTATTTCCTCGTCCAACAGATAGATGGCAGCGATGACCCTGATGCTCGGCGGGGGTGTCTTCACCTCCTGGTCCGCCAGATAACAGGCTGTTGTCAGAAGAACGCCTTCATCGCGTACCTGTAAAGCAGAACGGGACTTGTGTAAACTCCACCCAGCCTCCGTAACTTACAAACTCATCGGCATACGTATCAATAAGCGTTCAGGAAAGGCAGACAGCTTCGCAAACAACACTCATTTGTAGCCATGCAATCGCCGGCCCAACGGTTGGCAATGAGTTCATGTTCAGTGGTTAGAACACTGTTGCCATGACCCACGATGTCGACGATGCGCTGCAGCAGCTGCTGGTCGTCGCTCCGCTTGCCCCCGGACGTCGCCAGACGCAGGTGCTTGATGGGTGACTCGGGCACCCCCACCAGCTGTAGTCTGGCGGGCGGGGCGGGGCGGAGCGACGGTCAAGCCCTCATCGAGCAGCCAACAGCCGGCCACACCGCCGTCATTCCAGAACGCTACGTTTTCTCTTCGCATGCTTAACCGCGGAAATCCCGACAGACTGTTATCAATGAATGGTGTACCGCTGTTACTAATATTGGCAACAGAAATTCCAACTTTTACACTCAAACATGAATCACGAAACGCTGTGAAATGTCAGCTATTATTGGTTCCGGAAATCCCGACGAGCGTCTATACGTCAGTGTTTATCGCCAGACGCTCTTAATATCAGCTACTACCGGGCACGGAAAACCCGAATGTGTTGCTTTCGTGGAGCGTAACGCGGCCGCCAAGCACCCTTCGTAAGCGTGATAGTTGTCGGTGATATGCTCCCAACACCGTACCCCTCGACAGCAGAGAGGGCCATATGAAGCGTCTCGGACACGGTCCGCAGTCGTGACGTCATAGTGACGTCATTGTCGATGAGCTCCAGCGCCTTGGTGGCTGCCGAGGCCAGCATGGGCGGTAGTGATGCCGAGAACACATAGCCTGCCGTCGAGAACGGACACGAGTCACGGGCGGAGGTCGGCAGGACAAAGGGAAGCACGCAGACCGAACTGGTATGAGATGTGAAACGTAAGCAACGTTACCGACGCAACACTCGTGTTTCTTTCTCGCACAGAACAGCTACAACACTCCCTGTTACCAGCATGCCAAATGAGCAAGCTTGCGCACACACGAACAAGGCTGGCGGTCCTAACCCAGTCCGTTCAGTCTTTGGTGGTCGACCACGTGGTAGGAGCCGCTGGTGAAGCCGCCGCACGAGCCCAGAGCGTGCTCCAGAGAGCCGCATATCAGGTCCACATCGGTCACCTGTGTGGGGCCATTGGCCGTCACTTCAGACAGACGACAGCATACGGGCCGAGCGCACGTGGATGTACACGCCGGGCCTGAGCGCCGGTCTGGTCACGCGAGCGTTACGTCACGCCTCCACGGTACACCAGCCACACGTGGCGTCGCAGCACGCCCCCGTCACCGCCTACCAACGCCAACAGCACGTAACAGCACGTAGCATATGACGTAGAGAACCGGCAATATACCGTCAATGGGGTAGAATGTTGAAAATGGAGCTATTCTCTAATGACAAGTGTATGCAAGAGACTAATACCAATGCCCTATAGTGTAAAACGGTCCTCAGTTCTCTCCTGATCCACTGCCTCATATTAAACTACTCCGCACCAACTCAGCAGCGGTGTGAGGGACCCGGTGAGCGCACGGCCCTGTCTACCCCGTGCCACACCTTGATACTAGTGTTTGGTGACCCCGCAGCCCTGCCCGCTCTGCGCCGCACCTTAACGCCGAAGTGTTCGGTGAGCCCGCGGCCCCGTCCACCCCGTGCCGCACCTTGATACCAGTGTTTGATGACCCCGCAGCCCTGCCCGCCCCGCGCCGCACCTTGACGCCGAAGTGTTCGGTGAGCCCGCGGCCCCGTCCATCCCGTGCCGCACCTTGATACCAGTGTTTGGTGACCCCACGACTCTGCCCGCCCCGCGCCGCACCTTGACGCCGAAGTGTTCGGTGAGCCCGCGGACCCCTCCACCCCGTGCCGCACCTTGATACCAGTGTTTGGTGACCCCACGGCTCTGCCCGCCCCGCGCCGCACCTTGACGCCGAAGTGCTCGGTGACCCCGCGGCCCCGTTCACCCCGTGCCGCACCTTGATACCAGTGTTTGGTGACCCCGCAGCTCTGCCCGCCCCGCGCCGCACCTTGACGCCGAAGTGCTCGGTGACCCCGCGGCCCTGCTCGCCGAGCACACCGATGGAGACACTCTCGTCCAGGATGATGCGGATCTTGTGCCGCTGCGCCAGCGCTACCACTTCTGGCAGCGGGCAAATGTCGCCTGTGTTCATGTACAGGCCCTCCACCACAATGAAGAGGCGGGCGGCGGCTGGCGGCGGCTTCAGATCCTGCCGCAAGTCAGTCGAGAGTGCGGTCTGTAAGGCTTTGATCAGCGTTTAGCACGAACATACCACGCAATAATCTCACAAGAAACCGAACGCTGTTGCGACAGTCTAATGCAACGCGAAGGGCGAGCGTGACGATGCATTATTGCGTCAACAAACTAGCACTAGATCTCCAAGGCAAGGCTTAAAATCAGCTGCAGATAAGGGCCTGCCAAGCTAGCGTGTTGTTAGCCGAGGGCATTCGGGCAAGCAACAGTTCAAAGCGCTGGTTAGATACCCGCAGACCTTTTCAAGCTCGGTCATCAGCCTTGTTATCTGGCACTCAAGATCCTCCACGTCGTTATGCTTGAACCAGACTGTCTTGCTCTTGGATGCCTGAACGCCCTTCTGAATGGCAAAGTGAACCGACTCGTCCCTGAAAATGAAGGCAAACTCCTGCGGTCCAAAAACACGCAAATATACCGATACGGCTAGTTTCATGTTAAGTCCATGTTTGACAACCGCACATAGTGGCAACTACGCATGGCTGGCTTTGCAACGACGAGCCGCAATTCCGGCGAGACAAGCGGAGGGAGCCAAAATGGGACCAGCCTGGACGGATCTTCCTCGACGCGGAATCGGCCTGAACTGCGCACGTTTGCGCCGAGCATCGCCGTTCGGCCGGGATTTTTCCGCTATCGACCGCGAGTCACGCCTCACCGGACGAACTCACACGACCAGGACGTCACCGGGCTTGGCGTACGCCGGTATGGCTGAGCTCACGGTGGAGAAGCCAAGAGAGTAAATGGCCGTCTCCTCGGTGCCGAGGAACGCAGAGATGTGATGTTCCAACTCCAGGTGAACGTCTGGAGAGGCAGAGCGCGCAGGAGCGGCAATAGTGACCCATCTCAAGCTGATCGGTAGGGCTCCGCCAAGCCGTACGGACACCGCCATCTTGAATGTTGGGTGCTTTCTGCGACGTTGGCAACATTTTTCGACAGTATGTTTGGCAAAAGAACAAGGAAATGATAGAGTTAAAAATCATCGTCTGCATTCCTGCACTACACCTGCCATACGTGCACGTGCACTTAAGCACTTTTTCTCCCCGAACAGGTTTCCTGAGCAAACACTATGTGCCGTAGAGCCACGAGACATTGTTTCCCATTCCAAACATACGTCTTCCTCCCGACGTTTCGTTCCGTGAATGACGCAGGCCCTGATCCTCCATGGAACGATCGGATGATCCGTGGCTCAGCCACTGGCACAATTAAGCGAAAATGTCGTATGCCTGGCATTTGGCAACGAATAACACCATTGATCAACACAACGACGGCTCGAAAGACTACGTTTGAATAAACAAGTCATCCGTAACAATATGAGCAAAAAACGCGGCCGAAATAGCCACTATTTTAAGCTTCGTTTGAAACTCAGACGTATTACTTCTCCTGAGCTCATACCAATCACAGCATCTTACACCTATATGTCACCAAAGCTATCGTGCCATCTGGGAAAACACAAAATACAAGCTTCGGAATCCAATCTGAACCCCCAATCGCAAGCACATGACGCCGCAGCTAACCCGCACCCGGTGCACTCCCAGGGACACGTCGCCGCCACTGTCATGCACCGAGTGTAGGGGGTCCAAACGCTAGCCGGCCACGTACCGACCGTGCCGAAGAATGTGCGCGGCCCGCACGCGCCGACGCCGTACTTGCGCAGGGCGGCGACGCCGGCCGCCTCCACACTGGCGTCACCCACCATGCCCAGGTAGTTGTGGGAGGCCATGTTCAGCAGGTCCCGGCTCTTCACGCGCACGTACTTGCCAAGCTGGAGGGAGAGGTAAGAGCCTGAATGTCGCACCTTTTATGCTTATATTTTGTAAGCTGGGCTGAAGCCAAGACAACCCAGTACTGTGTCTGTATCTATACTTGGGCCGTGTAGATTCAGTAACCACAGGCTAAACGGTACTGACAAAAATAATACAGCCGTGCACGTGAGGCGGATGGCATAGTCAATGACGCCAAACCGTGACACCTCTGTGCAGGCCGAAGCAGTGCTGGACCGGAGGCACGCTGCCCAGCAGCAGCCATCTCCACCCGCACTGTACCGGCGGTGTGGAGCGAGGCACGCTGTCCAGCAGCAGCCGTCTCCACCCGCACTGTACCGGCGGTGTGGAGCGAGGCACGCTGTCCAGCAGCAGCCGTCTCCACCCGCACTGTACCGGCGGTGTGGAGCGAGGCACGCTGTCCAGCAGCAGCCGTCGCCACCCGCACTGTACCGGCGGTGTGGAGCGAGGCACGCTGTCCAGCAGCAGCCGTCTCCACCCGCACTGTACCGGCGGTGTGGAGCGAGGCACGCTGTCCAGCAGCAGCCGTCGCCACCCGCACTGTACCGGCGGTGTGGCGCCCCGGCGCCGGAGGGCACCGCTGTCCGCTCACCTTGCCGTCCACAATGACAGGGTTGAGGGCCGGGTGGTCGGCCGGGGTGGGTGGCACCAGAGGGTCCGGCACCCATGATCGGACCTTCTCCTGATCCTGCCGGGAAGGACGGGCGGGAGTGTCATACCAAGGGCAGCAGCAGAATATGAGCAAAATACCAGAATATGAAGATCATCAATATATGTGTGTGTATGTATATATATATATATATATATATATATATATATATATATATATATATATATTAATAACATCACAATATGAGCAGCGATGGAACGGCGTTTTACGCTTCAAGTACCGACTGCCAGGAAGTTTCACTTGCGGAACACTTGCTCACACTTAAACAGCAGCTGACTATGTTAGGTCATTTGGTGACTAAGCCCAGAGCCCGTTTAACGAAAATATGTTTTCTGAATGGTTCAAGCGAAGTGGGACCTCCATGGCGCTACTAGCCCACATGGAGGGAGGGGGACTGTGCTGAGCCAGGCTGCGCTGTGTTCCACGATGGTATAGCGAAGTTTTTGCCGAAGCTACCACGTAATTTATGAACATCGTGATTTTTATCAATACAAAAGACGTCAAAATACATCCTCAAAGTTGAGATTTTCAGTAAACAAACAACACGATGTCAAAGTATACCGATATGTATGGCAAACGTTCCTTCCTGACGGATCAACACGCCAAATCGGTACAGACGACATCAAAAACGCGCCCTGCGGAGCGCGGATCACCACAGCAATAGCTAACGCATGCGTGTACAGGCTTCCCAGCGAAATAGAAGATCTTTTTGAAAGCCCTTTGAACGCACACCGGCCTTTAACATGTTTCCCATAGGATTGACCATAGGATTAACCATAGGCCGAGCAACCAAGCAAGCAGGTAGAGCAGCAGCCATCCCGTCTAGGGCTTTGACGCTAACTCGCCGTTCCATTACTTGGTAGGATCACACCTCATTGCCCGCCCCGAGCCAGACCGGGGCGAGGCCGGCCGACGCCGAACAAAACCCGACATCCCGACCCCCCAGCACGTCACAAGACAGATCGCTGAGGCCGCGGCACTCAGTGCCACCATAAGAATACGTACATAAATACCAAGAGCTTACCTCAGCGCTCAGCTTCAGCACGGGATCGTCCATGGCCTGAGCGCGACGGGCACCGACACACCACCACCGGCGCCGACACCGAGAACCGACCAACGCGACGCGCACACTTGTCACTGATTACTGAGCGGCTGCTGCGCTTATGGCCGGCCGGGCGGCGGACACCTGGCCCCGGCGCGTAAACGGTCCGGTCCGCCGCCCCACGCCAGGCCAGGCCAGGCCGTCAGCGAACACTGGGTCGGGCCCAGCTGACGGCTCGGCTTCCGATAGCGCCGTGGGGGAGTCGCCAACGACCGGACCGGTTGGCTCTGGTCTCGGAGCAGCTTGGAATCCGCTCAATGAGGACCGCAGGACGGGACTCAGCGCTGTCGCGATTCGACGACAGTAGATAGACATTCGTTGGTACGAATGAAAGTCGTCAATGATTTGACACTCCGCGATAGCAAAATCGACAGAGAACGCGACGATTTAGAGTCGTGATTACTTTTTCATGGTCAAATGAAAAAAACAATGTGTGAGGCCAGATATAACCAATGTAAAAAGGGGCGGGTGTGAACCCAAAACACGATTTGCATTATAAGGGTACATAGAAAGCGGTCACCTTATCCACCTGTCACAGTTGTGCGGGTTGAACTCAAATACGGCCGCTGATTTAATGAACGTCTCTCCTGCTTCCGCCCACCTCCCTCTCTCCATCCATGCCCGCATATCATATCTGCGCCTCTGGCCTGTGTACAGCCCATCGTCTTGAAGACCAACTGCGCCTACCCCACCGCATGTGCACTGTTCACTCCAGAGCCGAGAGATTAACGTTCACACGTCACGCGTACAGCCAACATCCAGCCCCCGCTCCCGCCTGGCCAGCGCACAGCCAGCTGCCCTCACTCACCGGACAGGTGAACGCCCTCGGCCAGGCCGTACGGCGCGTACGTGAAGATCAGCATCATGGCGAACTCGAGGCTGGGGTTGTTGCGCAGGTCGACATGCTTGAAGAGCAGGGCGGCCAGCAGCGCACTGACAGCGCCCAGCGCCGCCGACGCCACGAACATGAAGCAGAACCTGCCAACGCCGTGCAGCAACGCCTCCGAGGACGACATATGCGCCATGGCCGGCGAGTCGGACTCCAGCACCGTGCTGCGGCGAGAGCGGGCAGTGTCGGTCTCGCCGGGCTAGCCGACACGCCGAGCGGGTACACGGGCACGTGGGGTCAACAACGGGTCAGTGATGGGCAGGGTTTGTCGAAGGTACTGAAATCCTATCTGGTTCCAACACAATGATCTTGACTGGAGAAGAAAAACGTCTTTGATATCAATAAACCCATGCTACACGCAAAAAAAACGATGGCGCCGATTATACTTTGCTTGGAACAACCATCTCACTGCTTCAACGCCCAACTACAAACAAGGGGAATATTTTGCACCATCTCACAGACAACTCCCTTCGGACAGGGTTAAGTCGGGAAGACATGGAACGACTTTGCCTCGCACATGAGGCGGCAAAACAGCATCCTTTCCATTCGTTCTATGGCCGGACAACACCTTATTCCGGCGGTCGTCGTGCGTCTATCACCTTATCACAAGATCGACCACGTTGACGAACCACGAGGCCTGCGTGCTGATGCCGTAGTGTAATACTGTCTCGGAAAGTGCCGGCTCTACCCGCACACGCTCCAATGAGCGCTTGCATGTCGCGTCGTGTCAGGCAGCCCGCGAGCTCATGCTGCTCCATCCCCAGCCAGACAACCACAACACGTCCAGCGGATTATCTGCGCACCACTGGCGTTCGAGGCCCACATGAACGAGCCACTGATCTACCACCAAGCCCCAATCGTCACTGTCTTTACGGCCACCTTCCAGGAGGCACTGGGTGACCCAGTGGTCGACGCACCATGCTTCACTTTGGAATCATGACAGAATGTTTTGCAAGGATGGCTCCAAGATGCACTTGCGGTGTTCTTGCCGAGCGTAGTTGCCTCCGTGGACACCGACCCCACCATTCCTATAAATCCAATCCATCTCAACAACTTACCATAATATTAACGTGAGACCTCAACACAACAAGCTGAGCCACGACCATACAGCAACCTCATCCCACACCCCCTCGCTGCCCAGTCCCAAACCAGAGCCCTCACGTGGTCAGCACAATGGCGACGGCGTCGTTCAGGATCGACTCGCCGAACACCAGCATGTTCAGCACCGGGTCCACGTCGAGGGCGTTGAAGATGGCCAGCGTGGCCACCGGGTCGACGGCCGAGATGAGGGAGCCGAACGCGAAGCTCTCCACGAAGGACAAGTGGTAAGCCACGTCTGCCTGGCGAGGCGGGAGAGCAGGACGGGCAGGTGAGATGGCAAGCAGGACCGGCTGCAGGTCGGCACAGCTCGCTTTTCATGGACAAACCTGGCACAGCGCCTCTGACTATTGCAAAAACCAGCCCAGCACGTTCGGCTGCGCGTTCGGCTGGCGAAGGCCACGAGTCCGATCGGGTGATCCGGTCAGTACAGTTTCCAGGGCGAAGCTGGCTCCGTATGCCGAGCTAGCAAAACGGACGACACACGGCAGGTTACTGGCAAAGAAACGAATGTCGGCACAACGGCGCTGTTGATCTGATGACAGCATAGGAGGGCGGCTCGAGTCAGCCAAATTACCGGCATTCAGCCACGATGTCGTGGCCCGGTGCCGCATGCAGCACACCGGCCGGTCTCCGTGCAACAACAGCACCAGCGTCACCTGTGGCGTCACACGGACCAGTTGTGAGGCATCTGTGCCCAGACGCGCGGCCACGGTCGCCAAGTCAGCTCACCAGGCCCAGCAGGTAGACGCCGCCGCCGACCACCAGGGCCGAGATCAACGTGCCGAACACGGCGAACACCATGATGGAGCCGAAGTTCTGGAAGAAGTTGCCCTGCGCCCAGATGAGCGTGTCAGCATAGCTGCACCTCCAGTCCGGCAGCCTGCTAGGTGTATCGAGGTTATATCAAATGTGGTGGAAGCACATACCTCTTCACATCAACTATGGGTTAGGCCTGACTTCAAATAATAATAGCCAATTAATAACATTTTTTCGCACGATACGCCCTTCGTATTGTTACGGCGGAAATAAACGTAAAGACGTTATGTTGTAAACTGATAGACTCTGTGGTTTCTAAAGGATTCTGATCAAGATAACGGAATTTGTGTACCTGAGTGTTATCGTATATTTACCATATGCTTTATAAAATATGTAATATGATCATTGACTGACAAGGTGTGTGACGATACTATCCCATCATACATCTGTGTACGTACATGCATGTCACGGATGTGAAATGTGAGCGATCATCCCATCCGCGCTGGACCAAATGCAGCGGACACTGGAAGACCGCGCAGAGAGCGCGGCATTTTGGGGAGGTTCAGCGCTCGCAGCCCACTGTGGCCGGCCATATTGGTCGACTGATGGGCGCAAAATGGCCTTGGCAGTAGACATACCCTTAAACTCCATCAACAACACCAAATGATTGAGTGACAGCAGCCCGACATAACATTACGGGAGCAAAATCGAGCACGCTACGCAAGCGAAGCTTCTTATAGAAGGGTGAAGCAGACATTGGGCTTGTTCGCTTCTGCCAGCACAGACAAGAAATCCCACGACGGCAAGGCACGTGGGCGTTTGTTGCGCAAGGTCCTATCATCGGCGTTACACCGATGACGTGGATCGCGTGCCGCTCCCGTCTTAACCGCACGAGACATACGGCGCAGGCGAAGGCCACAGTCCCGTCTGTGCGCTCCACCAATGCGCTCGTAGAACCTACACGAAAACAGGAAATGCTCGCAGGACCTGTGCAGGCAGTTAAATGTGCACAGCGTCACCTGTGCCTGAAGGCAGAATGCTTACGGCGGAGCGCGGACTTCAAGCTCTCCCTTCCTCGGACCCCGACCCCAAAACGGCCACCCGAAACCATACGGACAGGACGCAAATCGAGAGAAGGGTCGCGCGGTGATCGCGGCTGTGGCAGAGCCCTACCTTGTGCAGGTTGTATCCGGACTCGAAGATAATCGGCGGCAGCAGCACCAAGAAGAAGACAGTCGGGGAGAACGCCTCTTCTCTCTGAAAACGACCGAACACGTCAGCCTGACACGGCATTGGAGGTCGGCCACACCGCTGCAGCGGCATAGCTGGCTCGAATAATCTCCGCGAAAGCGGGCGCAAAAGGCGGAGAACAGCTATGAAGACCTATGCCCTTACCTTGCTAAAATTCGTGTTAACACGCGGATACGCAGAACCGATACCTTCCAGAACTGGTCGGTCACTAAGCCGCGTTTTAAGTGATATCCAATCCACGCCCAGAATATCCGAAATGTCACCATTCAAAGAATCAACTTTCAGTTTCGCTGTCTCGGGGAGAGGGGATGAAGCCATTAAGTCATGTAGTACGGAGCATTACGGGCCCAGGACAAGCACACTCGGTCTCAGTCACGGGGACGAAATCAGACTTTTAGCTTCAACGTCAAATCCGAAGCACAGACAATGGACATGACGTCGAAGTCGAAGCTTAAGCCAGTGGCTTTGAGCTTTGGCCATATGGAACCGAAAACGAGACCAATGGCTTCGCATTCCTAGAACCTTAAGCCGAGTCCGAGGCCAGTAGCTTCGAGCTTCGCACACGCCAAGCCGAAGCCGACGTCAGCGACTTCGAACGCAAGAAACGCGACGCGAATGCCGGATAAATTAGTTAAAAATCAGAAGGCCGACGGTGCAACCGACCCTACGTGCACCACTAATTTGCTGAACCAGACCAGTTACGCGTACTCACCTGCTTGTCGGCCACACTACGGTCTGATCCCCGCCGTGACGGTGCGGCGGCCTGACTCTCACCTGCCAGTCGGCTTCAGTCTGACCATAGCCGTGACGGTGCGGCGGCCTGACTCTCACCTGCCAGTCGGCTTCAGTCTGACCCCAGCCGTGACGGTGCGGCGGCCTGACTCTCACCTGCCAGTCGGCTTCAGTCTGACCCCAGCCGTGACGGTGCGGCGGCCCGACTCTCACCTGCCAGTCGGCTTCAGTCTGACCACAGCCGTGACGGTGCGGCGGCCCGACGCTCACCTGCCAGTTGGCCACATTCCGGCCTCGGTCTGATTCCAGCCGTGACGGTTCGGGAGCCCGACTCTCACCTGTCAGTCGGCCACACAGCAGTCTGATCCCCGCCCTGACAGTGCGGCGGCCTGACTCTCACCTGCCAGTCGGCTTCAGTCTGACCCCAGCCGTGACGGTACGGCGGCCCGACTCTCACCTGCCAGTCGGCTTCAGTCTGACCCCAGCCGTGACAGTGCAGTGGGTCGACTCTCACTTGCCAGTCGGCCTCAGTTTGACCCCAGCCGTGACAGTGCAGCAGCCCGACACTCACCTGCCAGTCGGCTTCAGTCTGACCCCAGCCGTGACGGTGCGGCGGCCCGACTCTCACCTGCCAGTCGGCCACGCCGCTCTTGGAGAGGATCAGCAGCACGAGGCCGATCAGGGCGCCCAGGAAGACCACCGCCACGCTCTCGGGCAGGTAGCGGAGCTTGGAGCCGATCATGTAGTGGATCATCAGGATACACAGCGCTGGAGCGAAGGCGCCGCCGGTTACGTGCGGCTCGCTGCAATGGTGAACTGGGTTCCAGGACGACGGCGAGACCGGACACGACACCGGGGCAAAAAATGCTTAGCGAGGGCACCATCAGGAGACACTGTAACGTGACAAACAGTGTGTAGCTGGCGTCTCTCTCGTGGACGCGGGCATTGACTGAGTGGTGATTATAGTGATGTAGTCTGTTGCTAAGAAGTTACTCAAAAATAGGTAACGAAACCTTTGCAAGTAAAAATGGCACCTACAAGTGATGCAATAGCAGAACAGCAGTCAAATTTTCCCAAATAGAATGCACAGTTTGGACATTGCAAGACAAAGAAGTATTTTGGCAGAGTATGGCAGATTACCCAATATGGCGAGCACGAAAAAGATGGACATTGAGTTGAGATGCTCCTCTTCAGCTGCCCCTGCCTCTGGCAAAATGTCTGCAGCGTCCAGCGTCTTGTTCTCCCTGGGGACAGCAATGGCATTGTACTGACCATATGATGCCTGGTCTCAACCTGACAGTCAACCTACTCTCAACCTGGTGGAAAGCCTAAAGGATTTGCATGAAGGCTGGGCCAGCCACAGCCACCTTAGAATTCCTCTTAAAGCTGCCAATTTCATGTGCCCAGGTCCACATTTATGCTCCGATGAAATGATAAGTAGGCGTAACCCTTCCTCCACGCCCTTACATGACCCCTCCCTTTCTTTGGCACCTCACACCCCTCACCACGCTCACTTGGCCTTCTCCGGCGGGGCGGCCTTCGCCGTAGCGGGCGTCGATGCCCCGGCCGCCACCTCTGTGCCATTCGAGGCATTCCTCGGGGGCGGCGGCGCCGGTACAGCGTTTTCATTCACCAGCTGGTTTAGGGGGATGCTGGGATCGCTGAGGTCCGGCGCGGTCGGCGGGCGGGTGCTGGCTGCCGGCGGTGCCCGGGATGGTGTGGTCGACACCAAAGAGGCAGATGATTGGCCCGCACATAGTGATGTCAGAGGCAGGGCCAGCAGCAGGCTGGTCAGCAGGCTGGTGTATGACAGTTCCTTCATTGTTGCAGTGCAGCCCAGCAGTTTGCGATGTACTGGGCCTTGTGTCAATAATTTTCTGAAACAGACAGTATATATGTAAATGTGTTACTTGATGTGTAACACTTTTTGCCTCCTTCCAGGCAAAAATTGGTTCCAACCATGCATTAGCCCACCTATGTAGGATAGCATATTTGGATGGAAAACATTCCAATGCCTGTAAATTATTTGGAAGGGTGTGTTCAATGTGAACTCACCCACACTATGCATGCACAAACTTTTAAAGCATGTTGTTTCAAACAGCACAGAAGATGATAAAGTGTTGCAGCTGCAGTAAATGACATTACAATAATTTGGCCACAACACTTGGGAAAGAGAAATATCAATGATTAAAAAGCATCATCATAACCATGCATTTTTGTGTGATATTTGCAAGCTTTCTGGCAGTGACTGACTGCCTGTTTAACAAAAAAAAAAATGACCTGGATACAGCATGATCACTTGAAGCTGGCCATCTTGAAACAAGTAAAAGAAACTTTATTATAAACAAGCAGAGTGTGGATGTTGAATCTCATAGCTGACAATAGTAGCATGATCACAGCATTGGAGGCCCTGTAACATGGCCAAGTGTACATGTGCATGCGCACAAGTACGTGAAACTAAGGGTCATGCAGCTGAACACTAAGGAAAGACTATGGCGTGTGTAAACGCAGACTCGGGATGTTCCGGAGCATGCCGGGTTTGTGCCATGTCGCAATGACATTTGGAAGTCGACCACAAACCTTTGGAAAAAGTATGCGATGCAATTAGTAGCGGACCTCAAGAAAAAGCCCAAGGCCTTGTGGGGGTACACTAACTCAAGACTATGCACAAGATGCGGGGTGAAAGACCTTCTTGACAATGGTCCAGTGTCAACAAACAGCGGCAAAGGAAAAGCCAATGTCCTCTGTAAATTATTTGTCAGTGCTTTCACGGATGAAGGGACTAATGTCATGTTTGTGATGCCTTGCAACTTTACGGGACCATTTCTGGATGACGTGGACATCTCCACACAGGCGGCAGCAAAGAAATTGGCTGAAGACCTCTGAAGCCCTCCAGCGCCCTGAGCCACTCGATATCCACCCAAGACTTCTTCTTGAGTCCGCAGATGTCCTGGTAGCACCCCTTAGCACAGACAGTCTCCGGCGAGCTACTGCCCCATAAGTCTTACTGCCATTCCGTCCAAGATGCTCGAACCTTACATCAGAGATGCCCTAATTAATCACTTCTTGGAGTCTGGACTTCTTCATGCAGCCCAGCATAGGTCTCTCACAAAGCGGTCCTGTATCACCCTGTTATTAGAAGTAATGGAAGATTGGAATGCTGCGGTAAAGGATGGAGACCCGGTGGTCGTGGCATACCTGGCCTTCAGCAAAGCCTATAACATTGTGCCTCATAACCATCTGCTCTTCACACTCCATGCTTACAGTGAGAGGCAACTTGCTGTGCTGGATTAGGGCTTTCCTTACCTGCCAGATGCACAGAGGGGGTCCAGGGCTTGTCAGATTGTGGGAAGTCGGATTGGATCGACTAGTCAGTGGTGTCTCGCAAGGATCAATGCTGGGACCAACACTAATCATAATCTTTGTTAATGACCTGCCAGAACAAGGGAGAAGCGTGGTCGAGGTGTTCCCGGATGACACCAATGTCTTTTTTCCTGTCGGGAGGCCTTTGACTGACTCACCTCTGCAGGTTGACCTCAATGCCCTAATCAAGTGGCCAAAGGAGTGGCTGCTCCCCCTTAGTGCATCAAAGTGCAAAGTAACGCATATCTAGCACTGCAACCCGACAATGACCTACTCCTTGAAGGCACCAAAATTGGGGTCAGTCCAGGGAGAAGAACCTGGGAATCTTCATGGATTACAGGCTCAAGTTCCACATGCAGATGACCAATGCAATCTCCAAGGCCAACCACATGTTGCCATCATGAGGCAGTCTTTTGCCAAAACAAATGTTCATATGTTGCCATTGCTCTTAGTACATCTGTACTGCTTCTTAGTACATCCCTGCTTGGAGTATGGCAATGTCATCTGGGGCCCATTCTGCAAATTGGACCAGAAGCGGCTGGAGCTCGCTCAGCGACGAGCTACCCTTGTTGTCTATGAAGTACTGGCCATGCCCTGAATGGTTTAGGCTCGTCCAGTTGCCCTCCCTGTACTGCCATTGTCATAGGGAAGACATGGTTACAATATACCAGCTGTTTCATGGAGGTATGTCACTGTGGGAAGAGGAGTTCCTGATAAGACATAACTGGAGGTGATAAGAGAACACCCATGAAAACTGAGGAAGCCTCCAGCTAGGCCTCATGTATGTCATAATTCACTCAGCACACATGTTGTCAACAGTTGGTACCCTCTTCCATACCCTGTTGTGTTGTCAACGTCAATTGAATAGTTCAAGCCTAGGCTTGATATGCACTGGGCAGACATGTATGACATTCCATGCTGAATTTACCCATAATTTGAGACTGGTTACTGGACTGGAAGCCTGAGTAGACCTGGAATGACATGCCTTGCTGCTTTTTGTAATTCCCAATCACTATAGGGTAAGGTAAGGTAAGGTAAGGTAAGGTAAAGTAAGTGGAGGACAAAGGGGATGGTGACCCCATGCCCCGTACCAAGGGATATATAACATACATGAGGCAATGTCACTGGGATTCCATTTTTACCTGGCTGACTTCATTCCTTTTGGGTAGATACACAGCATACGATTTTAAGGTTTCCCAGGTAGTAGACATCTTAATAGGCATGCAACCCAGACAAATCGACTGAACAACTCGTATGCACACAGGCACCAGTACGGCATCTACTTACCTTGACCAGTGATCAAGATTAAGAAGCACGACCGCACGTCGCACCAACAAACTTTTAAGCTCGGAGATGCACTTCCATGTACGGGCCGTGACACACACGACGCATTTTAATTTAAGAGGCACTACGGGAAAGCATCATTTTCGCAAAGATCGTTTTCAGTCATCATCGGCACATATTTTTGCGACGGAAGGCAGCGTGCCGCCTCGTACTGTGATGGCATGGACAGATGTAAGACTGTTGATATGGGGGGCTACCACTATTTAGAAGACAAAACAGAATTATAACCTTGAAATCATAGTAGTGGACAAACTATTCAATTACGGTATAATTAGACCAAAGCTTATATAAATTTTGAAAACTATGGAGATCCGTGGACTTAATTTCAAAAACTCTGTCTCAATTAGTTGCTCAAGTAAAAAAGTCCCTTAAAGTGTTAGTAAACGTTGCACACCATTACTATGCCACATCAACTTGCACAACAACGGCGCACAATAACACTTATTTGCCGCTCCGTAGCAGCGATGATATTTTGCATACGGGGGTATCGTTGGGTGGCCGGCTAATATTCTTGTTGAATTAGTTCTCCCACATATATTTCGTTGTGAATGTGAAGCTTTACTTCGAGCAATACACTGGGGTGTAGTGAGGGTTGTGGCTGCATCATCACGTCAAAGGCCCATAGTGCATCACTTCAAGGATAGCGCTCTTGGTGTGCAGGTGTTGTAGAGATCGAGCCGCAAGATGGGTGGTGCAATGAGCATTGACATACCGGGAGGAGGGACTGAAGGCTACCATGTCTTGAGGGTAAGTCAGGTTTTATTTGTTTTTCTCGTCTGCATGGATGTTGCTTTGAATGGCAGGCTGGTATATAGCCCAGCCAGCTGAACCAAATTAATAGCTTATAGTTGCATTGTGAATTGGTGTAATGCATGCCCAGTCACCAGGACTAGGTACCATGAGCATCATGTTTTGCTGTCACATTTGGTTTACAGGCCTATGACTTGATGCAAGTGGATTGGTGTCCTGTTTCCTCAAATGGTTGTTATTTCTGGAAACATTGGCTTCCTACATATGTCCCAAATTTAGGTGGTCCATTTGTTTTTGCTTGCTTGGTTATGGTGCTTTCCTCCTTAAGTTATGTGATTGATTTCAAATCCTGTGTCCATATTAATAGGTAATCATGGTGAACTTTTTATACTGGGTGTAGGTGTACTTTCCTACCTAACGTTAGAAAAAATCATTGCACACTATTCGTCGTGTTTAAGGCGGCACAAATCGTAAATAATCCCAAAACAGGTAGAATCATGCTCCTACCTTCAAATTTCAATAACTCCGATGGCGGGCTCCCGAGCGCCGCACGCACCGCACCGCCTGGACTCCTCAGCGCCATTTCTGCATTGCCATTGTGTAAATACAATATTTCTGCTTGCCAAGAACTCTACAAAGTGTACGGGACCAAGGTAAACCATTTGTCGTGTTTAAGGTGGAACATACCGTAAATAATTTCAAAGCAGATAGAATCATGCTCCTACCCTCGAATTTTAATAAATACTATAGCGAGTTCCCGAGTGCCGCACGCACCGCACCACACCACCTGACTCCCAAGCACCGGTTCTGCGTTGTTGCAAAAGCACAATATTTCTGCTTATCAAGAACCATAAAACATGTACGGGACCAAGGTAACAATAATAAAGCAACCAAAATCGTTTCTTATCGAGTTTAGGTACATTTATAAAACACACAGGCCAGAATAGTCCAGAACGTATCCTAAACTAGCCTAACCTAACCAAACCTAACCTAACCTAACCTAACCTAACCTAACCTAACCTAACCTAACCTAACCTAACCTAACCTAACCTAACCTAACCTAACCTAACCTAACCTAACCTAACCTATAACCTAACCTAACCTAACCTAACCTAACCTCCCCACCCTATATCCCCTTCAACCCAGCATCCCATAGCTAAGCTAAGCTAAGCTAGCCTGACAGCCTAACCTAACCTAACCTAACCTAACCTAACTTGAGCTTAGATATAAGCTCATAGACCTTATGAGCTCAGATATAAGCTAATAGACCAGAACCTAAGCTTAGCTAAGCTAACCTACCCTAACCTAACTAACCTATCCTAACCTAACCTAACCTAACCTAACCTAACCTAACCTAACCTAACCTAATCTAACCTAACCTGACCTAACCTAACCTAACCTAACCTAACCTCCCCACCCTATATCCCCTTCAACCCAGCATCCCATTGGCATCCATGTTCCATGCCATATATAGGTGCCACATAGTGAGCTTTTATTTAGCTGTCATGTTCTCATTTTGCTTTACATTCCCCACCCAACCCCCCTGCAACCCATGGTCCCGTTGGCGTCGAGGATCAAATTTCATGGATTCTTTTTACCTTGGCCCGGTACATTTTTATGGTTTTTGATGCTGCTTGATGCACAGTAATGTTGTGACCCGCGCAGTAATGGCGCCGGTGTCGCGGGTGCTGTGTGTGTGCGGCGCTCGGGAGCTCGCCATTGCAATTATAAAAAATTGAAGGTAAGATTATGAATCTATCTGTTTTGTGATTATTTACGATATGTCCTGCCTTAAACACGACAAATGGTTTACTTTGGTCCCGTACATTTTGTAGAGTTCTTGGTAAGCAGAAATATTGTATTTACGCAACGGCAACGCAGAAACGGCGCTAGGGAGTCCAGGCGGTGCGGTGCGCGCGGCGCTCGGGGGCCCGCCGTCGAAGTTATTGAAATTCGAAGGTAGGAGCATGATTCTACCTGTTTTGGGATTATTTACGATATGTCCTGCCTTAAACACGACGAATGGTGTACAACGATTTTTTTCTAACGTTAGGTAGGAAAGTACACCCTGACCGCAAGCATCATGTGTGATGAAACAAGCTTGATACTATTGGTATATTGGTATACTTTGAAGTGAAAGGACTGTTTTAGGCAACATAATTTCCCATTTTAGTAAGTATGCTTCTTGGTATGTCATTGGTTTTGTCTTATATGTGGTAAATATGCCAATTAACGGCAGCCAATAGTCCTGGCCACCATGTCTTATTGGTTTTTGCTGCATGGATCATGAAATGACAGGATTTTTTAATGAGTTTGCTATGATGTGAATGCCAAGGTGACCTTGAAATACTCTCCCTGAAACAGGGTCACCATGTTGAGAAACTTGAGGGGTTTAGGTCATAAGAAGGACAGGGCTGTGAGCTGCACCAAACAGTTTTCAATAATGCTATTTGAGTTCCGAATCTCATAGAAATATAGAATACTTCCTTCATTTGCTGGGTTTGGTTATTTTGCTTGGGTTATAGGCTTTCAGTATATTTGGTCATGGGATTTTGATGATTTAATGCTCTTACCTGCTTTGTTTACCAGTCTTTGGTGTTAGTCTCTATTCCATGAGCACCTGAGGAACTAAAAAGAACCACCTAGCAGACCTCTGTTATAATGTTTGACCTGTTTATGGTTTGGCTCACCAAATTTGCATTCTGTATTAGTTCACATGTTGCATTACTATGTTAATACATGGTGGTCATGCTAATGAAAGGGGATGTTCCACATTTGGAGATGGGAAGACAAGCACCAGATATGATAAAGTAAGCTTACTTTTAGCTATTTATTTGCATTTAAGCATTAGCAACTATGTTGCTTGATATGCTGTCATCTGATTTGGTCATGGAACTCCTTTATGATTTGGTCACTGCCATACTGGCCTTGTCAGAATTGCCACTGTTGCTGAGGGCTGCCACCCTATTCACCATATTGTTTATGGTAAATGGGGTGGCAGTATTCATGTGATGTTTCCATGGCATTATGCATGGCTGGCTGAGAACTAGTTCAGTAGCATTATGCATGGCTGGCTGAGAAATATTTCTATGATGGTTTGCTGACCTACTTGAAATAGTATGCATTTAGTAGTCTGCATAAAAGTCTGCACATGTTTGAGGTTGTCAAGCTCCAAATCCACAGTCTTAAAAGGACAGGGAAGTTAAGTGCACTGGGTGATCTCTAACATGTCTATCTTAGTTCAAAACCATATACTAATGTGGAACATTCCCTGTAACATCACACACCTAGATGTCATTAATGAAATAAGTGAGGCAATTATTACATTTTCTACAGGCAGCCAGTCAATTTTTTTGTTTTGTTGTTTTGATCTGTTTCAATCAACTGGGTTTACTTTGCCATCATAGGACATATGACTTGAAAGAGCAGGTTGCTCATAGCCAATGGGTCGCTTTGACTGGTACCTGATGGCTCTGCCCTCCATGATGTTTACATGTGGCTTTGCATAGCTTTGTTGCCATTTTGCAGGGTTTCTGCAGCAAAAGGAGGCATTCTCATGTAGTGCAGGTTGCAAAACTTGGCTAACATGGTCATCAGCTTTGGAAGGGCCCAGTTCCTCTCAAAACAGTGTATGAGGTACTTTTTGCTGTGTGTGATGATGATTATTATTATTTATATCATCTGATTTTATAGTCTGTGATGCCATCAGCAGAGCGAATGGGGTTAAGTCACTGTTTCCTAGCCAACATTGACCAGGGGTATTGACTGCTGTGTCCACTATTCGTGACCCGAGTATTCGCGTGAGATGGCAGGTGCTACGTCCGTCGCGCGGTCACAGTTGACATATGCCGTGGGGTGGTGGGTTGAACACACCGAAAAGGAAAGGATCCATGCGTGGAGCCTGAGTGCGGGCGACCTGTTGCCCCCTGGGACTCATACTCTCGGTGGGGCTGTTCGTTCTTCTCTCAGTTAAGTTGCGTTGAGCCGGCTTCGCTGCCCCAAGATCGCTGAAAGCTGGGCTCTGTTCCCGTTCGCGTAGGATATGGCGGGGCATTGTATTACACCACCATTGTAATGCAACACAGTGCTAATAATGTAAAATCAAAAATTAAGGGAATGATTGATTGTACTGCCGGCTGTTAAAAACTATATTGTGATACGATTACGGAGTGCAGGGATGGGTGCAGACTCAAAAACGCCGCTAGCCTGGCTGGTCCGCGCGGCGAGCTGGCGACATTCTCGGGGAGTTTGCTCTGGGATTCAACGTTGCCGTGGTGAGAAGTAGATGAGCCAGCACACTGTTACTCAGCATGGCGTGCCGCGGCTCAGCCGCACGGAGGGACGGCGAAGTGGCCGCTGCTGCTGACGCGCCGGCACGCCCCGGATAGGATCACCACGGAGAGGTGCAGCCTGTCCCGTGTGAGGGGGCGCGGGGGACAGGCCAGGCCGGTGCTGGTTAGACCGGGGCTCAATCTGAGCGAGGGGCCGAGCAACGGCCTTGTGCGGTACGACCGGTGTAGAGTTCCGACTCCATGCTCCATGAAATGGTGAAGCATGGAGGATGCGCTGGCTGGAGAAACCTCTATTAGCTTGTCCTGACTAATCGTTCGTGATGGTGACATAGAGTGTCTTGGGGAGAGCTTTGACCATATCGCATGACGGCATTCATGTACCATATCGTGCTGGATTGTATTGCGTAGTATTGCACTGCATTGGCAGGAAACGGCAACCGAATACTTAAGGCTGCTCTTTGTGAAAGCAAGGGATGTTGAAATGACTTGATTTGTACTAATGACATTTGTACTAACGCTCAACAGACAGCGCTGCGCTTGCACAACCGTGCCACATGTCTATGGTGGTGCCCTCTGCGTGTTTGAAGGTTAGATATCACTCGACGGGTGTCCAGCAATAAACGAAATCCGACTAAAGAGAGGGCGTTGGTGATGGCTGTTAAAGTTGTTTTGTCTTAAGAGTATTGCACGGGTACAGGCAAAATAATTTGAAGGGGGGGGGGGGTGATGTGGGGGGCGGAGTTCAGTGAAAACACAGAATGCTGAGTTTTAACTTTCTGTCCAAAGTTATCTATGGTGGAAAACGAAAAGTTGGGGTCTAGGGTGTCACGGGTCTCCGCTGGTCGTAGTTTGAGTCGTTGTGTCCCCTAAATTCGAAGAACCCGAGAACCGAGCCAGGTATTGGCCGTGACTGAAAAGTTCCAAGGTCGCAAAACCGGCAGCTACCCAATTAGTGAGATGGCGTGAGTGATATGTGCTCCTATCGTCTAAATTAGGATTTGCATCGTTGTTGTGGTGTATCTTTCCTCGCCTTGAGGTCAGGACAGCTCTTTATTTGTAATGTAGGTATACACTACTCCAGTCCCGCTGTTCATGCAGTGCGGATGTTTGTTATGCGGTCGCTTCGTGAACCTCTCTTATGTGAACTGTCTACACATTCGTACGCCGTAATGTGGTTGAATCTTTCCTTTGTCGAATTTTGCCACCTACCATTTTGTTTGACAATAAAAATTGGGGAAACACTACCAGTGTAATCGTTTACATACTCGGTCCAATGCTGAACACAGCGGGGTGAAATAAAGGCTTCCAACGCGCAGTTGACGCCGCCGGTTCGCCGCCTCGGACACCGGCTCGCGGCGTGACGATGTGTTCAGGCGGGTAGCGCTGACTGTGCTCTCGAGTGGCGTGACTATGTGTTCGGGCGGGTAGCCCTGGCTGTGCTCTCCAGTGGCGTGACTATGTGTTCGGGCGGGTAGCCCTGACTGTGCTCTCAAGTGGCGTGACGATGTGTTCGGGCGGGTAGCGCTGACTGTGCTCTCAAGTGGCGTGACGATGTGTTCGGGCGGGTAGCCCTGACTGTGCTCTCAAGTGGCGTGACGATGTGTTCGGGCGGGTAGCCCTGATTGTGCTCTCGAGTGGCGTGACGATGTGTTCGGGCGGGTAGCCCTGACTGTGCTCTCGAGTGGCGTGACTATGTGTTGGGGCGGGTAGCCCTGACTGTGCTCTCGAGTGGCGTGACGATGTGTTCGGGCGGGTAGCGCTGACTGTGCTCTCGAGTGGCGTGACGATGTGTTTGGGCAGGTGCTGACTGTGCTCTCGAGTGGCGTGACGATGTGTTCAGGCGGTTAGCGCTGACTGTGCTCTCGAGTGGCGTGACTATGTGTTCGGGCGGGTGGCGCTGACTGTGCTCTCGAGTGGTGTGACGATGTGTTCGGGCGGGTAGCGCTGACTGTGCTTTCGAGTGGCGTGACGATGTGTTTGGGCGGGTGCTGACTGTGCTCTCGAGTGGCGTGACGATGTGTTCGGGTGGGTAGCGCTGACTGCTCTCGAGTGGCGTGACGATGTGTTCGGGCGGGTAGCGCTGACTGTGCTCTCGAGTGGCGTGACGATGTGTTGGGGCGGGTAGCGCTGACTGTGCTCTCCAGCTGTGGCTTGTCTCCGCTAAGCGTCACTTGTACACGTCTTTACACTGCGCTGTTTTGTCTGATCGCCGAGAGGGACGTGACACCGCTGGTCTATTTTGATATCAGTAATAGCGTAACAGAATATACCACTTTACGGTGAGGTGTGCGTGGCTATCGTTATATATTGCGGCAATGTGTGGCGATATAAAAGTAATAGTAACTATAAAAGGCATTAGTAACAACGCGGAGCATGATTGTTGTTGGCTTGCTCCGAATGGTTCTGATGGATGGCCTAGGTTCAGAATGCCTGCCAAACAAATCTTATGGTGTATATGCTGAACACATTACACCCGGACTGTGCCGCCTACGGCAGCGGATAATATTCCCTTTCGCCAAATGTGACTGCGGGGGTGTTTACACGTCGCGCAATGCTGCCCTCCCCCCCCCCCACCCCCACCCCCACCCCCACCCCCTCCCCCGGCTCGGATTAATCTTTGCTGACAGCAGGCCTTTCCGATCAGTCGTGCCAAACAGGTCGCCGGCTTCAAGACTCGTACCCATTGCCGCTGAATGATGGGTCCAACATTTGTCCTCCGACCGCGGAGGCGGCATGAATTAAATAATTATTACCGGCTAATTATGGCTCACACTCCACGATGTACGCTTGCGTCATGTTTGCATTATTGTGCTGTATGTTATGCCAGGTACCCAGTGATGTTAACGACTGGCTTATCTGTGTGCTCTGTACTTAAAGTTTGTTGAATTACTCTCGGATATTCGTCCTTTCCCACTTCATCCGCTCAACTATTTACAGCGCGGATATTACTGGCCGCGATAATCGTCAGCCACGGTATGGCCGTAGCGTGGGCCCAGCGGGTTAAGCCCTGATTTGTAAAGCATCTGACGTGTGAAGCCCTCTCCAGCATTTGCAAGTCAGAATCGCACGAAACATGCCTGGTCATGGCATTGCAGGGCTGTCCAGCGCATGTCGTATTCATGAGCAGGAAGTCTCTAGGTTCCGTTAGTGAAAAACACCCGAAAATGCATTGGCCTGTGCCTTGGGACTTGCTGTTGGCCGTGCCCAGTGGCTTAGTTCCTGGGTGCGGTGGCACGGGCCCCTGTTTTGACAAAACGTTCACCTCAAGATGACGAACATCAGGGAAATGGCATTGGGAAATGCCTGCGATAACCGCCCGCGTGATGTCCCGCATTATGAACTCACTAGGTCGGTGGGAGGACGCAGAGGATCGGCCGCCGCCGCCAGATGATCAGATGACAGCAGATTACCAGTACCAGTTTAGCAACCGGTGAGCTGGTCCGATCGCGTCTTAACGGCAGGAGTGGCCTACTCTTTCCCATGCTGTTAACACAGCGCAAAGGTCAGGTGGCCCGCGCTCAACGCTGCAGCTGTTTTTTTACGAATTGTAAATCAGATGATGGTGTGGTGTTGGCTTACTGCGGTTCGGCCTTGGCTGTCGCTGAATATGACAAGGTCCTGAATGCTTGGCGACAGCTCTTGCATCATAAAGTAAATGTGATTTGTTCTGGACGGACATCGGTGATGCAGCAGGATTGGGATTGTGCCGGGTTGCAACGAGCTGGTTACAGAACGCTGTCCCCAAGTGGATGTTTCGCGGGGTTGTTTGAGAGGAAAATTCGTGAGTCATGGTAACCACTGGAGTGGAAATTCACTAAACTGTTCAGGCTTGTTACTGGTAGGTGTCTGGTACTGGTGTTGTGGCACTGGTTTGATGGGATCCGTGGTGATTAGGGAGCATCAAAACCCACACCAGGAGCAAAAATATTCCTTGTCAGAGCGGCGCTCGTTGTGTTGACCGCCGACTGCACTGCTCGAGTCATTGGTGCCAACCCATGCACCGCTCGACCAGCGCCACCCGGCGTGTCCTTGGTCATAGCGAGCAAGTCGACGTCTTCGACGTGTTGCGGTGCTCTTGCGTGCCGGGGAAGATCCGTACATAGCGGTCCGAAGGCTGCGGCGCTCTCGCTATCCGGGTGACCGTTTTCCTGGCGGCGCGACACGGCCTGGCGAGCGCCGCCGCCGGAGACGCGGCTGGGGCCATCCGGACCGTCGGTCGCCACCGGCCGCTTCTCGGAAGCTCGCGCCGGTCGTCAGGTCGCGGGCGCGACCAGGACGAAGGTCCAAACGGAAGCGGCAAGGTGCCCGTGTCACGTACGCCTCAAGCACGACTTCGCGGACGACTGCTGCGGCGCGGCAATAGACTTACATGCTGTTGTGGTTGCGATGATATCTAGACAAAAGTGCGGATTTGGCGAGTGGCACTCTTGCGTCTCACGCCGCAAAGCCGTCTTCAGTTGGCTTCGTTTTACCTGGTGGGTTTCCCTGTGTTTGTGGCTGTTCGGTAGCACAGCACCGACAGCTGGCAGTACCTACATCAGCACGCATCGGCTCGAGACAAGCGGTGTGCTGACAATGCCGTACAATCCGGTGCGAAGAAAATGTTGACTTGTGTTGAGGATATTGAAAGCCGGCACCGCTACCGTTACCACCCAAACATGCCGTTCTGAGCCGGCACACGAGCGTCCAGGGTGGTGCCGGTGCGTGGCTGGTCACGTTTTGAGAGTTTTGCTTCTCTCCTGCTGTGGGTTTCCGCCAGGCTGGTCTGGCCATTCGACGATATTGTATCGTGTGTTTTCCCGTCCGGTCCCCACAAGCTCCTTCCCTTTCGCCGTCTGTCGGACATCGTCGCTGTTTTGGGCGCCGATGGGGCAGCGGCGCACAAATTGTCGAGCTCGCTCGGCTCATCTGTCAGCGTTACCTGACGGGATGGGCCAGTGTCTCACTTGTGAAACCAGGAGTGATGCGCCCCGGCCGGCGGCACAGAGACGGGCGGTTTGTACTGGTAGCTGTATTGGCCGGCTCGCAAGCCGCGCAATTCCACACACGAATACACTTTTGGCGCACATCACCCTATCGCGGACGAATACTGGGCTCTTTGGCAGAATCAGATCACACGTGCGCCGCCGTGCTCTCTGCTCATGACGTCACAAATGACGTCGTACACGTTATATTCTGTGTCGGCGCGGCCCGACGGTAGGCGAGGGCCGGGTCCAACGTCGCTCGGCTCGGCCGGGACCTCAAGCAGCGCGCGGAGCACACTGCCCCTCCGCGAGACCTGAGACTGGCCCGGGCCGGCCGGGCTAGCCGCGATGGCTGCATGTCAAACGCCTGGCCCTCCTCATAGGACCTGAGACGGACCCGGGCCGGCCGGTCCAGCCGCGGCGGCCGCGTATCGGACTCTTGGCCCTCCTCCGAGGACTTGAGACTTGCCCGGTCCAGCCGTGGCGGCCGCCTGTCGGATGCCTGGTCGTCATTCCAGGCGAAGAGTCCGTCTGTGGCCACTTGCCCCCCTCCCCCTCCGCCCTCACCGGGGGGGGGGACAAGTCCATCTTCGGCGGTGTGGCCCTGAGAGGCCGGAGGTCACACATGGGTCACGGCCTCGTCGCCGGCCGGCTCTTCTCTGTCGGTGGGCGTGACGGCAGGCGGCGCGCCTCTCTCGCGGCGGCGGTGACCGTCGCCGCGCCGCCGCCGCGACGTGCCCGCTGTCGCCGCCTCCGGCGCGGTCACGTCCGGGTGACGGAGCGGCAGCGGCCCGAGACCGGCTCGCAGTAGAAGCCCCGCCCGCACGCCACGTCGAACGGGCTGCACGCCTCGCCGGGCCCCTTGAGGCACACGCGGCAGCAGTCGCACGGGTCGCGGCCCTCGCCGAACGGACACTCGAACACGCGCAGCTCCGGCTGGCAGCTCTTGTATGTGCAGCTGCAGTGCGGCATGGCGGACGAGGGCGACGGCGCCGCCGCGGCGAGCACCGCCAGCAGGCACCACACGGCTACGACGCTCATGGCGCGCTGGCGGCGGACTCGGCGCGGGCTCGGTGTGTAGCCCTCCGCGCGCTGGCTGGCTGGCTGGCTGTCCTCCGGTCCGGGGAGCTGTGTCGCAGTCGAGCGGCGACGACGACGGCGTGGGCTTCCGGCGGCGGCGCTGGTCGCTTCCAGGCAAAGTTTTGCAGGGCACCGGCTTTCACGCTAGGGGTGGATGGCGGGCGATCACGTGCTGTCGTGGTCACGTGCCTGCCGCTGACGTCACTCTCAGCCGCTGCTGTCGCCCGGCGGCGCAACACTCGCAGTCTGCTGTGCCGACACCGGCGACGGCGGACCTATATAGCGCGCCGCCGCGCCAGCTCTGCACCAATCAGCGCGCGCGCCGCCGGTGACGTCACGGACGGCATTTACGGCGGGTTCCTGGCGTGTACAACCGCGCGGCGCAGGGTCAGAGGTTAGCCGTGGGCACGTGACGCGGGCAAACCCGACCGCCGGCGCCGGCGCGGCCGCGGCCGGCGCGCCCCGCACGCGGTGACCCAGGGCTGACCTGTGGCGGCCGTCGTTCGTCCCAGGCGTCCCGGTGACGCGCCGGCGTGAGGTGACACACAGTCCGGGGAATCCCGACACGGTGCGTGACACGGACGGTTCCGTGTAGCCCCGTCGGCCGCGGTGGGGTGAAGGTCTCGGTGCCTGCTGGAGCTGCTCGGCTCCGGGTGCTCCGTTGCACGATCAGATGCCACGGGTGGAGCCGCTTGCTCCGAAACTCATGTGCGCACGGCTTTTCTCCTCGATTTGAGGCGATCCTGTCATGTGGTACTATTGCGACGTATGTCACAGTTGACGCGGTCGTTTTTGGGATCTTGCCATCCTCCCGTGACGAACCTGGCGTGTTTTGTCTGGGCATGTCCTGGGGAAGAGGCCATGTGATTTGTACTAGCGCTGGTTTTCTTTTCATGGCGTTGGGAAGTATTTGAACTCCAACCAAAAACCAGAGTTTTCCTTAGTGGGTGGTTAAATATTTCATTTTATCTGAAGTCCTGCGAACTCGGACCGAACTCTTGCGAAATTACCCAGTATTTAGGGTAAAGACATATTGGTTCAGTGGAGAGGATCGTTGCTCTTGTCCCCCTCCCCCTTGGTTACTTCCCTGCATAGCCCGTCGCTCCCCACCCCCACCCCGATCTACAAGTGATTGACCTCAATAGAGCGAGACTGAGCCACACTGGTCGGGGTTATGAGCCCCCCTGCCCGATGGTGTTCCGGCTACCAGTCTGATCCATGCACAGCATCCACAGCTCGTCTGAGCTGGCACCCCAATGACGGACCCGAAGGACCTTAAGCGTTGTACCGGCACTGATCGGGTAAGACCCGTGTCCAGCGGCGTCACGTGTGGGCGCGGCCACGTACCGGTCTCTCCGCCGGCTGGCCCCCGGACGGGCCCTTCGTCGCCGTCGGCCCGTCCCACAGTCAGCGGCCACTCCCACTGGTTGACGCGCCGGGGCGTGTCCGGACGGGACATAGCCCGGAGAGTCGAGCACTGATGTCCGGGCGGGACACACCGCGGGAATCTGGCGCTGAATCCCGGACGGGACACAGCGCGGGGAATCGGGCACTGATGCCCGGACGAGACACAGCTCAGAGAATCGGGCACTGACGCCCGGGTGGGACACAGCGCGGGGAATCGGGCACCGATGCCGGGGCGGGACACAGTACGGGGAATCGGGCACCGATGCCGGGGCAGGACACAGCGCAGAGGATCGGGCACTGATGCCCGGGGGGGGACATAGCACGGAGAGTCGGGCACCGATGCCGGGGCAGGACACAGCGCAGAGGATCGGGCACTGATGCCCGGGCGGGACATAGCACGGAGAGTCGGGCACTGATGCCCGGGCGGGACACAGTGCGGGGAATCGGGCACTGACGCACTGGTGGGACACAGCGCGGGGAATCGGTCACTGACGCCCGGGTGGGACACAGCGCGGGGAATCGGTCACTGACGTGTGGCGACAGACTCATCCCGCTTCCGCTCTCATGTTCGTCGTGAGCTCTCGAGCCCCCCGGGCAGCCCCGGCGCGCTCAGTGTTGTTTTCTCGCCCGCTAAGCTGGTCGTTTCTGCGCGTGCGAGCGGCTGTTTTTTTTTTTTGGCATTCGTCGACTGGTCCTTGTCTGGTGTCGTCGGCGATGTTGTTCGATTAGCTGCAGTTCAAGGAAGGACTCGTATGATTTATCAGTCAGCTTGCATTGTGGGGATCGCAGGGAGTTCCCGGGTCAGCACCCAGAGGATTCATGGGGCCCACGAATGGATCAAGGGGGTTCCCGTGTCAGCACCCACGGATCACGTATCGTCCACTGCGCCTCGGTGGTGGTGTGTCGTCCCGCGCACTAGGCAGGCATTAAAGTCGTGATTAGGAGGCTCATTTGCATGCTAACTTGGGCTCTGGTGCGATCACCCAGATTGTGGTTGCTACGGAACCCTGATCCATGCTTTGATGGCCACATCTGGTGCGATAAGCCTGACACAGGTTCTGCGAGCGTCGTGTTTGTGTGCTGTCATCGGGTCGAGGACCGTGAGTCTGAAGTCTGTCAGCTTTTTTGTTTTGTCCGGTCTCCTGGCCTGACGACACTCTGCGGCCGGGACCTTCAGCCCGCAGTCTGTCGGTTGTGTGGATCAGGTCTCCAGGCGTGGCATCCCTCCATAGCACGGGACCTTCAGTCTGCAGTCTGTCGGTTGTATGGGTCAGGTCTCCAGGCGTGGCATCCCTCCATAGCACGGGACCTTCAGTCTGCAGTCTGTCGGTTGTGTGGATCAGGTCTCCAGGCGTGGCATCCCTCCATAGCACGGGACCTTCAGTCTGCAGTCTGTCGGTTGTATGGGTCAGGTCTCCAGGCGTGGCATCCCTCCATAGCACGGGACCTTCAGTCTGCAGTCTGTCGGTTGTGTGGGTCAGGTCTCCAGGCGTGGCATCCCTCCATAGCACGGGACCTTCAGCCCGCAGTCTGTCGGTTGTATCGGTCAGGTCTCCAGGCGTGGCACTCCTCCATAGCACGGGACCTTTAACCCGCAGTCTGTCGGTTGTATGGGTCAGGTCTCCAGGCGTGGCATCCCTCCATAGCACGGGACCTTCAGTCTGCAGTCTGTCGGTTGTGTGGGTCAGGTCTCCAGGCGTGGCACTCCTCCATAGCACGGGACCTTCAGCCCGCAGTCCGTCGGTTGTATGGGTCAGGTCTCCATTCGTGGCATCCCTCCATAGCACGGGACCTTCAGCCCGCAGTCTGTCGGTTGTATGGGTCAGGTCTCCAGGCGTGGCATCCCTCCATAGCACGGGACCTTCAGCCCGCAGTCTGTCGGTTGTATGGGTCAGGTCTCCAGGCGTGGCATCCCTCTTTAGCACGGGGCCTTCAGTCTGCAGTCTGTCGGCTGTATGGGTCAGGTCTCCAGGCGTGGCATCCCTCCATAGCACGGGACCTTCAGCCCGCAGTCTGTCGGTTGTATGGGTCAGGTCTCCGGACCTGGTGTCGCCCTCTATCCGCTGGCTGCGGTGGGCTGGGCTGGTCCGTGACGCATAGGACGTGTTATGACTGGTCTCCTCTTTTATTCTTTGGATTTTAAGGTCAACTGATAAGTCACCTGATAAGGGGTTGAGTCATGGCCATTTCCTTCGGGAATTTCATGCGCAAGCAACTGAAAATGTCAGCAGTTCCGTGCCGTGGTTTGCGGGACACTTTTTCCCTCATGTGTCTGGATATACACATCGCGATGGCTCTCCGATAGCCATATACTCTAGATGAGTGCACTTACAGGATATTCGGTAGTGTGCGAACACTTGATTCCCCCCAGCGTCCGCACGTATCCCGTATCCCCGCTCGGAGGCGCTGACATTCCTTGCGGTGACGTGACCCTGTGCGTGGTGGTGCGACGGCGCCGACTCCCCCGCCGACAGGCCTCAGCGCCCCCACGCACAGCGGCCCGGCCGCCGGCCGGCTGCCCAGCGTGCGGTTGGGATTCCCGCCCTCCCCCCCTCCCCCCTCCCCCCGCCTCCCTATCACAATAGAGTGCCAGTGCCAGAAAAACGGCCTGTTGCGAAGAGCGGTTGGACGGCCGGCGTCGGCAGGCCTTTTTGGGTGGGCGGCCGTACGGTGGCCTCGCCGGCCGCATTCCGGCGCTCCGTGACGGGGTACGGGCCCGGGGCCTCCTTGCGTGCCGTGGCGGCGCGAACTGAATGGACGACGGCAGCGGAAAAGCCAGCTCCAGAGTGTTTCCGGTATCGATTGTGGCGATGTATTTTGCCGACGGTGCAGAAATATTACGTTTTGCCCACAGTGCTCAGCCATACGGGCAGCATCCGTGACGCGACGCGATGTGATATAATCTGAGGCGTCATTGGCTTCAGCTGGCTTCAGCGTGCTTGAAACAGCATGTTTCAGCTTCAGCTTCAGCGTTAGAGAAGCGCCCCCGCCAACAAGAGACCCATCCAGCGCCATGGCTCCTGTGCGACCGAGGCGACCTCTTCCGGCCTCCCATGGTGCCACCGGGGTAGCTATTCGGTCTGCGTTCCTGACGTCACCCCTATGACGTCGACTGGTTGGCTGGCTGACCCGTCAGCTGCTGATGTCTGTTGTAGCCAGGCGAGCCGTCTGACTCGGTTCGGCCGGACGCAGCGCCGCACCACCCATGGCGTGTCCGTGGTAGTGACGGCCCGCCGGCCGGTGACCCAGCAACTGAACACTAGCCACCGACCCAGAGATGTGTCAGGCTGGTGATGGACGTGCTGGCCGGTAATGGTGAGGACGTCCGCCTCGTATGCACGCGTCAAGGTCGAGGTCGGCCGTGCCATGCCGCCCGCAGCGCTGCGGCCGCGCTTCCGCGCCCAATGGGGCTGGCACTGCAGAGGAAGTGCCCTGCTTTGCGGCTCCTGATGCGAGGACCGTGACCTTTGGAGCGGCCCCGTCTGATGCATCTTGCACACACCCACCAGCGTGCTGGCGCATGAAGCAGGCGTGTATGACGCATTGGGCCATTCTATTTCGTACCATCTGCGTATCGGTGCGTTTTTGTAAGTCGCATATCAAATGTGCCTTCATGTGCTCCCTATGCGGAAACAACGCCGTTAGATGTGTTAGGCCGCGTCTTTGCATGGTGAGTTTCATTGCGCGATGATTGACTTTCTGGCGCAATCTTGCCTGCCCACGCCCACGCCCTCCCCACCGATGTTCGCCAATGTTTCCGGCTGGGGCGCCTTTGCTATGTTGTCGTTCACAGTGGGTTAGAAGTCCTCATTCCGGCTGCATGTATCGGT